TTTATTGTACGAAGTACTAATCTAGTTTCTCATTCCTTCGTTGCATCAAGACAATGCAACCCGTACATTTGTTTGATCGAAAGTCTCCAAGGTTACGCACTTGCCCCTGGCCATTATAAGCGCTTTGCAGCTTGATACGCCAATGATGATCCGAGTTCGCCTCACTATTAAGCCAACTACCTCGCGATTAGCTCTCGCGGGTGATGCGGGTGTGGGAAAGGGGAAGAATTGGGGCGCGCTCAGAGCCCGACCGCGTGGGAAATGACACCTGGTCCTTGCCCGCGCCGAAGCTTATGAAGAAAGTACGAAATACACGGCCCTTTTTACCTTTGTAATACCACCGCTGCTGCACCATGACGCTGGGTCACTCTGGGGCTGGAATCCAGTGGGCCTGGGCCATGGGATCGGCCTCGCTTCGACCTCCGCTTGGGATGGCGTTGAAAGTGAACGCGCCCTTGCTTCAAGGTGACCACGGGAAATGACTCCGTGCGCAGTTCATTCCTGATTCTCCACATGGACATCGTTCGCAGTATGCGGGCAGGAAGGGAGAGGGGCTGCCATGTGTTTGGGCGAGATGGTTGATGTATGCATGTCTATAAACGATAGAGACCCAAACCTTGAAGGGTATACAGGGCATGTACCTCGGCAGAGGTAATCCACTAACACCCCTTTGAATCCTAGCTCACACCACAGGTGGATCATAGTGGTCCCAAGGGGACAGCACAATGGGAGAGAACCCCATCGGAGGGATCCCCGTCCCAGTTACCTGGATAGCCAAACTGGAGACCCGCGGCCACCCACAGTCCTGGGGCGAATCCCACCCCATCCTGAGTCTCGCATTGATCTCTCACTGATCTTCGCAGCTCGTCTGGCGCGGACCTTCAATTCTCAGCCAATCATCAGAGCTTAGTTCATCGCACTGTCCATACCCTAACTCTCAATGCGGCAATGGTGCAAACTCTCCGGTGACGCTAAAAGGTTCCCCGTGGCTTCATCCTCGAAAGCTTCCTGTGCATTGGAACCCACCAGGCTGGATAACCGATGTTGCCATGGTGTGCATAATCGACGGTCCGCAATAACTCTTTCTTGGGTTGGTGAATCAGACGGGACGAACATTCCGCCGTTCTAGCAGAGCTAATCGCATCTCCACCCATCCACCAACACGCTAAATGCAAGCCTCCCACTGGCAAAGCAGAAAGCAGATTTGGAATATAAATGCACTGCACTGCAGCCACGGACAAATTTCCCGAAACGGCGGACGAGATCGTCCCTTAGATCTTCTTCCCAGCGCGCCCGATCGAAGGGTGCAGCTTCTGAGTGGCTGAAACAATGTCATTATGCCTCACGATGGCTGGGACCTCGTCCAAATCCTTGAATCATGCGCTTCTTGGAAGCCAATGACAGTGGTGCGTACTGCTATAACACCGAGATAGGCCTAACAAAAAAGGCAGTCTAAACTTGTAGCTTCGTCATTCAGGATTTCCCTGTTCCCAGTGCGCCGGAATGCTGTTCCCACTTTGCCGGGGAGGCCCGGCCCAAGCGAGCGATCGGTGGCTGGGATGATGGAATTTAGCAGAAAAAATAAAGTCTGATTCGCTCTCTTACCCCATTGCCAAATTTTACCTGCTCGGTAACAAATATCTTATCCAGATTGGGTTCATTTAGAAGATTCTTCGGCGATATTCCTTTCCCTCGGTTGCTCATTGAAAAAATGCGGGATATGAAGAACTGTATCCACACAATAACCCACTCAGTTCCACAGAATATACTATCGTAGCACCTGCCTCAATAATGAAATCCATCCACTTTTCGTCAAAGGCAACTCGCAGCCGGGAAGAACCTGCACCTGTTGCACGATCGAATTCGCCGATGCAAGGTACTCGGAAAGTCCATGTCAATGCGGAGGCAAAGAAGCAGCCCCGAAAGCATATCGCGGTAGCGAAATAAAAAGATGTCACCACAAAAGGATCTTGGCGTAAGAAATCTAGCAAGATCTGAACTCTGAATCCGCAGTCCGGGTTCTCATCGCGGATCATATGCATCAGGGCATCCCTGTATCTGGACCCGCGGGTATGCAGCTAGGAAGAAGACGATTTCCCCTCCTATTGTGCGGCGTGTGCCCCTCCTTTCTCCACTAGGCCAGGGCTGAAAGGAAAATCTCTCAAAAGTATGAAGGAGACCGAGCTTCCATCATGGATTGCGGCCCCGGACCCGGGGTTTATGCAAATCATATTTCATGGTGATGTTGATAGACGTCTCTGCAGACGCTGTGCAACGTCTCCATATATTCTAGTTACTATTAGGACAGGATTGTAGTCGATCGAGAGGGGAATTTTATGAGGCTGGCTGGACTTGGTACCGTGTACCAGGTTCGCCCAATGCGGCTGCTGGCTTATGACGGCGATTCACGGACCCTGTTGGTGGCTGCATTTACATCCTTGGTTTCTATCTGCAGGCACAAAGTACTCTACAGTAAGAACCACTCTACCACCATAGCCATGCAGCTCGGCCAGATGAAGGTGGGGAGGCCCGTCGAATCGTCGAATCGTCGGGAATTCCGGTTTCTTGTCAGGAACATGGTGAGTAAATTCGTGCAGCGTCACACAATCAGCCATCTGGTCACCGGATCTTCGATTAGAGGAAGAAAACAACATGGTGTACCTCGTACAAAAGAACAAATTCCCCGCACTCGGACATGCTCGGCTGTATCTTTGTAGAGCAAGAAAGGCAACGGTTTCAAGATCAACACATCAACTGACCAACCCCGCCGGTCAGCGTGAGTACGTAGTATCGGTTGGATGTTATTGCAGAGCAACTCTGCGAGATTGACCTGCTATCGGATTAGGCATTTTGGCTCTGGACATGACAGTCCTGATATTGTCCAGTCACCTGCGATCTCGGGTATGGATGCTCTGATTGGATCATCGGCGTACTCTGTCCCTTTATGATCAGATTGGGGAACGCACTCGACGTTTCCCCGAGGATTAAGCACTGACCCCTACCTCCGATCCCCTTGCCTGGCCCTCGATAGCTGAAACGAGCCTTGTCCAAGCGAGAGGGAGCTTGCTTCCGTACCACTGTATTGGCCAATCATGCTTTCACGTCCCCAGCAACACTCATTGGGTAAGCGGTGCTCCGAAGTAGGTACTTTCATACATGCACTCCATAACGAAGAAATGCAGGACGAAATGGAGGGCGGCAGGAGAGCATCTCACTAAGTCCTGAACCACACAAAATAATTTGGCATGCAACACTGTCCCACACCAGATCTGATCTATTGAACTGGTCGCTTTTTTGTGGACCGAATCCCTCCGTTCAGACTCAGGAACCATGCGGCTTTGTCCATGGCACCCTTCAAGATCCAGTTACGTATGCACACCACAAAATTAGAATTTCCGATCAGATTACTCACTTGTGCAACCCCTTCGATATCTTGATTTTCGATGCTCATTCTCTTTCCAAAGGGAGAAGTTAGAATTTGCCTCTGAATTGTACATCGAAGTTAATCGGAAATCGCATCGGAGGTGAATTCAAATCCTTCGACCTTCTCCTGGCTCCTGCATATTCACTACCTACTACTAGTAATGGCACTTATACATGTATTGCACATATACGAATATGTGTGTGCTTACAATTCAGTGCATATTTTGTCGCGTGGAAGGACTCCGTCCGCAGATACTACGCAGATACGTGAGCCTCCGGCAAGGGATGTCGTTTGCCACTATGGATTGCGTATAGGCAGAATTATTTCCCCGTAAAAATATACATAGCCACTTTACTCAAGCCATCATTGGCGAGCATCGTAAGTGCTTTTCAGATTTATTCTTAGAACATGAACGCTGGCTCGAGCTCGGAAGGAAAGGTGGGACTTCTGGTGGTGGCGGATTGCCAGTCTGAACTGTGTAGGAACCGCTGCAGGTATGGTGAGTTCGCGTGTGAACTCGCTCCAAACTTCCCCGCAGAAACTTCATGAGTTGAAAATTTCTTCATCTCTCTGCATGAGTGCTTTGTACTTAGCTTAGTATCACCTATGCTGGGCTGCAGGCGCCGTGGCTGGTGGCCAGGTGGCAGGGATTGTTCACCGCTACAACCGACCCCAAATATGCCCAGCTGTTTGACGCTGAGGGAAGAAAATCCTTCAAGGCTTTGATATCAAATTGACACCGCCATGTTTGGTCCTCGACACTACTGCAGAAAACGCTGGCGAAACTGGATTTGCAAGGCGCCAATTGGAAATATGTCATTCTGTATATGCAACTAACGTTTTGTTGTTGTTACCCCCCTGGACACCGACAAACTGATCGAAATTTTCCTTCTCTTCTCCCATATGTGCTTCAGGGGTGGTGTATGCACAAAGTACAAAAACATGAAACAAAGCAAAACAACGCTGTACAAGGACCGCAATATCGGTTCCAATAACAAGGGGGCAGGGGAATGACAAAGCACTTTTCTGAGTGACCAAGCGAGTTGCCAAGCCAATCAGTCGCATTCGATCATGTTGCATTGGAGGCGCAAGATAATTGAAACACAGGATGGCTACGGACGGGGGCTGAATGGGGTTGTTTGTCTTGCGTAAAATTTTCAGAAAGCTTTAGGCCATGTTTGCTGCAACTCTTGCCTCTGTCAAGGATGTGCGAGGACGAGACGACCGGGGTATTGCATTCGAAGAAGCGCCTTCTCCGGATTGGAGCAAATTGGTCATCCATGCACAAACAGCCTGCGCCACACGCAGGACCTCCTCAATGCGGTCGGAAATGGGCAGGACAAGCAGACAAGAAACATGACCCATGCAGGCTGTGTGGGATTGGACACTCGGAATGTAGACTGACTTAGCGATCGGACCGAGTGGTCCAGATCAGGCCCGGACTCCCCGAGCCATTCAGATTACGAATGCTTGACGCCTCCTTTGGTGCGTAGGTGTGAACAGGCTAGCTGAAGACACATTGCCACATGACGCGTGAACTTGATCAGTGCTAGTCAAATCCCGGTTGTTCTTGTCGTTACTGGGAGGAACCTGCGATGCCATCGCTGTCCAACAGGCCTGCCTCCTTCGCAAGGTCGTGGAAGCGACCACCGCGCTTAACCAGTTCAGCAGGAGTGTCGAACTCAGCAACACGACCCTTGTCCAAGACAACAATGCGATCGGAATCAATGATTGTGTTGATGCGGTGCGCAATGGTGATGATAGTACGGTCCTGGAAGATGCTGCTGCGTAACGTGCGCTGCAGCAGTGCATCGGTTTCGACGTCCACAGCCGCGGTTGCCTCGTCCAAAACCAGGATATTGCTTGGTGTGAGTAAAGCACGGGCGAGAGAAACCAGCTGGCGCTGGCCTTGACTCAGGTTGGAGCCACCTTCCTGGATTTGAGTGTCGAGCTGGCCATCCATCTGGGCGACGTGCTCCTTGAGCTTGGCATGGTCTATGATAATGCAGTTAGTATCGCCTCATTTTAGATATCGGGTAAAACAGTAGTATATCCATACCTAGTACGCTCCAGAGCTCGGTGTCATCATGAACGTGTCGAGGGTCCAGGTTGTCACGCAGAGTACCCTCAAACATGGCAGGGTCCTGAGGAATGATAGCCAGGCGACCGCGGAGGTCGAAGAGGCCAGTCTTCGAGACATCAAGCCCGTCAATGCTATATACACGTCAGTTAAAGAACTCAGATACGATGTGATCCATGAATCAAAACTTACTCAATGCTGCCATTGGTGGCCTCGATGATCCGGAACAGAGCCAGAGTGAGAGAACTCTTTCCAGCACCAGTTCGACCGACAACCCCAATCTTTTCATGGGGTTTGATGTCGAGGGTGATGTCCTTGAGGACCAGGTCAAGACCCTCGCGATAGCGGGTGCTGTAGTTCTTGAAGGAGACAGCACCTTGAGCAGGCCAGCCGATAGCAGGACGACGCTTGAAGATAACTTCAGGTGCCTCGCTGGGAAGGTTCGCATACTCCAGCACTCGCTCAACAGACACGATATTGGTCTCGACCTCAACAGTTTGGCGAACGATCCAGTTCAAGGACTGTGTGATCTGAAGAGCATATGACATGGCCAAACCGACCATACCCGCGGTGATACCGCTGCCACTTGCAACGGAGAGAATGGCAAGTCCAGCGGAGGCCAAGATGATGATGGAACCAATGAATTCCAGCCTCACGGCCAACCATCTGTTCGCACTGATAGATGGGAAGTAAGCACGCAAGTTGGCGTCCATGCGCCATTCGTTCTCAAGGGCAAAGCGGTTTTCCTGTTTGTAGGCACGAATAGTACAAATACCACCGAGCGATTCCTGGAAATGGGCAAAGATGGGGCTTCGAGTGACACTGTCCAGGCGCTTCAACTCACGAGAGGTTCGCAAGTAGTACTTCTGATAACTGAGATATACCCAGCCCAGAGGGAGAACGAATATCAGGAAGGCTGGGGTCGATGTACAAATGACAGTCATGGTGAAAATGGCGCGAGCAGCGTTGGCGAACAGCATGTTAAAGGTACGCGCAAGGACCTCATCGACACGGTACACATCGCTAGAGAATCTGTTCAGGATGCGACCTGATGGGGTTGTCTCGAAGAAGCTCATAGGAGAGCGGAAAATGGCAAAAGCCATGCGCTCGTGGAGTTTGCGAGAGGCCTCGATGGAGCAGAAGATCCAGAGAATCAAGTTTTGGACGATGACGAGAAGAGACGAGCCCAGACCAAAGGCTAGATAGACACCAATGAACTTACCGACACTAGCATTTGCGCCATGTGACTCGTTGGCTTCCGTCCAACTCTTCAGCCAGAAGTTTCCAAGTACTTGGGCGGTTTGCGAAAGCAGAAGAGCAAGCAAATAGAATGAGACCGCCACAATGTTGCTATTCTTGGCGTATTCTCCGTAGACGCTCCATTTAACTTTGCCTTGCTGAGAGGTCTCTTGGGTCTGCTTGCTCTTGAGAATATTTTCTTCATCTCCCAGCTTGCGACGTGGGCCCTGCCAGGTTGCAGTACTGGCTCGCCGCAGAGTAACATGGCTAGCCTTGCGCTGGGGACTACGCCCACTCTTAATTGGGACAAGAGAGCCCGGCTGCTCGAGTTCTTCACTGTCGGGGTCCTCTTCATCATCAAGCACAGCAGTAGACTCGGAGTTTCCAGGGCTAGCGAGATCATCGTCGGATGCATCAGAGCGTTCGTCGTCTGACTCTGCAAGGTTGGTCTTCACGAGATTGAAGATTTCGCCCTTCATTGCCATCAGTTGTTCATATGTACCCTTTTCAATGATCGTCTTGTCACGCAGCAGGCCAATGAAATCAGCTTCTTTGAGAACGGTGATAGCGTTGGTGGCCAAGATTCTTGTCTTTCCAGCCAGAATACCAGAGCTACCGAGAACTTTGTCGATAATGTGGCGACCGACGTGCTGATCCACGGCAGAAAGAACATCGTCGAGGAGGTAGATATCTGCACGTGCATATACTGCTCTTGCGAGTGTCAAACGTGCCTTCTGTCCTCCAGAGAGTGAGATACCACGCTCTCCGACTTCTGTCTGATCACCATCGGGCATGATCTTAAAGTCATCGACCAAAGCGCAGGCCTCGACCGTCAGTTCGTAGAAGGCTGGGTCCCATCGGTGACCGAATACAATGTTCTCACGAACACTAGCATTCATCACCCAGGGTGCCTGGGCGACGTACGCGACACGTCCACGCACAACAACTTCACCATGGTTCTTCCAAAGTTCTCCCAGAAGGGCTTGGAGCAGGGAAGACTTTCCTGCGCCGACACGACCAACAATGCAACTAAGCTCACCTTTGCGGGCGCTCAAATCGATATTTTCGAGGACCGGGACTCCGGTATGACGGTTCCAAGTCCAAGAAGCATCACGAACGCGAACTGACTCGTCACCAGTATGTTCAACGGGGTCCTGGAAAATGACAGACTCGGTCTGCAGTTCCTCTGCCGTAAAATAATCCATGAGACGTTGTACAGCCACGGTTGACTCAATTACAGAGGTGATGACCATTGGTAAGATCGACAGGGGAATGTGAGTAGGTTGAATAGAGTCAGGGCAGGGAAGACGATCTCGGTGGTCAGGGGCTTGTCACTGGTAAGGACAAAGACGGTGAAGGTCGAGCAGGACACGAGGAAGGGGGTAGACTGCCAAGTAAAGTTTGCAATAGACTGGGTCGCACCAATCTTGCGGAGTGTGTTCAGTTCAAGATCATTTCGAATATGACTGAGCTTGTTCATAAATGCAGTGTTCCAAGCATAGAGCTTTATGCTCTTAATGTTATTCAAGATTTCAGTCATCAGGCGAGTACGCGAATCCTTGTTCTTCATCTGCTTGATCTGGAGTTTCTTCATCATTCGAGCAATGACACCGTTCAGTGGGATCATGAGAATCATAACACCGACACCAGCAAACATGCTTGGCCCGACAAGCTGGTAGAGCGACAGCATACAGAGGACAATTTGAAAGGGGGCAGATAACAACTGTGTACCAAACTGAGTAAGGTCAGCCAGTCGCTGCTGATCCACAGCCATGTGATTGACGATGTCGCCAGTAGTCTTGGTGGCACGGCCTTCGCTGGAGAGACGGAGGGCCTTCGAATAGATCAAAGCAGTCAGAGACGACTTGACACGCATGCCTGTATCGAAAGCACGTTGAAAGTACTGGTGGAGACAGCTGGTCTGACAGACGGACACAAAGAACATTGCCAGTGCGATCGCAACGCCTCGTATGACCGGCTGCGGATCCGGTCGTCGATATGAATCAATGAAAGCGATCAGATAACGAAGAAGCTGCGGCTGAACAAAGGCAAGCATGTCACTAGCCGATTTGATAATTGAACCACGGATGTATGGACCACCGAATGCCTTGAAGAGAGCGATCCACAGGGACGGCTTCTTCTTGTCGAGTTCTTCCTCCCATGCCTGGCTAAGGCTATCGAGAGTAGCACGAGTAGCGTCTCGGCGACGAAGGTTCCAAAGGTCATCCTGGGTAAGGTAATTTTCATATCCAAACTTCATCAGCGGTGTCATCCAACCGAAGGTGAGGACTGAGAAAATATCCGCATAGTTGTAAGGGCATTCATCCTCGTCGCCAAGAGCGTCGTAAGCACTCTTCTTTTTGGCGATGAAGTATTCCAGAATAAACTCTAGCAACCCAAGTCCTAGACTTATGTTGATGCAGACAAAATATGGGAGCTGGTCCACATAATCCTTCCGATCGACGAGGGAATGCAGCTTAATCGCATAGGTGATGTTGAAGAAGAGCCAGTAGAAGAGAACCACGCCGTTGGGCTGGCGACTCCGCCAATGCTCATAATATTGTACCGCAAAGATGACGCCCAAGGAGGCAAACGTGAGGAGTGAGGACCAGAAACGGAAGTCAGCAAAAAAGGTCTTCGGCTGGGTTTCGGCTTGCACGGCTACTTGAAGGGCCGTGACAAAGAGGAGTGCGGCGAGGACAGCCTATGGAAAGGAAAAATTATTAGTACATGCAGTTTCATGCAGTTTCCCGAGATGGCAATCCGGGTAAAGCTCTGCGGGGATCGACATACCAGCTTGGCATAGAAGTGCCAATTCTTCGAGACTGGTTGGGGAATGCGCTTCTTCAGCAGGAGATAGAGCGCTCCTGCACCGCCCAGTGTGCCCCAAATAGCGACAAGGGCCACGATCGCATCTATAAAGCACGGAGTGAGGTGGAAGCCCAGTGGGCTCAACGGACCCCAGCCCTCAGCATCGCTGCAGAAGGCCTGTTGATGATGTTGGAAACTTAAAGCCGAGTCCAGGTGTGACTGAGACTGCGACTGCGAATGGTTCCCTGGGTAGGAAACCCCCAGGGGCACCTGGGAATTGCCATCTAACATCTTGCAGTCATGCGACAACTGACGCCCTGTTCGACCTTGTGGTTCAGGACCAGAAGAACTTCAATTTAAGGGAAGAAGAGAGGAGGCGGCGGTGTCGGAGAGCTTTCCAGGCTGCTTACTAAAAGCCGAGCTTCTGACGCTTTCCAAAAATGCGTAAGTCCGGGCGGACGCCCCACCGGATGACTCCACCGTTTGAATGGGTCTGGACAGTCTTGACTTGGTGTCAGGAATCCATTCTTCTATTATTGAAAGCAGCCGGAATGAACAATATCACCGATGAGTCCAAAAAGCGAACTCCGAACCCGCATTTGGTATATCAAGTCACGTGATGGTGATATTATGCAAACGGTATCATATCAGATCCCCCAATTCATCATCCTCATTTAGGCTCTTGCTATTGGTCGATCTTGGTTCTTTATTTGGGTTTGAGCAATTTATATGCATTACAGAATAACTTGAAGTATCTTCAGTGAAGGTTTTGACAGTAATTGGTTTGCCCCAGGGCTCGGTACTACATAAAACTGCTGATATATATTGACCCACATCGCTCTACTTTGTCCCTGCAGTTTCCAAGGTCACTCCAGGCTTTTGCTTCCGAGCCCGAGTCGTTTTTCACCAATATCCCCCTTTCACGCTTCATCCGAGAACCTCTCTGCCAAGCTCCATTTTACCGCGCTAGTAATGCTTGTCTAACCAGCTCATCCAACCGAAACCGGGGAAATCCAGATGGCGGCCATGCGGCAAGGGATGACGCCATCTCGAGACATTCACGTGTTTCAAGTCGCGTCGACCACGTTATTATAACAAGCGTGAGACAAACATGTTGTGTAAAGTAATCAGACAGACCATGATGCCGTCGTCTTTAGAATTTATTATCGCTTTAGAGCCTTGGAAACCTTGGAATCGAACTCCTAGTTATGCAACTGGTACACTCCAAGTCACTTCACCGCCCCACCGATTCTGTTTACTGGATGGCTTCTCCCACTGGCAAGCATAGAAGTATTGCTGCGAGAGCTAGCTTCAACTGTCGAGCGCTGCAATTTGGACACCCTTTTGCTACTTGGACCATGGTCCTTTTTAATATAGATTAGTATGTATTTCCAATACAAATTTAGATACACTGTCATACAGTAGCATATCAAAAGTTTACAATCTTTTGTTAGGCTATTTTAGACTTCCGCTTTTGAATAGCAGACTAGTAGCTACCTAAGATGAAACAGATTAGCCTATTTATTATATCTTCGGTAGCTACTACTAATCTACTGTTCAAAGGTAGCCAATTCAAGTTATAGCGGGTAATAGAGGGTTGCAAACTTTAGTTGTATATCCAAAATTGTATAGGAAATACTACATACTAATATGAATTTAGAAGGACCATGGTCTATTTAGCAAAATGGATGGTTCAACTAGTAGCACACCAACTGTCCTTCAGAAGTTCACTTAATTAGGAAATCCCTGGCTTTCCACCATCATCGAGAGATGAGGAAGGGGCCTCTCCGCGGGCAGAGTGGGCGATGGAAAAGTCGTTGATAGTTTTAACCGAATTCTCCAGCATTGCTTGATTTAATACAAATTTCGACCTGAGAGGGGTGTTGTTATCTTGATATATCGTCTCTTTAATCTATATCTTCAAAGTTCAACGTGGTGAGATGCGTGGTCCAACCTCGGAAATCGGTGGCTTGCCGACCGACCAGCTCGGCTATAGAAGCATTCGCCGATCCGGGCTATTAATATCCGATCACATAGAGAAAGTGCATAACGCTTCATGCGTGCACGATGAAGATCTCGAAAGAGGAAAATAAACCAGAGGACTGGCATTTCGTTGGTCGTGTGTCTGCTTTCTCAGACATTGGCCAGGATGAAAAAAGCTGCCGAGTTTTGTCTGGATGCAAGACGCTCAGTATTCCCAAGACAGATGATCCCGAGCAATCGCGAAGGAATCGTTTTTTCGGATCTCAGTGACCAAGTACTTGTGTTCAAATATAAGGGATTTCTGCACGCAATCGATAATGTCTGTCCAAATACCTTAGTAAGAAAAAGACCTTTCCCAGAATGAAGGCTAACCCTGCGCCAGCAATGTCCCCATTCTGCATTCCCGTTAAAACAAGGCAACATTTTCGATATTGAAGATCTCGGGGCTGGAATTAGATGCTTTAGGCATGGATGGAGGTTTGACCTCTTCACTGGAAAGGGAGACCGGGGTAGCCACAAACTTAGTTTATGGGACATTGAGTTGCGGGATCCTCCATCGCTTGAAACCGATGAGGTCCCTGACAGTACAGACAAGGAGGTGTGGGTCCGAAGACCACCACAGACCTGAGTGCAGAGCATAAAACAATTGCATGTATCAGGAGCTCCACGATGATAGAAAGCCAGCTCGTCATGAATGTCAAACTAGCGTGCTTCAAAACAAGGAGTCAGATCAGTGGCTCAAGGCTGACGCTAAGAATGAACAAGGAAGTCATATTGGTGAGTCCACCGCGGTTCCGGGTTGAGTATTGCTGATGATAGTATGGTAATTCAGGACAGGATCAAGAAAGGGAATAGGCAAGAATGCACTATGGCCATGTAGAAGATGACATCCTCTATCTGATAGTAATCTGTGAGATGTCTATTTGCAGGATCTATAAAGTGATCCCTGAACCACTTCGCTCATATTATTTGGAGCTGGAAGATACGGAGGGGACACTGGAAGTGAATTGTGATTCTATACGCTAGTTGAAATACCGATCCGAAGTATATCGTATACAGAGAGATAGCTCGAATGACCCATGTTTACAAGTCTGAGTGGTCACACATGTTATTCTTTATTTTCCAATTTGTCATCTTGTTTGAAATGGCCGAAGGAGACTATGAAATTTCACGGAGGATGCAATTTTTTTTTAAAAAATTTTGGACTATACTTAGCTTATTAGTGATAATTATGAATCATCCCGAGTGAATAGATCACATTCAGATAGTTATAGCCTCGTAAATGAACGGGGCTGACGCCGTATGAGTCAAATGGAAGAGGCTGAGCCGCGGGGACCGCATTGAGGCGGCCCCACCCACGCATAAAAGCAGCTCCCCGCCCGGCAGTAAAAGAGACCATCGGCGTCATATTGGAGGGGTTTACACTCACGCATACACTGTACATTCCACACTTTACCAGCCATGGCAGATTCTCGTGTCGAGGAGCTCCTCAAGAGACCTCTCTATGGTGCGCACATCTACCACGCTTCGATTGTGTTCTTTCGCTAATCTGCTGCTTGCAGTATATGATCTCCCACAAGAGCTTCTTTCAACTTTGACCACAAAAACCGGAACCCAAGACATCGCTGCACAGACCCCCGAGCCCACTCCCAAAGACCCCGAGCTTGCAGCGCAAGAATCCGCGATTGCATCTTCGACGTTGTGCTCCGTCTGCAACGTCACCTACCGAAATGTGGAGGAGCAACGAGGTCATGTCAGATCTGACCACCACCGATATAACATCAAGACCCAACTGAGGGGTAATGCACCCCTCGACGAGGCTCAATTTGTTAAAGCTGTGGGGGAACTGGACGAGTCTATATCCGGATCAGAGTCTTCAGAGTCAGACGATGATGAACCCGAGGACGGCACCGACACAACACTCACAGCCTTGTTGAAGCGACAAGCGAAGCTCTCCGGGTCACCCGAAGAGGCAACAACTACCGTGCAAAGGACCGCGAAACAACCTCTTTTTTGGCTGTCCAGTTCCGGTCTCCCATCCAACAAGTCACTGGGCATCTATCGGGCGATTTTCTCCAATGTTGAACAAGATGAGCCTGGCCATTTGGTGGACACCCTACGGAAAAAGCAATTGGCTCCCATCAAGGCGCGCACAAATAAGGCACAGGCTCAACAGAGTCCTCCAGACTCCAGTCCTCACATCTTCATGTGTATGATTGGCGGTGGTCATTTTGCCGCAATGCTGGTTTCCCTCGCCCCCGAGATCCACCGCAAGCAAGGTGGGGTGGAAGAAAGACAAGCCAGAGTAATTGCGCACAAGACCTTTCATCGTTATACTACTCGACGCAAACAGGGTGGCTCTCAATCTGCTAGCGATGCGTCACGGGGAGCTGCCCACTCTGCCGGTTCCAGTCTGCGTCGATACAATGAAGCGGCGCTTGAGAAGGATATTCGAGAGCTACTTACGGACTGGAAAGAGATGATTGACAGCGCGGACCTGCTATTCATCCGCGCCACAGGAAAAACGAATAAGAGAATTCTCTTCGAGAAGTACGACAACCACGTTCTCAAGCAGAATGACCCGCGGCTGAGAGGGTTCCCCTTCAACACTCGCCGAGCCACGCAAGGAGAACTCATGAGATGTTTCAAGGAGTTGACCCGCGTAAAGGTCAGTGAAATTGACGAGGCCGCACTGGCCGCCGCCGCTGCCGCTGCCGCGGCGAAAAAGAAAGAAGAATCGAAGCCCTCGACGCCACGCCCACAGCCACAAAAGCCAAAACTATCCAAGGAGGAAGAAGAGGCTTTGTTGCATACCTCGCAAATCCAAGCCTTGATTCGCCGCTCCAAGGTTCCTGCTTTAATGTCTTACCTCTCAAACAACTCCATTCCTTCGTCATTTACTTTTATACCTGCCGACTCAACCCAGAACTTCCGTTCTCCGACTCCGCTTCACCTTGCTGCCAATTTAGATGCTCCGGCGGTTGTTGCTGCCCTCCTCACAAGGGCTGGAGCAGACCCGACAATTGCCAACGGCGAAGGACGTACACCGTTTGAATTGGCCGGAGACCGTCCGACGCGTGAGGCCTTCCGTATTTCCCGTCACGAGTTGGGTGAATCGAAATGGGACTGGACCGTGGCAAAGGTTCCATCTGCGGTATCAAAGACAGAAGCCGATAGTAGGGCCGAACGGGAGAGGAAGGCCGCTGAAGAGGAGGAGAGTAGCCGTCGGAAAATAGATTTGGAGCGACTGAAGAAAGAAGATGTCGAGAGAGAAGCACACCAAAGGGCCAGCAAAGGTGGTCGGGCCCTAGGAGCAGTGGAGAAAACCGCTGCGGAGAAACGCGACGAAGAGACTCGAGGGATGACTCCGGAGATGAGGATGCGATTAGAGCGAGAGCGGAGAGCCAGAGCAGCTGAAGAGCGTTTCCGGCGGATGCAAAACAATTAGGCCGGTTTTGTATACTCATTTAGAGTCGTTTTTCTAGCGTTGTGTCTGCATAAATATCCTTAGAATATTGTATAGGAATTTTGATGAACCATGAACGTATACTTTCGCACAACTTCAAGTTTGGTTTTTGTCTTTAGGGACTAATACTACTAGTAGTATTAATAGTAGTATTTTACTAGCTAATGGCTGGATGATTGATGTCCGAGTCCCAGGAAAGTGCCTGCTTAATATCCAGGCAGTATCAGGGCAAAACACATGGTCCAAACCATAAATATCTTAATACAATTCACCACAGCAAAAGAGAATACTAAACCACCTGCAATATTTTGGGTTTGCCTTGCAGCATGCATTGCTTTGTTCTACAGACATCCTCTCCTTTTGTTTTGATAGTATCTAGGAATTTCCCTTGGAGTGCACATTCCTTTGCTCTTTGAGCATAGATGTAGCATTTACACTGAAGACTGTAAGAGGAAATACTGTAGCCGGAGACCAAACTCTACTCTAATTGAATACTGTATCCACCACCTATGGCCATTTGCACCTTCCCAGGTTAATCGCCAACTTGAACGTAATCCGCCACGCAGTTAGGAAGCCACCACCCTCCGATCCCATTCCTTCCCACTTCACCACTCCTCCACTCCTCCACTCCACCGACTCACTCACTCATCCTTCCCCTCCCCTCAACCTCTGCATCCACATACGCTCTGCCTTTTCAGTGTACAACACATAGAGAGCCACTCGTTATCTTTCTCTATCAGATTCAACCATGGACCGGCCATCTGCTTACCATTCTTCACCGAGAGGTAGAGGTACTCAGGTAGGCACTTTCGTTCGCTTGAACCCGAAAATCCAGCAGGCCAGCGATCGATTTGAGATATACAGCAACGAAGAGATCATAATTGGTCGAAGTGCGCGCCTCTGGTGAGTACAGCCTTCTCGAATCGCTCACATCACTTAACCCCAAATTCCAACAAATTTTCCCATTTAGCCAGTACGAGATCCCCGATCCCTACGTCTCAAACACCCACATTCGAATCTACACCATTATCTTCGACCAGGACGTGTCGTATGATGTGGCTCCACTAGTGTATGCCGAAGACCTGTCTCGCAATGGGACTTTGCTAAACGGTCACCTCATGGGTCTCGGAAATGGTGGTTTTCTCCTCCGCCAAGGCGACGTGCTTTCGATTACTCGTGACATTTCCATTCGATTCCACTCGGCGACCTATGTTAGTGACCGATGCTTTAGTGATCTCCAAAGTAAAGAGATTCAAGTAGGTCTCTATATCGGTTATCCGATCTAACCTCATCTGATCATGGTTCCAGCAATTCCGACACCAATACCTCGTGACCCCCCGAGTTCTGGGCTTCGGTGCCTACGGCCGAGTCCATATGTCTGTCCAAGAAGGCACAGGAAGGCAGTTTGCCTGCAAGATGATCAACCTCAAAGCTAGGGCCCGCGGCTCCGATGATGAGGAGGAAGATCAGGACCAGGACTCCAGGTTCTTCAACAGTGGTTCGCTCAAGCCCACCAAGCCCCGAAAGGCCGGGTTGGACAAAATGATGAAAGATAGACTGGAACGCAACCAGCGAGAGGCAAGAATACTGGCAAATCTGTCTCATGTAAGTTCTCACCATCGGTTTCGATGTTCATTGTCGTCGCAAGATTCTAAATCGCCGCGCAGCCAAACATCATCGCCCTCAAGAAGGCCTTTCGGTCGGACAACACAATGTCAGTTTGAGTATTGATCCGAGAACAAAAATGGCTTGTCTGACCATGCTAGGTACATTATCTCGGAGCTTCTCTCGGGAGGAGATCTTTTCTCGTTCATCAAGTACAAAGGAGGGCGACTTGAAGATCTCACGGCGGCTGCAATCACTCACCAAGTTCTGCTTGCGGTGGAATACCTACACGATCAGAACATCATACATAGGGATATCAAGCCAGACAACATTATGCTGACCTCTCTCAAAGTCGGAACCAGGGTTGTCTTGACTGATTTCGGCTGTGCAAAGGTGATCGATAAATCAGCGAAGCGAACAACAACTGTCGTCGGCACCCTTGAGTACTGCGCTCCGTAAGTATTGCCCTCATTTCCACGAGGTCTTATACTGATCGGTTCAAAAGTGAAGTTTGCCGATCCAACAACCGCGGATACACGAAGGCCATCGATTTATGGTCGCTTGGATGCGTGACGACGGTCATAGTGGCTGGATACAGCCCGTTCGATGAAGGAAAACGCTTTGGCCAGGATGAACTCGACATACTGGAGGATGAACTCATATCGCTGGGGGCTAGCGAAGAAGCCACAGATTTTATATACCGCTTGCTCATTCTGGACGAGGTCGAACGCATGGATGTCAAGCAGGCATTGCAACATGGTTGGTTTACAAACCCAAGGTACCAACCGATGCTCGACAAGCTATACCAGCGGGCCATCCAAGACTGGGTGCCACGGCGAGATGAGTCGATCATTGTCGATCTACAAACAAAAACCAATTACCTGACCATTTTTCGATCCCCTACTCAGGGCCCCGTCTTCAGAAGTGAACCTGTCCCAATTTGTCGACCTCCTTCAGTTGATCATATTTCCGAATCTTCATATGATGTTGTTTCTGCAGCAAGCACACCAGCTCTCGAATCCCCCACCCTGACCAACGTTTTCCGGTTTGATGCAAGGACCTTCAAGGGAAATCAATTTACTGCCTTCCGCGAGAAACCGATTCCCCAGGACCCCGATGACGAAGTCCGGAATCTGGAACAAGAGATTGATGAGTCGCCTACGAAGCGATACAAGAAGTCTGTCTTTCACGGGCCCAAGCGACATGAGATTGATCAAGAGCTTGAAGACCGGTATTTGGAGACGGCCTTTAAAATGGCCAAATTCCAAGTCAAAGAGGAGATTGGACTGAAGTTACCCGAGACTCTTGCTCTGGCGAAGAAATACCTACAGAAAGGGCAGCCTGGAGGCGATTCGGAAGCAATCGATCGGTCAATGAGCCAGCCCAGGTGGCTAACAGTCGGGACTCGCTGTGATCGCTCACCCTCAGAATCTAAAATCCGCTCCATTCGAAATAAGGCCCCGATGCATGATGAAAAGCAGGTTGAAAAGAGAGATGAAGTCTACGAGGAATTCCACAACCCATTCACTGGAAAGAAAAGACGATATATTTACGGTCGAGATGTGGAGAGTATTATCGCGATGTCTTAGCGCTTCGCCGTCGCGTGGATGGGGAAGAAAATTCACACGACAAGCGTCTCTAGCCGATACCTATGCTTACATTTATCGGGCGATGCTAGTATCTTAGTCTGGAGGTGTATGAGGAAGTAGAAGAAAAATGGTATCTTATGCCAGATATCAAAGAAACTTATACGATCATGTTAATCTAATATCTAATACAGCAATCTTACAATTTCAAGAAGTATGCCTGAATTTGTGAGGACATCAAGAATAGGAGTGACCCAATATTGGTGGCTTTTAGAATTGAATCCCTCACAATTACTATTTGTCGCGTTTTTGAAAAGAGACATCTGCAGCCGCCAACTACTTAGATCAAAGGGGTTGAATACCATCAAGGCAGAGTCTCCCCCGCTGAACGCACTTTTGATTGACTCGGACAACTCTATGCAGGTAAAACGTTTGGTTAGAACGTCTTTCAGGAACAGTCTCACCAACCGCATTGCGAGGCCAGGTTGCGACACACCACATGTTGATCCTCATAGAAAAGAGCAAGAGTCTTCCTTCGAAGCCACGCAGGACAACTCAGCAACATCACTACGAACTACCACTACTAGTACGAATGAGTCAATTGTTCCTGTTTCTGAATCCTTACCAATAATTGACCCATGTCTCACCAGGTTGCTAGGGTGTCAAGGGAATCAATAAATCAAAACAATAACATTCGGTGGCAAGACCCCTTAAAGGGACACCGTCCCCTCGTTGAAACCAGGGCCAGGATTTCGAAAGAAGGGCCTTCCTGGCTGAATTCGCATGCGGAGGAAGGAGGGAGAATCAGCTCCAGTCACGCAACCGCCCAAGGCGAATGAATGAATATCACGCAGAGAACTCCACAACATGTCGACGAACAGGGACTCGCGGCAATCGATAGCTCATTGGGACATATCCACAGTGGCAACGGACGACAACGAACAGCCCTTTGAGGACGAGGGTGGGATAAGCCCCGGCCTAGCTCGCGAGGTCCTTTCCGCAATCACACGCTGAGTTGCTTTGAGCTGGAGGGGTGCGGATACAATCTATTGGCTGGTCATTGCCAGAGAGACTGGGGGTGGGACTGTTCAACTGAGAATTGATTGATGTCTTGCCCCTAGATGTCTGTGATTCGATGGTGTGGCCACTGAACAGGGCGGCGAAGGGCGCATATTGTGTGATACAGGGCAAGGTGGGCCGGGGCCGGCACTGGGGTGGGAAAATTCAAGGGAGGCTGTGTCTGTGTCTTGGTTAGGAACGGGCGAGTGTGGTCCACTCGGTCGATGAGGTCTCACCTTCAAGGGTCGCTGGTGGGCCATTTGACTGTGATGTCTTAACCTGGGTCTTGGGGGGGATCTGATTTCCAAAGGATTTTCATCGGCTGGGTGGGATATTAATGATGCTCACCAATCAGGCCAATGGCTGTATCCATCAGGAATTGATCTGACTTTACTGTTGATTCGCTGATGGAACAGAAAGGTTTGGACTGAAACTACCTTTGGCTTTTCGTGCAGGCGTGGAAAACTGTATGGAACCAGCAAATGATCCGCAGAAACCCGTTCATATTTGGAAGAGCATTAATAAAAAGATTGGTGGCAGATCTAGAAAAGAGAGAAAAAACCCCTGGCTCGATATCCAACAACAGAATAGAGTAGCCGAGTACCAGAACCTGACTCTCATTGATTGTCGTAACTCGACGATTCACTCCAACCGCCACCCAAATCGCGATTTTCTTTTCTCAACCCTGGATAGAATATAAGACATAGCCACCACAGAACCGAATCAGAAGCAGACGCCAAGAAGAAAAACCCGCAAGTGGGAGTTTCCAGAGAAAAATTGTGAGACTTCGTAGACACTCCCTGGCAAAGGAGTATCAAAGCCCTAGCAAAGCCTGGTTGGAGGGGCAACGAGGGATCGATCCCAGCCACAGGTGCGCATGAAGGGTATCAGAGTTCGGGAGATGATCTGCATTAGCGCCCGTTGTGGACAGGGAGATGTCTTGCATTTGGTCGTGCAGGACCGGGACCCTGCAGGGTCACCTCGAGGTGAAGCTAAGGGTTGTCTGTATAGCCAAGGCAGAGGGAAAGGCTAAAGCTGACCTGCAGGGCACGATGTTTGGATATAGATCCTTGATCTGTCTGTGCCTGGTTAGTCCGGTGAGATTAATCTAGTCTGCACCTATCAATTGCGGTGGTGAGGAATAGTCGTATCTGAGTTTGGGATCCCTTGCGTCAGATTGGATTTTGCTTGGAGGCTGGGACACCGGGTGAGGGATGGAGGGGTAGAGGGGCGCATTTAGGGTAGTAGAGATGCGGTGCGAGAGGGCTTCTCTTGATCCAATCCGGCCACTGGGGTTGAATTGGGGGTAGAGCGGAAAAAGGACGCCCTTGAGGGTGCGATGGGAGGGCGGAGCATCCCTATCTAGAATGCGAATCGCGAAATTGCTGGTAAGAGCTCTCTACGGAACAAGAGATGGACTGGTCTGTCATTGAATTGATTATGCATGTCACGTATGGAGATGATAATGCACACGTTTGATGGTGGTGTGCAGGGCCGTCGGGATGCAGTCTGCACCTGCGGGCCTGCACCCCGCAAAGGACGGGCGATGCCGAGGCGGTGCGGGATAATGCAGAGCAAGAGGCTGATTGCTCTGCATGGGCCGTGCAGAACGCAAGGGCTATCTTTGTGGAGATTAGTGATCACTATCTTAGCCTCGAAGGGCTTGTATAGTTTCAACGGGTTTCGAAGCATTCGGTTTGAGTAGTTAACTGTTTGAACAACATGTTTGTGATGAAGGGTTGATGGATACATCGGTGTAGGTTCAATAGTTTCTATAGTAGATTTTGAGAGTACTCTGTAGAATCGCCAGGACTGTAATGAGTATGGAGTAGAGGACGTACTCATACTTCATACGTGCAGAGTAATGCTCTAACGCACGTGGCTCTGCACGCATATCCCAAACAGGAAAGGCCCCGACTGACTATTATTGCTGATTGGTCGGCGCGACCCGCGTCTCCCACGCGCGTGGCCACGCGTGTCAGACGCGTGGGAGACGCGCTGCGGTTTTCCTTTGAGCCTCGAGGAATGGACTGAACCCAGGACTGGACTAAGACTAGGACTAGGACCCTGGTAGAAATCAGAATGGCTGCCCTCTCCTTCTCGAGGGCTGGTATGGCAGGGTCGGAACCCTTCTCGCCAGCCTTGAAGGGTGGTATGGCATGAAGAAAGGAAAGGCTGACCCTGGACGCGGTCCAAGTCCTCTAGAAGTCTATTAAACCGCGTTTGGTCGCCGATTGGAGGCACCTCAAGAGGGGAAATTGGAAATTTTATTGAGATTGAGATCATGCTATTGTCGACAGATACCTACCCTGCGCTAGCGTGGTCAATAGGCACGAGGCCCGGACTAGGATGGCATTGGCCAACTGCAGCACACTGCGCGTCATTGTCATTGATATTGCATCCACAGCCGGTTACCCGGGCACTACGGAGTAGGCTGATGCGATAATTCTCAACGGATATGGCCATGCGGTCATGATGATACTTTTTGCCTGCCGATCCTCTTCAACTAGAGTGATGGAGCCTGAGCGGGTCAGCACGGGTCCTCCACAATTAGAAAGCATTGAACACTCTCCTCATTGTCAAAAAGAAAACGAAAAAAAGAGAGCGAAAAAAAAAGGATCGGCGTTTCAGGGGCCTCATTGCCTCGTGCTCCCCTGGCGAGGGCGTGCCTCCTCGTCCCTCGTTCCTTGTCCTTATCCCTTGCATGGGCCTCATGTCTGGGCCTCCTTTGCTCGTGTTTCACTGGGAATAGAACACACAGAATCAGTGTTTGCGAGGGGCAATGGTTCCTGCAGCCCTTTTTTGTAGTGATCGAGATCCTGTAGTCAGGGTAGGAGTATAATAGAAGAGGGGAGGACTCATGTTGAGAGAGTATAGACCTAATCCCGAATCAACCTTGGTTCAGTCATTCGTTGCCAGGCAGATCCCTGTTTGTTTGCTCCTATTGCTCACTCTTTTATTATTCTTTCATTACTTCCTCTACTCTACCTTGCTCTTACTCTTACTTTTACTCTCACTCTTGCATTCTGTCTATTTTCGTGCATTCTTTGACTCTGGACTGCAAGTACAAAGTGGATCCCGGGAGATGTTCGCTTGACCGTTTACGGCCACTTTTCTCTTTTCTCTTTTTATCGCCTGCCGCGTCCATCGCCCACTCAACGCTCGGTCATCAGTCGCCCCCCCCGCCAATTCTTCTTTCTTCCCCTTTGACAATCCCAACTCTGACACTCTCTCCACCCACTTGTCAACTCTACTTTCCCTCGAATCCCTCCGGTCCTGGTGTTTTTCGAAGCGCTTTCCGACGGGATTATTTTCCACTCGTTCTTTCTCCCCCAACTCCCTCGTGACGCCTCGCAACCACCTCCGGCGCATCCTACCAGCGCAAATCGCGCGCGCACAAATCCAGCGCAAACCAACTTGCGACCCAACAACACCACATCCCCGACTATATACACTCTTCAGCCATTTCTCAATCACCCTACATCATTGCATCATTGAATCTTTCAATCGCGACATCATGCTTCTCCCATCTGCCCTCCCATGCGATGTGCGCCGGTCGTCTCGCTTTACCCCCAGTCGCCTCTTCTCGACTCCTCCACCCTCAGACAGAGGAAACCAAAATGGCAACGGTCTTCTTGGAACCTGCCGCGCTCTCCAATCTCTCCTCAATGGCTCACCAGCCCCTTCACCCCGACGATCCGTGAAGCCGCAACGCCTCCAGAGCCCTCTCCCCCTCAACCCGCCGCGCCGCTCAACGCGATCGCGCAAACTCGCACGACCTGCATCGCCACGCCCAACACCTCCCCAGCTATTCTAGCAACCACACCTCCACCTGCTCCCTCCGCGCCCGCGCACGGTGCCAAAAAGCGCCGGCGCTCCAACTTGGACGACGAAAGTGACAGCGACAACGAGATCAGTCGCAATCGCCCATCCACCCCCAAACGCCAACGACACGTCCCCTACGAGCTGCCGCTCGGCCTCTCCTCGACAGATTTCTATTCCCTCCACTCTCCTCCCATCACACAATCACCGCCCTCCCCAGCCCAGCGCCGGCTGGATCAGCGCCTTCAAGAGTTTGGCGCGCGCGTTGATCCAGACGCTCCTCTTCCCTCCATCGAAGAGGCCGATGCGTCCGCGCCTGCGCCTGCGCTATCGGCGGACGAGTGGTCCGCCGAAGAAGATCAGCGCCTACTCCAGCTGGTCCTCGAACGCTTCCGCCTTTCCCAAAAAGAATGGGACGAGTGTGCGCGCCAAATGGGTCGCCAAACCACCAGCGACGTCGGGCGACGATGGCACTCTCTCGTTACAGGCGGTCGAATCGGTCTTCGATCGAGCCGCCGTTGAATACCATACCGACAGAACCACTTTCTTTTCCTGTCCCCCTGATTCTCTTGTATCATACGACCTCCATGTCTCCATTATATCCCCTGTTGTTGCAAAAACCGCCCCTGTATTATGATTCTTTCTCCTTGCAACCAATGTGTCACTCTATCTGTTTCTTTCTCCGGTTTCTTCGCACAAGATTGTTTTTCCCGAGTCTGTCATTCTTCGCATCTGGTTATGTGGATATATCTCTTTCCTTTCTGTTTCCTTGACTCTTGACTTGACTGTCTGACCGAATACGCGTTTCTGTTTGCAGCGCTTTAATTCGGGTAGTTTTCTCTGTGCACATTCACTGTCCTGCTCTTTGTTGCAACTGCCCAGCTGTTGTCGGAGCTTTGTACCATTACTGTTTCTATTACTGATACTACTGTACTATTTACCTAAACATGATACCACTGTTTTGATTCTGACCAAAAACCTGAAGGTTCTTTGCTGTTTTGAAACCCATTCGGGGTCCAAATGCCAAAATGTAAACAAACAAAAACCCGGGCCCGGGTACATCATCATCCGACCCCACTCGATATATAGTACTCGTAGTGACCGTACTCGTACTACTTGGAGGACGATAGCGTCCAGGGGCAAAAATGCCTTTACAGGTTTCAAATTTCAAGTTGTGGTGCCCAGGTGACTGTCGACCATTTGTGTCGTCTGCTTTTCTTCAACCTGCATTGTTCCTAAGGCCAGAAAGCCCATACACCTCATCATCTCCTGAACTATACCAACAGAGTCCATTGCGCTTTATAATTTATAGCGCCCTTTCGCTCCTACTAGTATCAATCCGAGAGAGTTGTTAAAGTGAGGCTGACAGCCCAGCCCTGGGGGTACGGCGGCTAGCTCTGCTTTACCTGAATACGAGACAAGGAAAGACTCACCGCTGTGATGCGAATGCAGGATATTCATAGTCACAGTCAGTCTCAGGCCAGCTTCTGATCTAATGGAATCCAGAAGAATCCCTTGGTGCCATGGTCTTAGTCTACCCCGGCATTCTCCACAGTCCGGGGTAACCCTCCTGTCGCCACGCGCTCCAGCTCTGATCCTAGCGGAGTTTAACTGGCAATGCTTCAGGTTGTGAAGAGGAGAGTGGGTCATGGAAAATAAAGACATCTATTGAATTTCCATCCTATTCTTGAGGCTTGGACTTGAGCCATTAATTTCATTTGTACCTGCCTTATTATCAGTTATTTTTGTAACAGTTGGAGAAAGAAAAGGTGACACAGTACTGTTCGAAATCAGCTTTACCTTTAATCTCTCTTTCTTTATCTCCCAGGGCCCACCTACAGAGCACTAGTCCGTATTAGGATATAGTTCCGCTGGCGCTGCATTGTCTACTCCGTAGGTACCTACGGTTAACCATCGTAAAATACAGTGTTCTCAAGACCTTGTCAGTACGCTCTACCTTCTTGCCACTCTATCCACTTTTCTCAGCACTATTCTGCGAGTTGTTATAGCAGAATTTTCGCTTCAAGTGGAACTAAAGTCACTCCTAAAACTGCATTTTGATGTATAATCTTACGGCTTTCACTGCTCTTACTCTCATTCTCTTCCCCACAGCTCATTGCGCGTCTCATCTGCAATTGCCTGCCTACTGGGGATGAATTTATGTGGCCCTCGTACATAGAGAGCAAGTAGATCGACAACCAAAGTATTTTGGTATTTCTGGCATAGTAATCATGGCGATAACCTATGTGACCGCTACTACCCACATGATAACTCTTGTTGTCCTCACCTGTGACAGCATCGTCATAAAGTAATCTCAACCCCTGGCAATGCAAAGTCATGGCCCATATTGTTCGCAGCAGGAAGAGATACATCACATCACAAATGACCGAGATGACGTAGTGTAATGAGCGTTCGTCACTAACATCCCCAATAACACACGATTGTTCGGCAGCCTCAGATCTACCCCAACTTCTGCCGCTTAGCCATTAAGCACCACTCTATGATGCTGGGCGGCCTTTGTGACCACATCGCCGAAAAGCTCACGAAAGCGTACCGTCGTCAGGACCGATATTTTTGCCATCAGTAGCAATGACGGCGATGACTGTCCCATCTCTTTCTTTCACGGCAGCTGCACCCTTGACGCCTAGCATCCCAATAGGCCCATTTGTCATTGTTACATCTCCGGTCGGAGGCTATGGTATTATCTGCGTTCGAATCAGGATGGGCAGTTACCGAACTGATGGCGGCGAGTGCAATAAGGAGGAATTTCTCGATGAGCATGTTAGGCAGGTGGTTCAGTATTCTTTAAAACAAGATAATGAAAAAGTGAGGGCTAGAAGCGATTGCGGTAACCCGGAAAATCGGTTATGGTGAGTGTGGCCAGGAGAAAATATATATATAAGTTATGCCAGAAGTATGTGGAGATAGGTTATATACACGCCTCTAGGCCATCTGCACATTTAGTCCCACCGTATATCCCTTAGACTGGCTATCGAGAAAGCATTTCCCGTAAGTAGAGATCCTAATAGGAGAAATGACGTATATGTGTCTTTCTATGATTGGTAGAAATAACGAACCTTGCTTTTGCTAAGCGAAAGATGCAAGGGGTCGAAAGAGGTATGAAATGACTGAGTGGCACAAGCGAATTGCAATGCGCCAAATATGATGAATGTCGGTGAGCATGAGATATGATCAGCTCTTTAAGCGTGTTAGAAGCTAAGTAGCTATAATACCTGGTAAACTTCATTTTGTGATATCTATAATCTGGGGTAGGGCTAGTAGAGTACAAAGTAGAGGGCGTGGAATGGGAGGTTGGGGCATATTGGGAATTTTCATTGCAAATTCCCATGTTCCAGATGCGCTTATGTGCTAAAGCTGCCCAGCACCGTAGATCAACATATTAGCGTTCCCTTGGTGACCTTGGGTGTGATGCGCGAGCCTACCTATTGATTCCCATCTGGCTAGCAGCCCTATAATGCATATGTGATAGAGCGATTCACATTCCTTACCCCTTTAGTCTAGAAAGAGTTCGATAGTATGCGGAGTTTGCTGCTAGCTCGTAGCCATATGCGTCCTCAAGCAAGCGGTCAAATCTAGTGAATTCGGTTCAAGTATTGGCTACTTTGTTAATTTAGCTAAATCAATACCTCGTCATGTAGAGTAGGTCATTAGATAAGATGAAAACCATTGATAAATTGAATAAATAAGGTGGTTTGGTTGGCAGAAAAATAAGTGGGACATGTAACGTGTTGCAAATACTTTTGAACGCTGACTGTACACGAAATTAGAGGGTTTGTGCAGAGCAGCTGAGAGACAATCAACTCCCAAGCACTATGCATTAGCGCCATCACGTGTGACGCTCGTTGCTTGACACGCCCGGAGTGGAACGTTCACGTAGGCGGCTGAAGTGGCCATCCTCTAATCATGTCAGAAAAGATATCTTGATATACGATTGGAAGGTTAGCCAGACGCAGAAAACGGCTACCAATTTACCATCACCAAAATTACTGTAATAATAATAAAGACATTTATATATAAATAAATAATATACTTTATATTTACTACGTCCTAAACAAGACACACCACAAGGCGCCGATCAAGATATTGAGCTCGATCACCCGGGCGATTAAGGCATGGGTTCGCGAATATAGGACTCATTGGCGTCCCTTTAAAGCCATACTTCATCTTTTTTGTTGCTGTACCGTATTACTTACTAGACCTGCGACTGAATCTGCTCAAATTTGTTTGTTTTGTCGTTTGCTATCCGTTTGTCATCTAGATAGCCTCACCTCTTGATTTGGGGGGGGGGGGTTTCACCTTCTTTAATGACTTCGTTCCATCTCTCCATTTTCATTTTTGACTACTATTTGTAAAAAATTTAAAGTTCATCCTTTGGGGCTTTCACACATATAATTAGTATGGAAGATCAAAATACGCAAAAGGGCAGTTTTATGACATTTTTATCATGATTTCCATAGTGCTGGTGGCCCGGCCGCCTCGTACTTTCCTCAGAACAACTTCACCGCATCTTCTCCGACCGTTTCTCGCCATCATACTAGTATCGAATGCAATTTCCCTCCTTCTAACAAGCAGTCCTACCCCCGCTGATGAACTACGCGACGACCTAGGCGTGATCAAACCTGTCTGTGCGGATATTGCAGCACTTATAAGCCCGCAAGTCGTGCCTTCGGTGCATTTCTCAAAGGCTACACGGATGACGAGAGATGGTCGAAGGCTTTCCAGGTGTGATATGGTCCAACCGATTGTTCCCTCTGAGGTATATGACGGTCTGATTTACAATGGCACAACCAAATGGTGAGTTCTATCTATGGCTCCCACACTCCCTCGTCAGTAAAATCTTCTGGCTGGTCTACGATGAGCAGTCTCGCCAAGGCATTAAAAAGTGCTGGACACGCCTTCGCGGGCCGGTTTTCCCACAGGAATGAATTTGCTTGCAGACTGCAAGCTTTGTCAAGCGCTTCCCTGAATGTCTCAAAAATAAGACGTGACAATTCATGTCAAAATGGAGTGCATTTTTCACAACACCTCCACCGTGGGGTTATCACACGGCATTGGCTGGAAAAATGCACCTCTGTAGTCCTGATCAACTGAACGGTTACAAGAAGTCTTACAAGCGAAATCTACCCCGGTGGCTACGGTTGGCCGGTCGATTGGGACGAACCGGAGATTCGCCTCGACTACAATTTCGTTGGCAAAAGCAACAAGGACAACAAAAAGGGCAATAAAAAAGACAAGAACAAATCTTTTAAGTCGACTAAGCCGACCAACAAAAAGCCGGTATACTACGAATACCATGGCTTCCCTAAGAAAGCTCAAGGTAGTATATTGATCGATAGACCACACGGTAACCGAGAGCCCACCTGGGCATAGTTCAAGGATCCCTCGATATTCGGCTCGCCAAGGTCTTTCGCCGTGACCTCAGACGGAGACTCCGGAATAAATTCGACCATGGAAAAGACGGTCATAATTCATATTGCTCGTCAGGTCTGGAGAGCAAATCGAATCATAAAATCTCGCCAGCAGTAAATTCTCGATCGATCTCGATTCCACGATGCATGCCTTGATGCCTTGCGGCCTTAGTTCGTTGTCATGAAGATCCGCTGACCCATTTCCTTGAGGCTTGTAGGGCCTTAAAATATCATCATTATCGTTTTCCGTCAGGCATTTCTGATTAGTCTCTATCCTCGTACCTCGTAGTACACAGAGCAGAATACTGTCATAAGCAACAAGAGCGCCGGCACGAAATACACCGGAACAGGCGCGGGTCACCTAGCGCATGCAGCGGCTTGTTTTGTATGGCGGTCGCAAGTTTTCAGGAGACTTATCGATGCCTGGGTAGACATGCTCGCTAATGAAGGATTTGAGCATCTTGAAATCCATGCATATCGCTACATGGGAGTAAAACCGGTAGGAAGTATGGATCACCTTTGGTCTAACTTGAATCTTGGTAGCTTCAATTCGTACGCAAATAAAAGGAGATATCGAGTAAAAATATTTATAGAAAACCATAAGATATCTACGAAGAAACCCAATACTCTATCCCAGCCAAAGACCCCATACGAAAAGAAAGTTTAGCTTCAACTTAATCTCAAAGAGTATTATTCAACTAAGGGGGGGAGAAATGAGTCGGCAAGCATACAATAATAGAGATTCGTATTTGGTTACCTGCTTCTTGCCTACTACAGTACTCTGGTGTCACTCGAGTATAGCCAAGCGGACAGAAGGCACTGTTCTCCACGCTCTATGGCAGTACGAGATGTAGTACTACTAGGTCCGAGGCTTTTTTCTGCTGATGTATCACCGGCCCGGCTACTCGTATCCCAGGATGCCGGCATTGATCAGATCAAATCACGCAATGTCGCCTCGGGCCAGTGGATCTACCCAGACGCTTCGATTCTCACTCCCTTGTTCAGATCACTTGACTCATAAGACAAAAATTTTCATTTTGCCCCTTATAGATCCACCTTCCTTTGGCGGTGGCCATGGTCTATTCTCGGAGCGGCGTCGTAGCGAACACGTGTCAGATGATGAGATTGGATAGGGTATTGAGGAAACTTGGTTTTACTTGGTTTTCCTCAACAATTCCTCATATGAAGCAAATTTTGTATCACTTCTTTGAACATGCATGAAGATTGTATGTACTCCGTACATCTTCTCCGCACTGTTGTCTCCTCACCTCATCTCCTCACGCCCTCCGCATTCCCAGGGCTGACCGCCGTCAGGCCACTGGGCCAGTAGAAGCCGAAGAAAAGCCAGAATGCGGGGGGTGCTCGGACCGAAAGCGTTTCGGTGGCAGTGGCGAACAGCGATTGGATATTAATGCCGCAGGCATCACGGGAACTGACTTCATTTTCCAGCAAGTTCTGCTGAATATAGTAACCGATTAGTAACAGAAACGTAAAGGATTCCAGGGTTAAGCGGAGTCACTTGACCCATTCTGCGCGATATTACCTAACAGGCCGGTCTTGGCCTTACCCGATGCAGCCACTCTTTCCCTTTGGGATCACCTCGTCAATGGTTCTGAAGTCTAGAACCGGCTAGTTTTACGTGATCCTCCCCCATGGATCGTGGATGTGCGCTGTTGTTACCCCATACTTTGCATTTGGTTATGTTGGGGCGGTCCTAATAGCGTCATAATGATCGACGCCACCCGCTAATGAAAATTCTGTAGGTCACTGTGGTTATGGTAGTGTCGTGTATTGTATGGATTCGGCATTGCGATTTTCTATATAAGGCCTCATTTCTTCCCCGGATTCTGAGAATATTCATTCAGCATTCAGCCTATACTTTCTTGTTCCTAGATCTTTCAATCGGATTTTCAGGTACCTTTCTACTTCTATTCTATATTACCATATCCTTCAAGGTATGTCATAACACATCCAGGAATCCTGGCCTTTACCCCTGTGTGGCAATGTACTTATACTTTTACCCCAGTTTCATACCTTCTTCACAACACACCATCCATCATGACTTTCGACCACCCTGCCTTCTGGAAGTGCGATTCTTGCGGTCTTCCCGGCGTTCGCCTTTCCTCCACTGGCACCGGCTCCAGCCCAGCATTCTACAAGTGTGTTCCTTGCAACCGTAACTTGGGATCCTGCCCTTGCGTCACTCCCGGTCTCCGAACAACCGGCAACTGCCCCTGTGGCGAAGAGAGCGACGCAGATATGTCCGACGGCTCAGATGACCTTTCTCTCCACAAGCAACTGTCAAATGGTCACAACCCTGAACAGGGATTCGATGTTGACTGGGAGTCAAATTGCAAGCCCGGCTACATGGTCAAGAGATTCAAGGCCACTGGCAAGGAGATCCTTCCCTTCGCTTAAGCGCGCTTAAGCACGGAGGCATCTGTTTTTTGCTCTTTTTTTGTTTCTTTCTGAATTGTGAGCCTTTTTGTTACCCATGACATGCATACCCGATTTCATATGCAGACGACCCTGAGATCGTCGAGAAAAAAAGTTACCATATCTCAATAATACCAGCTATCTGGTCTTAAGGACCACCAATACCAATTTCATCGCGCCAGTTGGCTACGTTACAATTCTCATATATCCACTGTTTTTCTGTAGTAAAAATTTCAAGCCTAATTATTGTTTAATTGCGCTCTGACACGTTAGTATGGCCTATTTGCAGAATGTTCATTCATCTCGTGAAACAAGCATGCTTCATGCCAGAACTACTAACTAACTTGTATTGAGGCTGAGAGACCTGATAGCTGCCTCGGCATTAATTATCGCCTTACGTTTCTGCCTTGCTCCCTCCTCAATATCTCTAGGAATTCTGCATACAACACCACCTTTCATGGTTCTGAGCTTCTGCCAACTTCTGGTCCAATTAGTGTAGAGAGCCTTTGGGCTGCGAATTGACCGTAGTAATCGGTATGGTGAAACCCCGAGAACGGCATAATGAATAAGCCATGATGGAATTACGGCTATACCTGTACCCACACTGACCGGTTTAAGGTTGATTGATTTATAACCACCATCTATGGATGGCATGCGCAATCAGTGAGCTCTATAAAACTACAGCAACATACTTCCTCTTGAGACTCACTACTGCTAATAGATAGAAATTAGGCTCGAAGCTCGAGAGATAAGTTCTAGAAGCGGGCTGTCACAAATTTGAATGATCTCTTTACTGCGCCAATGACTTCAATGAAAGTCGCCATTGCCGGAGCTACCGGCGCCGCCGGCATACCTATGATCCAAGAGTTGCTTGCAGCAGGCCATCTGGTTACAGCCTTAACCCGTGTTGGAAGTAGTGGCGCATCCAAGCTTCCCAGCCATCCGAACTTGAGCATTGTTGCAGTGGACTACGAGTCTATCTCTTCACTCACGAATGCCCTCGAAGGCCACCAAGCCGTGGTGGCATGCTTCGGGGTCGCAACCCCAATCGGCAGCCAGGATGTTCTGATCGATGCCTCCGTGGTGGCGGGTGTGAGCCGATTTTTCCCCGCCGAGTTTGGCACCGACACGGACAACTCGAGATGCGCGAATCTCCCTGTGTTTGCGAACAAGGTTCACGCGCTAGAGTACCTCAAGAAGAAGGTTCAGGCGAATCCGGGATTCAGCTACACTGCCCTCTGTCCCGGCGCATTCCTGGACTGGGGCTTGAAACATGCCTTCTTCGTCGATCCGAAGACACACAGTGCCACCATATATGATGGTGGCAATTTACCGTTTAGCACAACAACGCTAACTACCATCAGCAAGGCTGTTGTGAGCATTTTGGCCCACCTTGAGGAAACGCAGAATCGGCACCTCTATATCCATGATGCGGTGGTAACCCAGAACCAGCTCATTGCGATCGCTAAAAAGATTGACGGAAAGGACTGGGACCTTGCGCACACCACCACCTCTTCTGCTGAAGCCAGCGCCTATGAGGAACTCGAGAAGGAAAAACCGGACCCTATGAAATTTCTCTTCCCTCTCCTCCAAGTGTCCGTCTTAGCTGAAGGATACGGTGGTGACTTTTCGGCTCATCTGGACAACAAACTGCTCGGAATTGAGGGCATGGATGACGCCGAGCTGGCAAGTTTGATGGCAAGATATTTGTGAAGTTGAATCGCTTTTGAAAGCAGCTTTCCTGTTGCAACTAACTTTGGATGCAATGCATTGGCTAGATACCAAAAACAATCAATAATGAAATTTCAGTATGGTTCAAATTAAAGTTTACTGAATCACCGATACTCTTCAACCCGAAAAAAGTGGTTGCATTATATTCAAAAACCTACGTGGACATGTCATATAAAAATCCAATCTTTGGCCTGGGCCTACTAAACATGAGATTCCGCACTATTGTTCTCTTGAAGAAGTGATCCGTCCCGTGTTAATCAACATCGTCGTCATATGGTGTCGGAAATGTCCACAGTAAAGACTCCATTGTGCTGGCAAAATAGGTACATCGCCCTATTTGGCATGCTGTGGAGAATCCACGGTATTTTACCTCTCAGTATTGACAGATGGGGTGCTCTATCACACTTTAAAGGGCAATTCTTATCCAATTAAGATGGTAACGTTCTCATCTGACGGCAAGCTACTGGCGCGCAGTTGCTCTGGTCATGAGGAGATTTTAATTTGGAATATAATTACGGGTGCGAAAGAGTGGATTTGGACAGTCGATGACATCAAAGATCGGAGTATGGATAAAGGAGTCGATGGATTGGACTTTTCCCAGAACGGGGCTTTCCTCACCGGTGATATGGGAAACTTCAATCCTCAGCCAAGGCCTGCTAGTCATGACTCTAGCCCTTCGGGGAACAAAGGGGAGAGTTCCTTGCTGGAAGAAGAGTGGATAGCTTTGAATGGTGAAAAGGTGATGTGGCTTCCTCCTAGGATTCTGCCAACCTGCTCAGCGACGCATGATTGTGTATTAGCTCTAGGTTATGCTTCAGGGAGGGTTACTATCATAGGAGCTAGAGGGCAAGGCTACGATTCCTTCAGGTGCCCAATCTCTCCCTCCTACAGTGACTTGCTGTTTTAATGTATTGTTTGTAGAGGCTGTGTAGTAGTAATAGTGTATGGGCTTGCATTTTGATAAGGCTGAAAACTGAGACTGAATTCTGGCAAGAGAGTGTATGCTCAGTCATTGTCGTCTGAATGCACTGATTCTATGAAGGGTCCCATTAAGCACCAGATTTGTGCATTTCATGGTCAACGCCAGAGGCCATACGGCTCCCGGCAGGCCTTCCACAACTTGATCGTACCATCTTCGCTACCAGTTCCGTAGAGTTTGCCGTCGGGTGAGAAGCTAATGGACCAGATGGGACCGTGGTGTCCTTTTTGTACCTCTGCACAAAAGGAGAAAAACATTAGAATTAATCGGAGCAAAGACCAAAAAGCCGAAGCTGGAACATACCTAGTTCTTCATCGGTGTTCAGGTCGTAGACTCGGGCCCAGGTGTCCCCGGCACTACCGGTAACAAACCGGCCCGACTCGGTATTGACGGCGGCACTGGCAACCTCATATCCGAAATCGGCCTTTTTCAACAGGCGGCCCGGCGTAATTGCATCAAACAAATACACACTCTTTCCAGCAGCGACGGTTAGAACGCCGGGGTTATCGGGTCGAGTAGCCAGAGTGTTCAGTTCACAGGAGCCAATGTTTCCTTCGACGGCTGTCTCGACAACAGAACGGCGCGAGCGCAGGTCCCACCAGCGAATCTTGCGGTCTTCGGCGGCGGTCGTCACGATGTTGGAGTCCCTGTTCCAAACGATGGACTTGATGGTACCGTCGTGAGCGCCGGGACCGATCTCGTAGCTTGTTCCTGTGCTGCTATTCGCACCACCTGTTGGTGGCAAGGGCGGGGAGGAAGTGTTGCTACCACCGCGGCCGCCAGAGCTGCGGGAAAGATCGAAGATGCGAAGTTTCTTCTCTGCGCCACCTGTTGCGAGAACTTGGGGGTTGGCTTGGATGGGGAAGGCGATTGATCGCACAACGTGTGCGTGTTGAAGAGTGTGGAGACATTCGCCTGTGTAGGTGTCCCAGACCTTGCTAATAGAGGTGTGAATACCAGATATTCATTCAGAGGGGCATTTGCTTATTTTTTTTGCCAGCATTTTTGAGTCAAAACTTACGCAGAGAAATCTGCCGCTGCAGTGGCTGAAATGGCTGTGTCGGCAGATAGCCGGGATTGCCATACAGCACCTTTGTGGCCGAGAAATGTGCCGATCCTGATCAGATGTCAATTGGTGGTTCGTGCAACACTTTGCTGCATTGCTAAAGGGCTCATCATACCAGTCACCAGTGATGCCATCTCGCAGCATGGGATTGTTATCTGCGAATCGAGATTAGCCTCATCCATAGTGGGGCTCGAAGCCGGAAAGGGAGAGAAAAAAAAAGGTAGAATCGTGCAAGATACCTTTACAGGCCGAGATAATGTAGTATTCATCATCGTCAACGGTGTGAGAGAAACTCAAATGGGTCACGGGGCGCGAATGCCCGTGACAGGTGAGAGGAACAATCTTGGGAATATCTGCATAAACATTAGTTCCATGGGAAGATGCATGACCAGGTTATTTGGAGGATAGACTCACCGGATGCCATGATTGAACAGAGAAGATCCGTAACAACGGAAGAGGGAGAAATTTTGGAGATATCGAGAAAGTGAGGATGCGACGATTCGAGCTCGAGAGTTCAAGAGAGAAACCGCGTGACCAAATCGTGCCGCGAAGGAGAGTGAATAGGGTGTGTGGTAAGAAAAGTAACAAAAGAGATTCGTCAGGTTCGTCAAGTCATCAGTACAGAAGAAGAAGCGAACAGTACCAGTGGGATCATACCCCGCGTCAACTACACTGTCGAGTCCACAAAGTCCACAGAGTCGATTTCCCAGATGCACCGCGATAGCGATATAACTGAGGGTCACCTGCACGCTGAGGTAATGTGCGTGACTAATCCCAATCCGGTTAGCCGCGCCTTCCCTCCAGCTGGCGCTGGCTTGGGATGGTTTCCCTTGGATTATTGATCAATCGATTCAATTGAATTAAATTTGTATTAATTTTTTTTTAACATGAGGTATAACCACCGATGAGGGTGGTAACTAGCCGTAGACTTTGTTAGGCTCGGAAATATCTACTCAAGTAGCTAAAAAGGCTTCTGATTAGTTGCTACAGCTGATCACCACCCTATTCATAGTAGATCCGAGACCGAAGAGCTCAGGGCAGACAATTGGAACCTTGGTGATGTATTATGGCACTGCTATATAGAAAACTAATATGATCAGTGGGAATTGAAAACATCTAACTGGTAGAGAATCCAAAAGAAAGATGCCGGCCAAATTGTTCTTTCCTTCTAGCAGGTTCGTCATAGCTCCACCGCCCACGTGATCATATGATGCGCAGGCGGGGACCCCAGAACGACTAAAGGACAACAACGGTCATCGGCGCTGCTCTGTATTAATCAGTGCTCCTTTTGTCCATTTCCTTTGGTCTCTCCCATCTGCAACTCCCCCAGTTGTATGTATGCCTGACTTCAAGCTCTCCGCGTCCCTTGAGGGCCATGGCGATGATGTAAGTCCGAGTCTCGGTCCCCTCCCCCCCGCTGTCCACCTCGGTCACCGAAGGTACCCCCGACACAACATACTGACCACTACCCCTGACTTCAGGTTCGTGCCGTGGCCTTCCCAAACCCGAATGCAGTCTTCTCAGCTTCCCGTGATGCCACTGTCCGCCTCTGGAAGCTTGTCGCATCCTCCCCTCCAACCTACGATTACACAATCACCACCCATGGCCAGGCGTTCATCAACACCTTAGCCTACCTCTCTCCCACAGACCAATATCCCGAAGGCCTTGTTCTCTCTGGTGGCCAGGATACCATCATCGAGGCTCGACAACCCGGGAAATCAGCAGACGACAATGCCGATGCAATGCTACTGGGCCATGCCCATAACATCTGCGCATTGGATGTATCTCCCGACTCTCGGTGGGTTGTCAGCGGTAGCTGGGATTCGACTGCTCGGATTTGGAAAGTTGGTCAATGGGAGACCGATAGGATTCTTGATGGTCATGAAGGAAGCGTTTGGGCTGTGTTGGCCTACGACGAGAACACCATTATCACCGGTAAGATTGATGCCTCACATCCAACCCGCTCTCGATATGTCTTTACCCAAGAACTTTGACTCACACACTGTCTTCAGGATGCGCCGACAAAATGATCCGCATTTTTGATACCGCTGGCAACCTTCGAGGAAGCGTCAAGAACTCCGATGACGTCGTCAGGGCCCTTTGTAAGGTTCCAGCATCAAATCCAACAGGTGCACAATTCGCCTCCGCTAGCAACGATGGAACAATCAGACTTTACACCCTGGACGGACGTTTGGTGGCTTCTCTGCATGGCCATGAGAGCTTCGTCTACTCGCTTGCCGCCCTGCCATCCGGAGAGCTGGTGAGCTCCGGCGAGGACCGCACTGTCAAGGTATGGAATGGAACTCAGTGCGTTCAGACCATTACTCACCCTGCGATCTCGGTCTGGAGCGTTGCTGCATGTGGTGAGAATGGTGATATTGTCACTGGTGCTAGCGATCGTGTGACGCGTGTCTTCACTAGAAGCCCAGATCGAATCGCTTCCCCGGAAGCTGTCCAACAATTTGATCGAGCAGTCAAGGAGTCTTCAATTCCAGCCGAGCAGGTTGGAAAGATAAACAAAGAGCAACTACCCGGTCCAGAGTTCCTCCAGCAAAAGTCTGGAACGAAGGAAGGTCAAGTTCAGATGATTAACCAGCCAGATGGCAGTGTCACAGCCCACACCTGGTCATCCGCAACCCAGGAATGGATAGCGGTGGGTACTGTGGTTGAATCGGCGGGAAGCAGTGGGCGCAAGACAGAATATCTGGGACACGACTACGATTATGTGTTCGATGTCGATATTGAGGACGGAAAACCACCTCTCAAGCTCCCATATAATGCTTCCCAAAACCCATATGAAGCGGCCACCAAGTTCATCGGAGACAACGAGCTTCCTATTTCATACCTCGATCAAGTTGCCAACTTCATCACGCAGAACACACAGGGAGCCGTCATCGGCCAGTCCCAGGAGCCAACACCCGCCGGTGGAGATCCCTGGGGCTCAGAGCGACGATACCGACCCGGAGATGCTGCGTCAGAAGAAGCACAGCAACCCGCGCCTGAACCAGTCCCCAAGGTTCTCCCCCAGAAAACATATCTCTCAATTAAGACAGCCAACCTTAAGGTCATCACGAAAAAGCTCCAAGAAATCAACGACAAGCTTATTTCAGAGGGTGAAAAGGGCACTACATTAGTTCCCTCCGAGATCGACCAAGTCGTCGCTCTATGTGGCCAACTGGAATCTGGCCAGCAACTTGCTGACTCGCCTGTTCTCGAAGCCGGCGTCCCATTGGTTTTCAGGACCGCTACCTCATGGCCGGCTGCCAACAGACTTCCGGGGCTGGATCTCCTTCGCCTGCTGGCCGCTGCCGCACCTTTTGTCGCAACTACAGAGTATAACGGAGAGAATCTGGTATCAGGCCTGCTAGCCAGCGGTGCCTTTGATGCACCATTGAACCCTAACAACGCCATGCTTGTCGTCCGCACATTTGCCAACCTATTCGAGACCGCCGCTGGTCGGGATCTAGCTATCAACACATTCGACTTGGTCGTGACTGGTATCAAATCCGCACTGGCTAATAGCGGCGAGTCGCCGAATCGCAACCTTACCATCGCCATCACAACCCTTTACATTAACTTTGCTGTCTACATATCCTCCGAAGGCAGAGAGCAGACCACTGAATCTGCGGAGAAGGCCCTGGTTCTTCTCGAGGAGTTGACTAAGATTATCGCCAACGGAAAGGATTCCGAAGCGGTCTACCGTGGACTCGTCGCCCTGGGCACTATACTCAAAGCTCAGGGAGCCGAAGTCAAGAGTGCCGCGAAGGAAGTTTACGAAGTCGACAGTGTTCTCTCTCGGGTCTCGGGATCGGGTGCTGGCAAGGAACCACGGGTGAAGGGTATTATTCAGGAAATGAGAGAGGCTCTCTAAGAAAAATTATTCTTTGAGAAACGCATAGATAGATTCACACTATTACCTCTTAACGACGACCACGCAATGGACTCTACATTCTCAGTTTTTTTTTCTTCGCATGTCATTATCAATCTAGGTTCATAATGGGGCTGCTCTTTTCCGGTTTCGGTCTGCGCCCTCATCACATGAAATATCTGATGACCTCAAGGATTCCTACTTAATAGGACAGTCTCATATTTTACACATGAAGGAGAGGTGATAAGGTGCTTTTTAACCCCCTTCCTAAAACCTCGCATCGGCATTCACCCCAACCTCCATCACCTGGTCAATACCAGGATACTTGGGCAAATCAAGCCCATACTTCTCCGCAATAGCAGGCGTCAAAAAGCGGCCGCCAATAAAATGTCTTCCAGAGAAGAACTTCACGCAAGGCTTAGGCGCAGAAAGACTAATCAAAGCAGCAGGCATGAATCCCGCCCCAGGACCCTGCTCAGGTGGGCCCGTCGCGATATCCCAAGAACTGGGGGCGTCAACGCTGAGTACGGGGACATCTGACGCTTCGATTTGCGAAATTATGGCTGGGAATGGATCGCGCAGTGGGCCGCCGAATGAGAAGCCGAAGATTGCGTCGATTAGGAGGGATGTTTCTCCTAGTGCGGTGGTGAAGTTGTCGTCTGTTATGAATGGGACAGAGAGGTTTTCTAGTTGGGTGCGTAGGCGGGTGTAGAGTTCGTTTTTGCCCTGTTTGGGGTAATAGATTGAGGGGTTGTAGCCGTATTGGGCTAGATGTCTTGCAGCTACGAGGCCATCGCCGCCTGTTTGTTGGTTGGGTTGTTAGCTTTGTACTGGGTGCTGGGTTTGGATACCTTCAGTTAGGTGGATGGGGAGGAGCTTCACCATTGTTTCCTGGCCCGCAGACTACTAGGACATTCTTTCCTGCTGAAAGGGGGTGGATACGCCAGACTTGTTTTGTTAGAATTGGATTCAATCGATTGTACTTGGTGATATAGTGAGTGCTCTCGCTCACCTGCTTGCGACACGGATAGGCCGGCTAATTCCATCAGTTGGTCGAGAGACCACCCGCCCATGTCCATGAGGTCTTTGTCCAGAGATGCAGCATCCTTGGCGGAGATTGCCTAGTCATGAGTTAGATGGATTGCGTTCTGACGATTCTTTTCAAGCATACCTTTAACGACATTGCGGCGGTTTTGCTGTAACGACTAGCGGTGGGGGGAGAGAAGCGTTTGAAGAGAATTCGGTGGAACATATAATGTATGTTCCGCTCATTCAAATTTCAAACTTTTTAGTTATCCTTTTAAATTCAATGCAGTGTGAGAGAAAGCAGCGTGTCTCGAACTAATTTAATTGAAAAGACAAGAAGCAGGTTGATGTATACCTCGTTGCATCATCCCCGCGGGCCCCGCTATTCCTAATTGGGAACTCCGGAAAAAACCAGCCCCGAACCTCCTAAGTTGGAACTCCGCAAAAGTTGGTCTTCAAGTATTCCAGGAATTCAACGATTACCACCCCGAACACCACAACCGCCGCCATGGTCCTTCGAATCCGGTTGGCACGCTTCGGCAACAAGCATCAGCCCTTCTACAACATTGTTGTTGCGCAAGCCCGGTGCGTCCGCTCCCACTCCAATACAATCCAATCCACTCCGATCCCGAATTGCGATCTGCCTCTCCTCCGACAGCAAAGACAGCCTGAACTTCGCGCAAACCCCCCGCGCCGAATGGATTGGCTGGATGTGCAGATTTAATCGACAATCTCTGCTACAACAGAATGAAATTGAGCATGACTAACCTGGCTACTATAGATCCGCCCGTGGCTCCAAGCCCCTCGAGGTCATCGGCACCTACAATCCCCTCCCGGCCGCTCGCACCGATGCATCGGACGCGGTCTCCGCGCCGCGCGCATACAAAGATATCACTCTTGACAAAGTACGAGCGAAGTACTGGCTCGGTGTGGGAGCGCAGGCCAGTGACCCTGTGTGGAAGTTGTTGAACCTGGTGAGTCGAGTCGATTCTACCAAATGAATGGGATAGGATGGGATGGATGGTCATAATTGTGGTCATCTCATCTTCAACCTTTCATCCATTTTTACCATTCTGAGAGAGACGGTTGCTAACGATATCTCTAGGCTCGTCTGGTTGAAGAGAAGCCCAAGACCTACAACAAGGCATGAAATGATGCCGGAACCCTAGCCTAGCCACTTTGTCTCCCATGGGACTGGATTTGCATGCTACATTGCTGTACAAAAGCATGCGGTACTTCATCCAGAATAAGTTGGCGGTGGACGCGGCGTGTACTTTTTTTTCTCTTCTTCGACTGGCATTTCGCGGCGTTTTGTGAACTCTTTTGGAAACCCTGGGCTTTAGGATCCCGTCTATCTAGCCCTATGTATATTATGTGACAGCCTCGAATGAATCTGGCCTTGCAAAAGTCTATTCCAGAAAGTAACAGGGATGTGGTGGGGGGGGGAGTGCGATACTTTTGTACCTAACTCCGTACACACATGGTCAATAGGGCGCGTGGGGAAAAAGCAACGGCCTGCTCCGTGTCCGTACCTTGTACAGTACGGAGTACAGGGTACAGAGTACGAGCACAGAGCCCTGGAGTACAGCGTATGGGCAGGTGCTAGCTAATAAATCTGCTAGTAGTGCAGTATGTACTACAAGCTAGAGCAGCGGTCATAGGCGCGTCACAACACAAATCGCGAATCAGGAAAGCACGGCCAAGCTCAGGGACGACTAGGCCTACACAGCCATGTGCTACACCCACGGCCCAACCACACCAACTGGCGGCGTTGGATAAGCCCAAGCCAGTCGCGCGGGCGGTCCAATCCGAAGAGGAATCGGGTTGACGAGTACAGTCATTGGTCCACCTTGGAGGATCGCCCGTCCTTTTGAGTTTGTAGATTCCATGGTCGCGCCAGCACTGGCTTTTGTTGTGTGTTTGTATTGTAGGGGGGGACCATGAGATTAGTATTGAATATTGGGGCTGTTGATTGATTCTGAGTCTGTGTCATGGACAAAGCGGTCAGCTGCCTTTTTTCCCCAGATCAACCCGGAATGTGCACGGTCACCCGAACGCCCTGATGTGTGCCCACCCTTCGCGTTGCCCCCTTTGTTGGCTGCGGGCTGCTGCGGGTTGCGGGTTGCGGGCTCTTTGACGGGTTCACACGAGGTGATGTGCAAGGAACCCAGGCCCTGGAGCGGGTCAGTAAGCAACAGCAGAGCACACTCGTTCCATCCCGACTTCGAGGCGCCGATCGGGTCGAGGCCGAAGTCCAATCGATGGCGCTGATTGCCGCAGAGCCGAGGTGATGCCTACAGTACTTACTCCGCCCCCCCCCCCCCTTGTCAATAGTACTACTAGTCGTCCCTACTCCCTGGTACCTCTGGACTGCTGCATGTCCGTTGAAATGTCAGCTCCCGGCTGCCTGGGACGAGCTATGGTCGAGGCTTACTATACTGGTAGTGGGCTGCTCTGGTCCTCCTTAGTGTGATATTTAGGGTGCTAGGCTTGCTAGTGGCTAAGGTACCGGGTGCGAGTGCATATGGAGAGACAGAACTGCAGACTGCAGACTGCAGTCTGTGCAGTTATAGATACTTCGTATCTATATGATATGGTACCCTAGAATAGGCAGTAGGCTGCTGCATGGTATGTCAAGTGTAGAGAATGTACAAAAAGCTTTGGCCATGACTTCCTATGACTCTGACTAGGCAGAATAGACCATTGTAACCCATCAATGCAATTCTAGAATCTCCAGCATTCCACACTAGGGACACGCACTTTTCCCACGTTCTGCAAGCGGCCAGGTTCCCATCTGGGAGTGGTGTAATTCAGTGACCGTGTATGGTAATTTTAGGGGACAGTACCCAGCTCCACTATGGGTGTCCCCGCATCGACTGGGGTCTCACCAACTTGTATGGTACATGTACTCGATGACCCCCGTTTGAGGCGCGTCGTGAAGCAGATCCATGGATCTGGCACTGGCACCGGTGGACTCCTCGACCGTTCCGGACTCTTTTCTCTCTTCTCTCCCTGGTCCCCTTGCCCCTTCCTTTGCCCCCCCCCTCCTCCTCCTCACTCCTATCTCTCTCTTGTCTCTTTCATCATTTTCCATCCCCCTCCCCCCTCCTCCACCACCCGCCCCCTTTTTGCATCCATCCTTCCTGTTTGGCGTCGCGCAACTTCGCTTCTTCTCTCTTTCTGTCGACATACCACCTTCCCCGGTCCTTCCACCTGAACCCAACACGCGCTCTGTCGCATACCGATGAGAGTGTGCCTCGACTTCGCGACCTTCGATTGAAATCGCTCCATTCGCCCCCCCCCCCCTCAAACTTCATTTACACAACTTCGCGCGCCGCTTTTTATACCGATCGCCTAGTCGCGCGCTCTGATACGAGATCCGTTACAAGCGACTCCTGTTCCGTCGCTGCGCTGTAGGAACTTTTGAACTTTCGTCCGTGTCGCGACAAGGGAAAAGCAAAAATTCTCGACACCGTCTCAGCACCTCGTGAGGTATGAGCAGCAGCTCGAATCAGTCCACTCGAACGAGTCCTGGCTCTTTCGGAACGACCCAGCGCACCGAGTCGGTTTCTTCTGGCTCGTCGCCCACACAACTCCCTCCTAAGGCGCCTGTGAGAAATCAGCATGCGATGTCGACCGACGTGTACAGTCCAACCGTCTCGCAAGCGCCCAGCTCTCTAGCTCCTACTTTCAATCACCCCTTCTCGCCTATCGGCTCCTCTTCTTTCGACAGCGGAATGCGCCTCGGTGATTCCGACCGCAACCTCCAGGCCCTAAATGGCCTGGGCCGCACCCCCAGCGGGAGCGGTGCGATTTTGATGCGCAAACTCCCGCGCAACACCAGTCGCGAAGCTCTTCGCAGTATGCTCCTTTTCGCCAAGGATTTCGTCGACGCCGATTTCGTCAACTCCGACCATCCAGAGGACGATGGTTTTCTGAGCGCGATCGCCCGTTTCAATACCCTCCCCGCCGCCGAAGAAGCGCGCGCCCTCCTTGACGGCAAACCAAATTCCAAAAACGACGCGAAAATGGTGGTGGAGATGTATCCTGGCGCGGTCGGCTCCAACACGCGTCGCAACACGATCGATCACACCGCGACCCGTGGATTGTTGCCTGGCTCGCGTCAATCATCGCGTTTCAATGGTACCTTCCAAAGCCTGGAGATTTCCAGACTCTCCAACCCATCGAACCAACCCATTGGCGAAGGCCTTCCCTCTGCATCCGAATCCGGTTCGCGTCTGCACAACCTCTTTTCCCCACAATCTCCGATCGGAAACGGCGTTGGCGATCTTCCTCGAGTAACGGGCAAGTCCATGATCGATGAGGACCCCGATGAAGAGACAGGCGAGTTGCTCAAGGATCCGGTGGGCTACGCGGAAAATGGACATTCAGCATCTGTCTCGGCCCCGCGTCGGTCAACCAACCCCCCAGATCCCGACCGGTCGATTTGCCAATATGTCTCTCTCCACAGCCATGTCATCACCGCCCCTCCCGAACTATGCCTCTGGTGATCCTCGGCAACGCATGGGCAGCAACGGTCCTCAGTCTGCCTACCCTAGCTCAGCCACCCACAGCCATGGTCACAGCTTCCCCTATGGCAGCCAACATACACCCCGTCATAGCTTGCCTGCTGCGAATCCCAACGACCTAAACCCACCATGCAACACTCTCTACGTTGGTAATCTGCCACCAGACACCTCGGAGGAAGAGCTGAAAGCCCTCTTCTCCAAACAGCGCGGTTATAAGCGACTTTGTTTCCGTAACAAGCAGAATGGCCCCATGTGCTTCGTGGAATTTGACGAGGTCGCCATGGCCAGCAAAGCACTCAACGAGTTATACGGATACAAGCTGTCTAATAGCGTCAAGACCGGCATCCGCTTGAGTTTCTCCAAGAACCCCCTGGGCGTCCGTTCAGGCCAGCCCGGTAGCATGAACGCAGGGAATCCCCTCTCGGGACCGGGTGGAACTCCTACTGGCAGCAACCTAGGCAGCATGCACAGCCATATGTTTTCCTCGGTTAGCGGCCCACCTCCCGGTCTGGCTGCACCCCCTGGTCTGGCGATGCCTATGCCACAGCGAAACGGTGGTGGCAACCCCATCCACGGTCAGGGCCAGGGTCAGGGTCAGGGTCAGGGTCAAGGTCACCCTCACGCCATGATCGGTAACAATAACTTCAATCACAACTCGGGCCTAGGGATCCGGACCAACGGAGGTAACTCAATGATGATGTCGCCGCCGCCTAGTGGTACTCCCAACAACAACGCGGGACCGAATATGAACGGCTTCAATACCTTCTACCCCGATTACATGATGGGCCGTTGAGGCTCAAAAGCATTATATTTGAGATAATGTCCGGCATGTTTGATGAACGAACTATGGGGTATTTGGCGCATTGGGGGTTCCTTTCTTTTCGCGAGTTAGATCAGCATTCGGCGGCTGCATACCTCTCGGGAGTATTGATTCGGGCTCTGCTTTTTTGTCTTTTTTGCCTCTAATGTCTCTTTTATTCAGTATCTCTGGCTCTTGCGTGTTGCGATTCCTTTTTTTTACTTTTTCTTACTACTTTGTGCTTTGCTTTTTTTCCTTGCATGGGGACTCGGGCGCACTTTTACCATTCCTTTTTCCACTTATTGTTTCCCTTGGGAGGATTTGCATTTCAGGTCATCGTCAAGTTTGTATTCTTACTGTGGTCGGTGTGCAACAAGCGCTTGCACGGCGCATTCTTCTGTCCACTATTTGCGTTTTATCATCACCACCTCATACCCTTGCGCTTTCTTGTTTGCTATTTCTGTTTTATTATGTCTCTTTTCTTTTTCTTCGCCCGCGCCCTCTCTCTCGGTTGGCTATACGACTTTTCCAATTAGCTCGAGATTTCTTTTGTCAATGGCTTTGTGTCCGAGAGCTCGACGCGCGGTGTCGCCTATTTCAAACCGTGATTCCCCTTACATCCTATTCTGCGCTTTTGTCTCCTTTTTTTTATCAATGCATTTTCAACGCGAACCGGAAATGGAATTTTTGCTATTTACCTTGCGCTTTTGCAATTATCAACTTTCTTCCAACCTATGCTAGTATTCGAAGAAGTTCTCTTCTCTCCTCTTTAATTTCCCATGGCTTTTACTTTGCCCAAATCTCTTATCTCTTCTCTTTCCATATTTCCTCCCTCTCTCCCTCTCTCTCTTAGGTTTTCTTTCCTAAGATTTTTAATCATCCTTCGCTTGTCAATTGGATGGCATGGCTACGGGATATTTGTAGCCTCCATTTCTTATCTAATCCCACAAGCGTCAACGGAGTTTCCTCTTGCTTATTTTCCGCCCTATCACAGACTCCCAGCCACGATGGACAGACAAGACAAACGGCGTCCGGGGCCTCGGCTATCTGCATCACCTCGTCGGATGGTTGCATGGTGCATGTGGCAAGGGCATGGCAATGGGCATGGACATGGGCATGGACATTGCTTTAACGGCGAAGACGCTATAGACTCGCTCCCGATCTCGCCCATAATTTTCCTATCGTTTTATCTCCTCTTACTCCTCTTACCACCAGGCGGTTTATTGTTTCTGTGGCATTGCAGATCGTGAGGTGGGAGGTCGGCGCCATTGGGTGGGTGTTTGTTTTTGGGTCTTCTCTTCTCTTCTGTTTTGATATGATCTGGATGTGAATATATATAAAATGAGGTGCCTTTATTTTGATTTTTGTTTGCTTTCCTTTTATTAGTTATCTTCAATAAACTTTTATCGGAGTAGCCTATTTCTTGGTTCTCTTACCTGTATGATAGTAGTTACCACAGCATCATGAATTATACCAAACATTTGGTTAAGAAGGTCTTAATCATGTCAGTGGTTCTGAGTGGTCGTGCGTTGTGAATAAGACTCGGAATGGAACTTGAAGAAAGTTTACACACTCCTGCTTATTCTTTACTGTGTCTTTTTAGGTGGTTAGGTAAATGAGAAATTCATATAGATACTACCTAGGTAGTAACTTGGAAGGAAGTCTAAGTTCAAGTTGGAAGTGGTTTCCTATTAGTAGTACTAGTAGTACTAACTATTAGGCACTAACTAGTACCTTCAACCTTGGAGGTGAGACCAAATGATTTCAGACCTTAGGAAACCCTGCCGGGTTGAGATTCGATGATAGAAATTGAAAGCTCAGTGGACTTAATTTGAATATTTTAAGCTTACTTCTAAGGTTCAAGTTCAAGGACTCGGAACTGAAATTACTAGTATTATTGGAGATAGAAATATATAGCGTTGAAACCTCGGGAGAAATTCCAAAGCCCTGCCTTGTATGTTCAAGTTGGTCAAAAGACCATTTATACCAATAGAATACCCAATAGCTAATACCACCTAGGTGTTCGAAACTCATATTAGTAATTGTCCCACATATTTTGTCGTAGCTTTATTTGATTCCGAGTTGATCGCTATCTACATTTTCATAAGGTTCCCGGCATGCCCCATAGCTATACGAAGGTCACGTGACTCCACAACTCAAGTCAACTTTTCCGCACCGGAAAGTTTCTGCCACAAACACAACTCCAACCCTCACGACCTCCCATCCACCAATTGCCTCATTGGCTGTTGAGGACTGCTACACTTGCTGTATCATAGTACAGCAATTGGAACATCGCATTTAATATTGTTTTATTGCACGATTCCCGGCTTCCCCGGGGTCGTTCTCAACACATCCAAGATGGCCCCCCGGATACAGAGCCGGAGCGTGTCCAATCTTCTCCCCTACATCACAACTTCTTCCTCCTCCACATCATCCTCTATTCCCTCTCTATGCTCCTCATCACAATCCTCCCGTTATTTCTCTGCCACCCCGGCCCCACAGACTAAGCTTCGTCGGCAAATGTTTGAATGGCTTTCCACCCAAGGTTCCGGTCTCAAGCACCACACTCCTGGCGAGACCAACTACTTGAGGATGGCGGATGGCAGCCAGTCCAACCGACCGTTTCCGAACAACATGACCTTTATTAGCGAGACTGTCCTCAGCGAGGAGCTGCGAAATGAGGTTTATTTCCGCGTTAAGGAGCAGAAGAAGAGTCCACGTGCTGTCAGTGTCGAACTCGGCATTGACATGAACCGCATTGCTGCCGTGGTACGATTAGTTGAATTGGAGCGGAGGCAACGAGACAAGGTAAAATTTTTATCCCATCCCTTTCTTTTCTTCCCTTTGAAGTTCACCTCCCCTTCTTCCCCCCCCCGCCCCCGACGCAAAATGATGAGACACAAAAAATCGATTAGTCTTGAAGACACAGGCTTTGCTTGACTGGTTAAAACTCCCTTTTTACTGATACAATTGCTGTCATCCTACCTACTTTGGTTTACATATGCATGCATTACATGGTTCGGCGACATGGCTAACATATCCCGATCCGTCAGGGTAACCCTCTAGCATTGCCATACGCTCGTGCTGTGCACGAAATGGTCCCCACCACTCCCCTCGCCCAGGCCGGCGAGCGCCAAACCTACCACGAACCTATCAATGACCTCCCCGTCCACCCTGCCACTGGCGCCCAGATCTTTTACCCTGTACCCGAATCGCGACCTTTCACCCGTGTCGACGCTGGCCGCGTCTTCTCTGGTGCCCCAACACTTGAGAAGAAGGTCAGCGACAAAATCACACACCCCTCCGACTTGGTGGAAGACGTCATCCAGAAGCCTGGCTCTATCGAGTGGGTTGGAAAGGGTGACAACGCCCGCCAGGTCCTGCAGCCGGCGGATGTACGCATCCCGCACCCGCAGCTGGTCCAACTGGCCCGTGACCGTGCCGCGTTCCCCGAAGAGCGCCGTACTGTTACCCAGCGCCACGCGGAGCGTCTGGAGCGCCAGGAGAAGGCCGAGAAAGAGCGTGCCGCTCATGCGGCAGAGCGTCGTAACCGAAATACCGAGACGATTGAGCCTATTGATAGTCGCTTTAGCTTCCGCATCAAGGACGCTGTCGTCAGCAAAGAGACTGTTGGCAAGAATGGTCGTGCACCATGGGCCCCTGGTCGGCGCTACGGTGTGCCGACTAATGATCGCACCCGTGGCACGGTCAAGATCCCTACTCGCGTCAATGTTTAGGGTTAGTCTTGACGACTGCGCTTATTTGCGTCTTGAATCTCCAAGGAGATCTTTGTAACATGTACTTATACTTTCTGGCGGTGTTTCTAGTCGACCTTGTATCTATACCAACACTACCAACCACATCATGGAATCATATTCATATTCATATTCATATTCATACTATTTATATCCGCGTGTCATAATTTGCAATGTGCCGTCCCGCAGGGCGACCATTCTCCGAAATGGTATCAACAATAAACAACTTGAACTTGAATGTCCACAGTTCCCTAGACCTCCCAAACTCCCGAAAATAAAGACTGTCGACTTCGAAGTCCACTTGAAACTCATCAGTGAACCTCCCCAACGGAACGGCACCTCCCTCTGCCCTTTCGCATACCAACCCATCCAGCCAAAGCATCTGACTCGGGTTCCGAGGCCGGTTCCTGCGTGAAAAAGTCTCGAATGGAGGTCATGAGGTTCTGGGTCCAGGAAGTTGTGTTTGTATTCGTAGCCGATACCGCGGCGGTGGTTGTGGTTGTGGTGGTGGTATCACCACCGGAGACAGTCGGGGAGGGCTGCATGGTAGCCAGATAATGAACCTTGGAATAAGGCAATATGCGGTGAGCTGAAAGGAGGATTCAGAGGAAATACGAAAGAGCCAGCTGATCGAGAAAGCCCCCCCTTTGTGTAATATATCGTTTTCAAAGGGGACAGCGGAGCACTGGCAGAGGAGTAGTGGCCGATTTATTGAAGCCGGACTGAAGAAGCAGACCCAGAGATACTAGTACTCGTATGAACTCGGAGCGGGGGTGAATGTGAAGATCCGTACAAGCACAGCGCAGAGGAGCGAGCTGAGCAGGTGATATTTAAATGGCTTCTCATGCCGCATGAGACTTGCAGTCATGCGGCGCGGCCTGAACAAAGCAACGAATAATCATGTCGTACAATCAGCTCCAAGCGCCACTTTTTTGGTTTTATCCATGTCATCCAGCATGAGATGATCAGGAACCAGGATACTCAGATCTTGCTAAGTGCATACTAGTAACTATGTTCTCCTTACATACAGTACGAGAGAGTACCAGTAGCAGGGTAAACTTAGAGTCACAGATATCGGAACCTGACACAGTCACACTTCACATACCGCTCGATGTGCTTGGCATTTCTAGTCCTTTTCCCCTTCGCCTTACCCTTACCCTTACCCCCTCCCCACTGTGACCAAGTTTCTACGGAGTACCCCCAGGCTCAATACTGCCCGAATTTCGCAGCCGCACGAGGCCGGCCCGCTTCTGGTCGATCGTCGGGCTGCCTGGCCAAACCTTATTCCCCGGAAAGCTCAACCCCAACATGGTCCTGGTCTTTCACTTCTCATCTACTCCTATCCTAGGATTCCTGTGAGACGCTATCCGACGGGGCGACCAGCGCGGGCGCCATGGTCAATTTCCTTGTGACGAATAGCAAGGGCAGAAGTTCCCAGGCATGCGACAATTGCTTCCGACAAAAGGTGGGTGCCTCCCCCTCCATGATGCAAGAATGAACACTCACAACACCTACCAGATCAAATGTGACGATGCACAACCTCAATGTAATTGGTGTGCTCATCGAGGCATCGCCTGTACTTATGACCGGAAAAGGCAACGAGGACCTCGAGGGTCTTCTGCCCAGCGGTATGCCGCGTGTCCCCAGCTTTGGCGACTATCTTAAATTTTGACTGGCTGACCTGGAAACCGCTTCGAAAAAATTAAAAGTAAGACCAACAAGAGATTAATGAGAGTGCGTGAAACTGCCTCCCCACAGAAAGATCCTCAAAAAGAAGATCCAGGTTTGTCATATACCCCAAAAAGAAAATATCCCGTGTTCAAATTATTAAGATGCCTTGCGAGTAGAACCTTCTACCAACCAAGTTCAAGTTCGCCCGTTCATCCATCATGTTGGAAACATCAATCTCAGTGATGGCGCTGTTTTATTCTCACCCGAGGGCCAGAAATGGGTTGAGGATCTGACCGGCGAGAAAATGCCAGCAGATCTTTGTTTGGCGGCTTCGAGACCCTGGGAACGCGATCCAATCGTGGACACAGAGAGATGCCTCAACGCGGTACCTCTGGATAAAATGACTTTACCCGACCGAGAAACTATGGTTCAACTCACCAAGGCCTACTGGAACACTGTCCATAGTCGAAGTTGGCCAATCCCGGACGAGGTGTTTTTCCAGGACACTATGGATGTGGCGTACGGAGCCCGAGAGGAAGCGCCTTACCGAGTTCATACAGCAACGATCTGTGTATGGGCTACTTGGGCCTTCATCTCGACTTTTCCCACCCCATTTTCCGGAAGGCCCTCGGTGTTACCAGCTCCACAACGAATTGAAATCATGACATCTATAATGGCCTCGATCAACCTACTGCAACAACCCCACCTGGAGCTCCTGGAGGCCATTACGATGCTTGTGACCTTTCATCTGCTCTCGGGGAATGTCCAAGCCGGCATGATGAGCAATACAATTGCCGCACGCCACATTCTATGGCTCGGAGCCCACACGAGAGACTGCTACTCAAAAGCTAACACCTTCCTCTCCACTGGCGATGAAAACTTCCGACGCGACTACCATCTAAGAAACCTGTTCTGGATTTGTTACCAACAGGACAAAGAATTATGTATTCGCTCAGGGCAACCACCGGCTCTTTTCGAGTATAACTGCGACCTGAATCTTCCAACCGCCTACGAGGAAAACCTCAACTTCGCACTCAAGTTTGAACGAGATGACAATGTGGTTTATCCAGGTGACTTGCGGTTAAGCCGGATCAAGTCAACGGCATACATCGACCTTTACTCCCGACGAGCTTTGGACAAAAGCGATGCCCTCATTCTCAGCGGTATTCGCCAGCTAGATGTAGATTTGGAACAATGGCGCATGTCTATTCCGGCGGAGTATCGCCCAACCTTGCTCTTTTCACAGGAAGCCCGGAGACCGTCTGCACCTAACATCAGATCCCTGATGATGCGCCTGGAATATCACTATTGCATGGCCTATATTCATCAAGCCTGCGGACGATATGGAACTTGGTCTGGCATGCAGGGTCCGGAGATCCAAGGTGTGAATTCTAGCCTGATCCTTTCGATTGCAGCATGCCGTTCTTCACTTTATTATTTACTGGCAGTGGGGTATGCATTAGCTCCGAAAGATTTCTGGTACGAATCGCCTCCTCATCAGACTCATAAACATACCTAGGGCTTACCATCAGAAATCTAGGTTGATACTATTTTATCCCCTCTCGGCCATCGTGTCAATATTCTGCTACATCATCTCAAATCCACAAGCGTCAGAGGCGAGTAGCGACCTAGAGCTTATCGGGCAGATGGCGGTTCAGATTCGAGAGTTAGGGGAACAAGAAGACAAACTGAGCGGTGAACCTTCAAAATCAGAGCGAGCATGGAAGGTTGTCTCAGCTCTTGAAAAACTCGCGAGATGTACGATAGAGAAACATAATTCATGATTGAGCAGGTGCTCAAACTGTACAGGAACGACCAGTGTATTATACATAGAATGGAAGAAAGGGCGAGGATGAGCCGATTGCTTCTCGAATCCGAGTCTACCCGGTTATATCTCTATAGAGAAATGTGGTGGGCAGTGTAAGGGATGACTCTGACTTCACCAATCAATCCAGTATCGACTTTGCTAGGCAGCGAGGTTAACATGGGCTTTGACCCCGAGATTTCAAGATCGCCATGGATGCTGCTAATGTAGTTCCACATCAGAGTTGGAACAAGAGCAACCACGCGGTTGGGACCTTTCCGCAGCAAGGGACCAATATCGACCAAGGGCCTGGCAAAGTTCAACGTTTGAACAGGCTGCTCATTGACAAACAGCCTCAGGCCGTGAGAAATTTGTGGCAGCGAGATGTATGCCCCGTCAATCGGGGCCCAGTGCTGTTTGAAGCAGTTGGGGGCCATGGGAATTGTGTCGAGTAATGCCCGACGCCTGATGCGTTTTACAACCCAGCGATGTCTAGCCAAGATACCAAAGAGTTGAGATGATGTGTTGTGTTGTGCTTTTCAGCTACGATCGTCGCGTCTGACATGCTGCGTGGAGCCTCCCAATGCTCGGCAACCAGCTCCCAACCATTCAAAGAAAACGAAGACAAAGCCGCGCTCGCCGAGATGTTGAATGTCTTGCCATTGGAGAGTTTCAAGAGGTGGTCACTTGGAAGTGATCCAGTTTTGGCATGCACAGCCAAACTTCCAGAAGAAGTGACGTTATACCCCAAGACATTCGAGGGGACATGAACTGCATGCAACGGAGGCGTAGCAACTTCCAAAGCCCAGTCATTGCTGAAGGCGAGAATGGCAGTTTCATTAGGGGCGAGACTCAGAGGGATTTTTGTGGTTTGTCCTTGAACCTGGTAGCCTAAGAGAGCAGTTCGCTCTCCAGTCCAGCTATTGAGAATATATGGAGTTTTGGTCGAGTTGACAATAACATGGCCCATTGATGCACTTTCCGTACTGAAGAGAAAGGCGTAGTCCGTAGACTTGTCACTGCGTAGGATAGGATACCATGTAACATTTCTGGGAGCGAAGACCTCAACACGAGGGCGGATATCAAGTTCGTTGAGCTTTGCAGCGATCTGGCCATTCTCAGCAGTATGAACGTTCCGAGAGCCTTGGAGGGTTTGTAAAGCCTCTTGCACGGATTTCTGTAGTGATCCGTTACCACTGGTGTAATATCCCGGGAGTCCCCCACTGATTATAATAGGAAGACCGGCATTGGCAAGTTCTTGAATCTTGGAGACTGCTTCCAAAGTAACGATTTCTCGGGCGGTAACAACAAGGGCTTGGTACGCAGGTGATTCGGGAGCAAGCAGATTGTTTGACACATATGCCTGGGAGAGGTTAAGATTGGTAGGATTTAAATAAGAATAAGTGTAGCCGTTGTTGACCAAGTCGTCGCCAGGGTATATGGTGCTCAGCTGAGGATCCGTATACGACACTTTGTTGTAGAATGCAATGTCGGTTCGGGGTTGCCCTTGGTGAAGAATATACTGGTTGCGGATGATATAATTGATGGCATCTGGCATGCCTAGCGTCCATGCAGGCTGCTTGTTCATGTATGATTCAGAGAACAGAAGGAAAAACGCGAGATATCCTGGCAAGGTTGTTTCGTAATAGTCTCCCGTGAAAGTCTGCCCATGAAACACAAGTTGGTTACTCCCACCAGCAAATGCGCTGCTGATCTGACCCAAGAGCTCGAACATTGGGAGACGAAGAGCTTTGTTCAAATCGTCTCCTATTTCGTTGGAGATGACTGGCTTTTGGGCAACATTCGTGGCCCCAGAGAACTGACGATATCCGTCAATGTTGTTATTGAAGGCCGAAGATTCGCATTCCGGCGCGGTCACGCGGTCAATATTTGTTTCCATATCGATTGGCAGGTTATACGATATCTGTGCAGAATATCCTAACCCGAGACCTTCCAGCCAGGTTATTAAGGTTTCAAGATATTCACCGTAGCCTTGGGCCAAAGCAGCACGGAAGTCATTCAGAAAACCATTTCCCTTATCGTCACTCTCTAGCATACACTTGATGGATCCCGGATGAGATGGCTGAACGCCAAGGTTGTTGTTCCCGTACATTAATAAAGGAAGGTATTTGTGCAGTTGAAAGCCATGCATTTTTTCAAATCTCCGGGGAAGCGACGAAGACCAAGAGATGTTTGACTTGATCTCAATACTGTCTTCCCAGCCATATGTTCCCACTTCAGACAAAAGGAATTTGATCTCAGCGTCATTTAGGATATAATTTTCCCAAAAGTCTTTCGTGGTTTCGGCACCCCGGGCACTGTAATGGTCAACAGTGTAGGGTCCATTATCGAAAATAGTCCATGTGACTCCAGAAATGTTCCATATCCAGATGCCGCAGTCACCTCTGCGAGGAGACCAAGCCCACTGAATAATATGCTCCAATGCATCATGCTCTATGGGACTTCGAGGTGGGGAATCGCCGCGGAGTGAAATTGGAATTGAAATTGGATCAGATTTCGGTTCACATGGCGGAGGCGTTCACATCTTTATCCAAATTCATAATGTTGTTGACTGAACGTGGTTCTCCCTGGGTTCCCGCTTCATCATAGTCGGTGGAGAAAGGAACATCCGACCTGAAGATCTCAATTTATGCTTGAAAACGCCTTGAACTACTATGATCATCATACGTCCTGACCCGATTAACTAATCGGGATGGACACCTGTACCTCCTATACAGACTCAGAATGGGCTGGAAAGGAGGAGAGTGGGGAAAGTTCGAAATATTCAAGTTTCTGCGAATAAAACGTGAGGATTAAATCTATGATCTATTGGACAGCACATCGCTTCATTTGAGTCCAATCGCCGAGTAAATGTGGATACTCGGGATTTCCGAGTCAAGTCCGATTAACGGTCTGTGGTTTCGGGATCTGGCGAAAACAAGGACTCTTCATGGTTCTGGGGGCAGGGATCGTCACTGAAAACGTGGGGTGAATGTACCGGATGGTGCACAATAGATTCCCAAGATAGTAGGTGATAGTCACTAACTTTGGGGTCTTTCAAGATCAAAGAGGGCAAGCGTATCTCCATCGAGGTACAGTTCCCGATAGATCTTGAATCCGCTTTTTTGGAGAACCTTCATGCTTCCGACATTTACTTTATTGCACGCAGCGAATAATCTTTCCTCCTCTGACCCTGATCTCAATTGCACCGGGTCTATCCGGTCCAATTTCCACCACGCATTTATCAGTCCTGCCACAGCTTCACTGGCGTAGCCCTTGGCCCAAAAGTCTGGATGGAGACCATATCCAATCGAAGGAGCTGGAGCAAGGGAATTGATTCCAACTGTACCGATAACCTTTTGTGTGGGGTCTTTGGCGCTGATAATTGCGAAGTGAAATTGTTTGCCAACAGCTCCGGTTGCGTCGGGAGTCCGAAAGACCTTACTGGCAATGTTTGCTTCTGTTTCCTCGATATGCTTGTGGGGTATTTTCGGCCATCTATGTAGATAATTTAGCCAACGTTGAGCCCGGGAGCCTTCTACCTGGAAATGACCGGGCATCTTCCAAGACAAAGCAGGTCTAGGATGTGAACTTACAGCCAATTCGCTACGTCTTGTCGAGATCGAAACTCGAAGACGTGTGCCGCGTCGCTTGATCTCAAGGGACGCAAGAGAAGGTTCTTAGTTTCAATGACATCCAGATTTGGAGGTATGACAACTCTGACAGGTTGCTCCGGGTACAAAGTTCCCTTAGTGGGGACTTGCGATGCAGCTTTCATTATGTAGGTGTCAGATCAGTGTGGGAATGTGTTGCGTCGACTCTTTGCGGTAAGATGGTTCTTGATAAAGCCCAAGCAAGCGCAAAGATTGATATCCGAGGAGGGGGAGGGGGAAAGACTATTGGTTGTTTTGAGATTGACCAAGACTGGCCATGTTGAGTCACTCTTTCAGGTGCCCCCACTTTACGCGGCAAAGAGCCAGATGATCCAAAGAAGATACCAATAAACATAGCAGTAGGTTATATATCTGATATTACGTTGAGCTCCAGAAGTTATTTGCAAGATAGTGTACACTCGTAATGCATAATTGCATGTCTGGGATCGCGTCGAGCACTGACTTTGCGCATGCAGTCGCAATCACAGTCGCGAAACAGGAATAAAGCAGGAATAAAGCCACATGGTGGAGGAGATGAGATGCCTAGGAATTTCAGTCACTTGTGGTTTAAAGAGCCAGCAGTCTATGCACCGCCTTCTCTCTTTGCGTATTCCTCCTCCATGCGCTCCTCGTAGAGGCGATCAGCCTCTTCTCTGCTCAGAGTCCGATCTCCCTCGGCAAGTTGTGAATTTCGCGACGCATCACTGGTAGTGCTTGATCCAGATCCGAGGCCGTGGTTGCCATTGTTTGATTCAGCTGAGGAGCTAGCGGAGGCTGTCGCGTGCGTGTTGTTCTGGCGCTCCTTGTCCAAGATGTCGGCGGTCGGGATAGGCATTCTGGTAGTAAGGAGAGATTCGGTATCGGTGATTGTGGTCAAGGCAAGAGGTGCAAGGTAGGATGTGAGATGAATGGAAGCTGTAGATGGCAGAGAAGAAAGTGGTAGATCGTAAATTGTCACTTGTGCCTCCGAGTCAGCTTGGTACCGCCACGCGCGTGGCGAGAGCTCCGACGTCATTTCGTTGGTGGGTCGCCCAATTTCTACGGCCATTGTTGACCGCCCTGGTCTCCGCCTTCCCAAGGGGGACTAGTAGCTATTATTATGTTGAAGGCGGTCAACAACGATAGGCAATAGAGGGCCACTGTATGTACAGTTTTCATGCTAGAATTCTATTGATTGCCGATATAACTATCCACAAAACACTCAATCCCTGCTGCAAGGAATATCTTCATCTCTGAGCTCGCTCAACAGCCCATCTTCATAAACAGTCATTAGGTAAACATCAAACACCAAACATCTAAAACAAAATGGATCGAGTGTTCCAACATTTAGAGACGAGAGCGAACAGGCTTCTGAAGCTCTGTATCATTAGAATCCCCGTCAGCCAGCATCTTCTTCATGTCAGGATCGTATAGTGGCTCAGCCGTGATGGTGGCAGCAATACGTCGGCCAAAATACTCAATTTCAACCCCTGCCCCTTCGCCTAGATTCCCAGGTAGCCAGGCATAAGCAATCGGCTTGCGAACCGTATACCCAAATGCCGAGCTCGTCACGTAGCCAACAGCCTTGCCATTTTTAAAGACAGGTTCCTTGCCTAGGGACCATGGACCGGCCGTCGTCGACAGTCAAGCAGCGCAGGCGACGCACAGGGCTCTGTTTGGAGAGACGATCCACCGCAGATTTGCCGACATAATCTTCCCACTTGCTTGCTCGAATCATGTGCCCGACACCTGCTTCATATGGGTTATGCTCGGTGTTCATGTCGGTCCCATAGGTTCGGTAGCCCTTCTCTAATCTTAGTGCATTGAAGGCACCGCGACCAGCTGCGACAAGACCATGGTTCTTGCCTGCTTGGAAGATAGCATCCCATAACCGTTGACCATATTCGGCACTTGTTTGAATCTCCCAGCCGAGCTCACCGACATATGATTTTCGGAAGGCAGTTGTTGGGATGCCGTTGATGATTGCATTCTTCACACCAAGATAAGGCAGACCCTTGTTGGAGAAATCGTCAGAGCTGATCGTTCTGATCACATCCCGGGCACGAGGTCCCCAAAGGCCGATGCAACAAGTGCTGCCAGTGATATCGCGAACTTGCACCCACTGCCCTTGGCGGCGGGCTTCACGGGAGATATAGGCCAAATCGGTAGCAGTATTTGCGCCTATCTGGAACACGTTTTCTTCCAGTCTTGACACAAATATATCACTGCGGATACCACCTTGATCGTTCAGAAGAAGTACCCAAGATATGGTGCCTGGATTTGCGGCAATGTCACCAGTTGTCAGTCGCTGGAGTAGTCTAAGAGCCCCAGGACCCGCAACTTCAAATCGATGGAAAGACGTCATGTCAAACATCGCAACAGCATTTCGTGTCTTCCATGCCTCCGCAGCGACGATAGGTGAATAGAATTGCGAAGACCAGGAATCTCTCTCAACAGGCTTCCATTCAGCTGGAAGGGAATTGAGGAGCTCTGCATTTGCCTCGTACCAAAATGGACGTTCCCAGCCTCCAAGCTCAAGGAAATATGCGCCAAGATCCTTCTCGCGGGAATAGAAGGGACTGGTTCGAAGTGTTCGAGGGGATTCCTTTGGCTGTAAAGGGTGTAGGATGTCGTAGATCTCGACGAAGTTTTGTTGGGAGGTTTCGCTGACATAGTCACGGCTGAGTTGAATTTCTTCGAAGCGAGTGAGCTCACACTCAGTCATATCAATCTGAGAGCGGCCTTCAGTAAGGACTTCGGCGAGCGCACGGGCAACACCAGCTGAGTGTGTGACCCATACAGCCTCGGCTACATAGAAGCCATCTAGGTTGGGTGCCTGCCCGAAGACGGGTCCTCCGTCGGGGGTGAACGAGAAAACTCCATTGAAGCCATCCTCAATCTGAGTACTCCGTAAAGCGGGGAGGAGTTTCTGAGATTCTGTCCAGGCAGGAGCGAAGTCTTCTGTGGTGAACTCGAGGCGAGAAGGCATGTTCTTCTCGTCGACATTCTGAGAAGTGAGCCCTAAGGACGAAGCAACGACTGGCATAGGGCGATGGCCATAGTAGCCGATTCCGTATTGTCCACCATGCTCACGGAAATATAGGTCCTGATCCTGGTGTCGAAGGATTGGGAGGGTTGCATTCAGACCGTTTGGTTTGTTGTTGAGGTCTCGACCGGCGAGAGCGGGAACGGTAGTCGTCTTTGCGTACTGATGCGCGAGAGGCAGCAAAGGGATCGGCAAACCAACCATCTTGCCAATCTCAACACCCCAGAATCCAGCACAGGAAACGATTATATCTGCAGGAACGGTTCCACCAGGGATGGTCACGCCTGTCACCCGGCCATTTGCACGTTCGATACCAGTTACGGGAGTAGAGCCGAGATAACGGACACCGGCTTTGCTAGTACGTTCAATAAGCAGCTGGGTGGCGCGGGCTGCGAGCGCTAGACCATCGCTAGGGATATGCAAGCCGCCGAGAACCATGTCTTTATTGAGGTGAGGGTACATTTCAAAGCACTCCTCGGCACTGACGAGACGTGCATCGATTCCCCATGACGAAGCGTAGCCATGCTTTCTTTTGAGGTCCTCGAGCCTTGCAGGGGTTGTCGCCACCTCCAGCCCACCAACTTGATTGAAACAACCCTGGCCGTCTTTCTCAATCGATTGAAGTTTCTGGACCGTATATCGAGCCAAGTGTGTCATCGTCTTGGAAGGGGTGGTCTGGAAGACGAGGCCGGGGGCATGTGACGTCGAGCCACCAGGCATGTGCAATGGGCCTTGCTCGACGACTGTGATATCGTTCCATCCCCGCGAGACCAGCTCATCCGCGAGGTTGGTACCAACAATCCCGGCGCCAATGATGACAACACGCTGCGTGGAAGTCATTGTGAAGAAGCGAATGATTAGCTTGACAAAGCTGCGGAGAGGGCTTCTCTTATGTATGCGCCTCACAACAGACCCAGAACTTTCTTGATATCGTGCGGGGGAGGGGTGCTTCCCCTCGTAGATCATGCGATGATGATATAGCTATCATCCTATTGTTCCTACTGTGGGTAAAGTAGTCCAGGCCCCGCATCGGCTCGGACGGTAGTTGGATAAGTATACCGACCCCAGGTAAAGGGTTCCTTTTCCCGAATGAGTAAAAGTGGAGTCTGATATGATAAACAAGACTGGTCCTTTATAGACTCATAAAAATGTTCAACGGTAGCTGTTTTGTGGTTTCAATGCTGTATAGCAAAGCTCGCGAAAATTGTGGGAGTTCCATCAGTTCGAAGCTCAACAAGTGCCGAGGGCGATCAGTCGATAAGAGCTTGGACCCAGTATACATCCTCGACAATGGATGAGGTTACCATTATCGGAACGATCCCGGATGAAATCGATTGGCTCCCCAAAGGCCTGGTGTAGCAAATTAAAGTCAAATGACCATTGGCGTCCGGAGATCCGCCCGTGAGCCGCTCACGTGTACGGGTGGCAACCCCACGTTCGGATCGGAATTGACTGCTTGCAGGTATCTCTATTTATGCTCATTGGATTATTACTGGAGTTCATTATCCTTGCTTATCTATGACCGGCTAAGAATAGTATATCTCCATCAGCCAGTGGGCAGTTATGCGTTTTCGTGGGCTTCAAGTTGGGAGGGTACTAGTTAGTAGGTATACTACTAGTAGTATTACCTATATCTTCACATCATATAGTAGTACTTTTGCTACTAGTACTAGTATTTGACTCTTTCTCTATTCTTCTATATTGAAATCAACAACAATCCGAGCAGCAGCCTCTCCTCTCTGTAATTTCTGCACAGCCTCCGGTAATCGATTAATTGGATGAACCTCACTTATCCGGCGAAGGAGGCCTCGCCGTGCGAAATCTAATGCGGCCGCCGTATCACTCCGGCTACCAACGAGAGTTCCCTTGACAGTCAAGTTTTTGAATATGTACTGACAAGGGTCCACATTGAGTGTCGTAGTATTTATTGGTGGTATTCCAGTGCACATCACGATGGCCCCAAATCTGTCACCAGTGTATTTGGCGCAGGTTCTATACGCAGCAGGAGCAGTAACAAACACACCATGTGCCCAGACCCCATCGGCGATCTTAATAACAGCCTCGGGTGCATTACCTCCTGGAAATCGATGAATGCTTCGGCTCCCATTTCGATTGCCAGCTTTCTCTTCGAATCGCCAGTATCAACCACAATGGGACGCATCCCCATAACCCTCGCCAACTGTGCACCTTGGATGTCGACCCCACCACTCCCACCAAGACCACCCAAGAGCCTGGCTTGATGCCAGGTTCAATCAACGATCGATACATGGTGCTTGCACTGCACATAATAGGCGTGGCGATCTCATCCGGGACCCCATCTGGGATTGAAGATGCACACCGAGCCGGTTACAAGATATACTGCTGATACGTCCCTTTTGGAAGACAAATCGGCCACAGAACCGAATTTAAAAGAAGGGGTTTATTTTTGCTATTCCTCTCACCTGGTGACATCAGCCCTGAGTGAGCTGCAGAATTGCAGTATGTCTCCTTGCCACCCCAACATAGGGCACATGACTCGCATGTACTCATGATGGGTTTCACCCCGGCTCTGTCACCTAAATTAATCCTTTTCACATTGATTCCAATTTTAACAACCTCACCAGCACCTTTATGGCCTGGCGAGCGTACCCGAAGGGACATGGGGGGGAAGTCCCATGTCACCTTTCATCAGGTGTATACCTGAATTACAGAGACCAGTGCAATTCATTTAATCAATATATCATCTGATCCTATTTCATTAACTAAAAGTCAGACTTTTACCTCTCTTTATTTGCTGGTATAAGACATTTTTGATTAAGTTGATCTCACCGAGTTCTGGGACCGGTACCATTTCAACTTTGACGTGGAAATCTGGCCCTTCATTTACCTCCACGCCTGCTTTGCAGTGTGATAGAATATCGAACATTGGTATATTTTTTGCTTCGTACAAGTTAACCGGCTTTTAAAAGGGAGTTGTGAATATGAAATATCAGAGTGCGATAAATAGCAAGCTGAAGGGACGGAAGTCGAATGCTATTGGAATGCTTGTCAGCCACACAACGGTGACGCAGTTGGGGCGTCACTACCCAACAACAGATTGGCTGGTATCATTGAGGCATAGATCGGCCAAACTTCAAACCCTTCGATCGCGTCCAGGCCCTTCGCGGCCTCGGCCCCCGCAGAGAGAAGCTTTTGTCTAGCAAGTGACCTGGCTACTAGTATTGCGAGTGGCGTGCTTTCTTTCCTGGTTGAAGGATCAGATGAAAGAAAGAGTATACAAGGGTAAAAAAGTCCCCAGAGGTCAGATAATAAGATTTCTGGTGCTAAGAGATAAGATACGCTTCTTAAAAGCAGCAACGTCCCAAATCCCTTCGAAATAAAACATATCAGGCATTATGGCCATTCGGTTTGAAAAAATCAAAAGAAAAGTCCCAGCCATTTCAACCATAAATAATAACGAAACAAACAAAGGCTATAGCGAACGTATTATACATTTGGTCCATGCCTGCTGCGTGGTAACTGGTCAAGTAACATTCCCACGGTCACGCCACGGCCATCAACTTATGTTCTGTAAAGAAATAGTACTGTTGAAACCCGAGTGGCTCGAATCACCTCTTTTGGGCCAGTCCCTACATCCCTAAGGGCGAATTTGCTGGTTTTCAGGCTTGTCCTGACCGAGGTTGGGTATCGTGGTTGTGGCTGTGTTTTCGTATTGAGGCAGGCGTTGCGGGTCATATACCGGAGGCGGGTTGTCCAGTGTCTCGGAGTTGGCTCGTCTCTGTGGATTATGCATTTCTACATTATCTCCATTTCGAGGCTGAGGTGTTTGCCTTTGAGGCGCCATCCAGCCAGTGCCGTAATACGGGCTCAGCCCTCTGTTGCGACGGCGGCGGGCGATAAATCTAGAAACCAGGTTAGCAAGCATGCTTCTTACACCATAGATCCACAGGGTACGTACGTGAAAAGAGCGATGCCAGTGAAAACGAGTACAGCAATAGCGACTAGGACAACCCAACGTCCCCAAATGTACCAATCGCTTCGATAACAGCCATCGCTCCTATAATAATACCCTGAAAGGCAGTCGCCGGTCGCCATGCTTGCAGGAAAGGAAAAGTAGAAGTAAGAATTTGTGGTGGGGTTGGAAGTGTTGGAGGCTCGATTGCGGTTTGGTGGATGAAAGGCTGATAAAAAGGACTCTAGAAATGGCCTGTTTCACAATCCGTTGGTAATGTAGAAGGAGATGGGAAGAAATTGCTTGCGATAGTAGTAGGTATAGGACATGATCGTTGCTTCTTTATAAGTTGGCTTCTGGATTTTCTTTGAAAGAAAATATACAAATCAATCTGACAAGACATCATGATGGATGGGGCGCATGTCCTGTGTGGTGCGGGAGGCTGTGCTTTAATTCCAAATAGCTACCGCTATTGGCATCGCCGACTTCTACTAGTACCAGGCGAATAGTTACCGTAAGCAAGCCACTATTTTACCGTATCTGGAGAATGCACTGGTTCGATTATGGATCCTGTCACTGTACTGAGCCCCTTGTTGGAATGGCGCAGCCTTAAAACACTCAAAAAGGCGTATCGCGATTCGGAATTTGGCCTTCTCTGCACTTATTAGCGAAAAGTCCCAGTGGCCAAGAATTTTTTAAAATTCGCGAAATAGGCGTATACAATTTCCGCCGTAATCGACTCGAACTTAAAAGATTGGCATCATGAGCTGTCGTATTTGATCACCTAATACGACAATCGATGATGCGCCCTTGGCGGCCCACTCCCCCAAAGATCTAGTTAGGCGCAGCCCTGGAGATCCAATAGGAAGAATAGTCAAGATATTGTCCCTTTCGAATTTTCAGTCGTCTACTAGTATTAGTAAAGTGTCGAATTGAGCAGATCTACCTTGCGGTGACTTTGGGAACATTCAAGGCCTATCAAATTTGGACAGAATTTCATTCAATCTACTAACTATGATGTAGATAATGCCAATGACGAAAATTTGAACTAAAACTAATCAGAGGAAATGTTCGTCACAAGATAATCATCTGAAGCCCAAATCACAATTCTTTTGGCTTTCCTGAAAGCGCAAAGATATGACCATGGCACATCGGCAGTCAAGAAGATCTCCTACTACTCATCCAATGTCAAGAGAGAGAAAACCTTTCGAAGCCTCTGATCAGTTCGGCGGCATCAGGGACAAAAGAGAAGAAAAGATTTCACAATATAGATTGGAATATTAGGGACGACGTTAATCAATATCCCATCACTAGTTCAGAAGCATCTACTCCGATCAATTTAACTTGAAAACGCCCACTCAACATAGGGTTGGTTGATCAAATATACCAAAGGAATTGATTCAAAAATGGCGCAGCAACTGATAAAGCTAGACTACCCCACTAAGCTGTAACCCATGTGGTGAAAATCGCGCATCAGTCCGTCACTGAATCCTTCCACAATAATGCTCATGTGTGCCCCGCACCGAAATCAAGGTAGGAAACAAAACAAGAGAAAAACTCCATGAAGATAAATAAAAACGCCCGCTATCCTATCCCATGGCGAAATAGAGTGTTATAGAAGAGTTGAGATGCAATATGTTCGTGCGTGCAGATCCGAATTCGGGAAACAGAGGTATATGGTGGGGATTTGATGGCCAGGCGATCAAACGTCGTCCATTGTGCCGGCGGGCTCTTCGCCACCAGATTCATAGCTACCTGCTGAGCTGAGTTCGTCTTCTGACTCGGTGTCTTCACCCGCCTCGTCTACAGCTTCTTTACTGGCATACTTGGAGACGTATTCTATGCGCTCTAGTTAGATCCTAGAACTGGATGGTAGGGTGACTGCAATGCCAACCTTTCACTTTGGCTTCATATGCCTTAGGCTCCCGCATCATTAATGCGGCAGCCTCTCCATTAAGGGGGTCTGACGGATTGGGGTAGCGGAGTAACTGTGGCAGGAAAACCTCGAAAATGTTGATCATGTCGTACATGGGTGACCATGTCTGGTTGATGACGTCGAGGCAAACAGAGCCAGATCTGCAATTTGAAGTTAGAACCCCATAGTCAAGATGCGGTGCTGTGGAGGCTCACAGCTCATCGATATTGGGATGGAAAATCCGGTTAACAAATCCAATACTCGGACTCTTGTAAGGGTATTGGTCAGGCAATTCCACATGGATCTTCCAGTGTCCGCCAGTAAACGGTGCTGGGAGAGTTAGCATGATGTGATCGCCGACCATTATGAGCAAGCCTGTACATACTCTCTTCCGGGCCCTTGAAGCGGACATAGAATTCCTGCCTGTATCATTATGTGAGTCGTTTCCTTGGCGATGTTCGCAGGCGCTTGGTACATACACTGGATGGGTTTTTAGTTAGCGAAACTGAACATGTGACTAGCCGAAGGGCCATAACAAATTTCTTACTATTATCGTTCACCAGTGTCACCTCATAGTCACTCATCAACCTATATAGAAGGTCAGATATGCTTCATAGCCCAACTAGTATGTCCTTCGTTCAATCGTGTATGGCGGGTTGTGTGGGGGAGGGGGATGGGCGAGCGTACATCCTAGATTGAGAGTTAGCATAGGTGCCCAAGGAGTTGCGAGGAAGCTTTGTAGAGCATACTTCATGACCTATAAGAGTAAAAGAGTCACTGATTAGCGACTGCGGGGACCGTGGGAGCTTATCTCCAAGCGCTCGAGGGTACTCACATCGGTCTCGATTCTTCGTTTGGGACTGCTCATGATGGCGGCGTGGAGGGGTAGGGATAGTTTTCCAGCAATGGCGAACGAAGTAGGTGTTGAAGCTGCTGGCCTGCGAAGTGGGGGCAAGCTTGGTCGAGGGCGTAACCAGGAGAAATGGAGAATGAGGTCACCGCGAGAATAACCGGAGGTGGAGCGGGGGAGCAGAAGTAGAAGCAGCGGTAGAAGTAGAGACGGCGAGGGGAGGACGAAGGGGCAGTAAGGATCTCCCGAACTAGCTAGATATATCCAGCAAGTTATTTCCGAGGTATCAGTAGCAACAATGAGAGGAAGAAAGAGAAGGGAAGAGGGGGTTGCCCATTTGGAGCGTAGCAGGTGAACAACGGATGACTCAGCCGGGATCCATGGATCAGAATACACGCAACTTTCCACTTTATTTTACCTTGTATTCCTTGGATATCCAAAGATATTACTTTATATACAGGCAGAAGAGAATTGTGCCCAACTAGCGGCTGGGTACTAACTAGATGTTACGTGGCACCTTGTACACCAACTCAATCCTGATGTGTTGTACTCGCACACGATCAAGTCTGGACCGGCTAACCACAAGAGATGTGAACTATGCTATAACCTTGTATTAGTTCGTATGGACCTTGGACAACCTTAAGAATATTCTTGTGCACAATCTTTTCATATTTGGTGATTATAAAGTACCTCCAGGTATACTTTCTATTCAATCCTTGAGAGGTTTGGCATATATTACTCGAGGCACTGGTTTTGAAGTCGACCGATGGCGGCGCTTGGGATTTAAGCTCCAACGTAGATCAGCTGCGGTTCTGCCTGTCCCTGTCTCTCCCCGCCCAAACCTAACTTCCCCAACTCCCCCACCTTGACCCTCCGAACATTAAACACTTCGTTAGTCCTCTTTGGCTTTTGGGGCAAGAGCATCGACATGGATCCATCATCACCATCAGAGCGCTCAGCTCGCAACTCTCCCAATCTGTCCAGCGGAAGCACTCTCAGCCACCGACCCAGTCCTAATATAGGCAACACCAGCCGTGAAGGACAACGGTCAGGGCCAGACTCTCCAAGCCTGGAAACTCCGATACCAGACGACGAACATGGCGCAGATTTACCAATGAACATGACGGCATCTGTTATGCTGACTGGTCTACCCCGTGATGCCCACCAAGCATTGGCTGACGTTGAGGCCATTGATGCTGGCAAAGGTATGACCGGACGATTCTTATCTGATGCGCCCACCTTGTCCCTTCCTTATTTGTTTTCCCCTCCCTTTATGCATGCATATTGCTTCTTTTTGGCCGAAGGCTGTTTTATTCTATCTGTTGAACATTTCCGACTAACGTCCCCTAGTCACTGTTCGCTTTCAACCACTTCCATCCGCCCCAATACTCAAGAATCGGGTGTTCAAAATTAGCGCCTCTCAAAAATTCGAAACTGTCGTTAAGTTCCTTCGAAAGAAGCTTGACTGTAAAGATACCGACTCCGTCTTCTGCTACGTGAACAGTGTTTTCGCGCCTGGTTTAGACGAGGGTGTCGGCGGGCTATTCAGAGTTCGTCCTCTACCTTTCTATTTGCTAGATTGACCCTCTAATGAATTACATCGCAGTGTTTCAAAACTGATGATCAGTTAATTGTTGCTTATTCAATGACGCCGGCATTCGGTTGAGCCAGCGCTCCAACAATGAGACCCTATCGCACGGAACTCATGAATGAACTATGTACAGATGCTGTTTGATACCAAAATAACATGCAAATGATACCTCCCAAATGGTATGCATGATACGGGGGATTCCGTTATTTGCCATAAATTTCGTCAACCGTCTTCTCGAACTTTTGCAGTTCCTCCTTTGTGATGGGATACGTGTATTCCTGTGACGGGAATGCGCGACTCTTGACTTCGTCGCGATACTGTGAAATGCCACGGGCGGCCTCCCCCCCCAGACGTCTGCATACTTCTTCACGAATTTCGGAACAAACCGACCCGGCTGGAAATTGCCAGTCATATCAATCTGCACCAGCACCTGGCCGGAGCAGCCGTTGCCAGCGCCAATCCCGATCGTCGGAACTTTGAGCCTTTGCGTGATAAGAGCGGCTACCTCTGGAGGCATCGCTTCGAGAACAAACATGAATACTCCAGCCTCTTGCATGACCAGCGCGTCTTTCAGGAGCTGCATCGCACTCGTGCACGTCTTACCTTGGACCCGGAAGCCGCCAAGGGCATTTTGACGTTGAGGAGTGAGCCCCACGTGTCCGACGACCGGGATACCAGCCTGTGTTATCCGCTTGATGGTCGGACCCAATTCCTCGCCGCCCTCAATTTTGACTCCCTGTACCCGACCTTCCTTCACGAGACGAAGAGAAGACTCCACCGCTTGTTCGGGGGAGATCTCATAAGACCCCATTGGCAGATCACCCACCTAAGGAGAGAAATACATTGTTAGTCCGTGCTAGTATGAAACCAGGACAAAACCACAAGGCAACTTACAATGAATGCGCTCTTCGCCCCACGGACCACACTCCTACAATGCAAGACCATATCATCCATGTTCACTTCCGTCGTGTTATCCAATCCTAACGCCACCATGCCCAGACTATCACCGACCAATACTACATCCATCCCCGCGACATCAGCAACATGGGCACTGGGGAAATCATGCGCTGTCAACATGGTAATCGGCTCACCCTTCTTATAAAGGGTTTTCAACGTCTGCATGGTGACCTTCTTTCGGGCATTGGGGGTATTCGGCGCGGGATCGGGGGAGTTATAGGAGCTGTATCGGATCTGGGAGCGAAGCGGCGAGGAGGGAGTTGAGAGAGTGGGAGATCGACGAGAGGCTGTGACATTCTTCTGGAAGCGGGGGGTAGTGGCGCGCAGTGCGCTCGAAGCCAGTAGGCATGGGGTCAGGAAGTTGCTTCGTGAGAGCGGCCGTAGGGCCGAAGTAGGGACAGTCATAGTGGCGCCGATCAGATTGATGGAGGTAGCGAGGCAACACGATTGTGAGGGAGGAAGCCCCGGAGGACAGCGGAAAGCGAGAAGATTCAAGCAATACAGCTCAATACAAGCTCACACTTCACACTAAGAGGGTATAACAAGGAAAATCAAAGAAGAAAAACCAAGTTGTAGACTGCTTGTTCGCAGTGCAACGAAGCTCAAGCCAGATGTCACGGCAATGACCTCACAAAATTCCTCGGCACGTGGAAGGAAAGGAAGGGTGGCTTCTGGGGTTCTGGGGTAGATTTCACGTTGTTGCTTCTCTCAATATGAGGGCGTTTATATGAATAAACACCACTTCCATCTGTCCGGGAAGTTCTGGGTTATGCAGCGTAGACGGGAGCATCTCCGCTTAAAAAAAAGAATCTCGAGGTTGAGCTTCGACCCGCCGCGGCATTAAAGATGCCCGCCACTGGATACTGCCAGTACTGCCAATACCGCCAATACCGGGAGTTCGGTTGTTTGCGGTTACTGGTGATCTGCTCTACCTGGTGGGGCGAGACATGGTGGGGTAGTTTGATGCTGAGCATATAGCATACATTGTTCAATCTGTGATGGTTGCATAGCTTTTGGCTATCTATTTCGAAAATATAATGTTTGGATCTAGTTTCTTCGATGAGCTGTGGAAAATCAATAGTACAGTAGACACATACTTAAGTACTGTATCTCCTGTATTCGGCGTAATCGGCTCACCGCTTCCCGAATGCGTGGCCGAGGTAACTGCTGTTTTGGGGTTAGTGCGGGGAGTGCTGAGGACTGCTTGGTATACTTGGGACTTGGGATCTGACTGGAGCATTTGGACTAAGCATTAGGTTATATCGTGTGATAACCGAGGATGAACAGATTCGGCGGGTAAAAACAACAGCCGATGTCGCATAGTTAAAGCTCGTGAGGGGGGGAAATTCCGGCTACAACGGGGAAGAAACAAAAAGTGATTATTGTAGAGTCAATACATTGTAGATACTACTGGAGTGAACGGAACTAAAACCACCACTTGCGCCGGGTATTAAGACCCGAAAGATAAAGGGCACAAAGGACTCCACCGAATGAACAAACAAGAGAAAAACAGGGTAGATGAGCGAACAATTAGGCCCGTAGGCACTTTTGACAGATGAGATCATGTAATAGGATGCAATGCCATGCAATGCAATGCACCACCCCTCCTTGCAGTCATGTCAAACGTCGACAGGAACTGCCCATACACCACGAGGCCACGGTGGACAGTGAGTCTCCAGACATCCGGATAGAAGATCTGCGGAGTGGGGTGTGCGTGGCTTACACCACCGCCTGGGCACCAGAAAAGAAACAAAAGCAAAACAAGGGAAATATGGGTGGGAATCATGATTTGGTAAAGCCTGGCACACCGAGGCATTGTATAAGTGGTTGCGTTTTCCATAACGAATGCGTTCATGCAAAAAATGAGAAGAAAAGGTTGAATAGAAAATACAGTAGGGAGAAAGGTAGTAAAGGAGAAATATGGGCTCAAAGGAATGGACGACCTCACTCAGGGAGGTCAAGAGAGGTTGCTGTATCAGTAAAGTGGCTGCCGTGGCAGTGCTGATGCGAGGTGATAATGAAAACTCCACATAATGCGATGCAGATGTATCGATGCCGTTGGGTATGATGATGCGATCCAAGATTCCACTTCCCTGAGTAGGGAGACGTGGTTAATCCAATGCTAAAATAAGAAATCTCGAGCGTTGGAAAGGAAGACAAAGATGGGAGAAAGGGGCCGGCTGCAGCAAAATGCAACAATAGTCGATGGAGGCTTAGATTCGTATTTTCAAAGGTGAACCATAGTGAATCGACATCGACAAATTAACTTGCGAAAAAAAGATGATAAGCTTCCTTGGGCGGACGTTGGATCTCAAAAAGTGAAGCGTCCAGTTAAAGCCAGTTGGAAGTGTTCTATGCGAATTGGAGGGTATTCGCGTGAGGGTGTGCTCTTCGAAGTCATCAAAACTGATATTCGTCCTTGAGCGGTCGTTGGATTTCGAAGAGTAAGGCGTCCAGTTCGGCCCAGTTGGAGGTGTTCTGTGCAAATCGCCGATGCTTTCGCGTGAGGGTGTGCTCTTCGAAGTCATCAAACTTGTCCCTGCAGTTCTCGCAGTACCCGGGTTTAGGGTCCCGTCGCCGTTGTTCGGGCTTTTTCTGTTGGTTGTCCCGTCGCTCGTCCCGTCGGCGCTTATTGCCAGCTCCTTCCGATTGATTTCCGTCCTCTTCGTGACCGGTCTTTTCAGGGACAGCTGATTTGTTGGACTCGGTTGATTGAGCTCTGGTGGGATTCAGTGACGATCCGTTGCTGGGACGTTGAGGCGCAGCCATCGATCCAGTTAAGATACCACCAGTCCCCTTCTCCAGAACCTTCCGTTTCAGCCCGTGAATTTCTTTACTGAGTCCTGCCTTGGCACCGGGCGCAGCTGCAGTGGAAGAGATCATCTGTGATCGGATAGCGGAAGTGACATTAGATGGTTGGACACCGGATGCCGCAGGCTCACGGCCAGTATAGAAAGGACCAGTACGAGAGAAATGAGGAGGGATGAAGCTTTCTGAGCTCTTCCTTTCATGGCTTTCTTCGAATGAAGGCTTGGCTGGGATTTCGACTTGAGTTGAAGGCTTGAAATGCTCCTCAATTGACGTCTGTGGCTTGGAGACTTCTGTAGATGTTTTGGTGTCAACGGGCGTTTCGTTAGTAGGGACAGGTTGAGGCTGGGTCTCCTCAACATTCTGTCGAGTGGCCTTCTTCTCCTTCTGAGCTTGACGCATGCGGTGTCGATCATATTCTTTGCGGCTGGGAGGCTCATCGATAAAAGGACACTTGCCCAGAGGAGCACTTCGAAACTGGGGCCAAGATCCATCCTGGCGTTTGGCTACACGCGAATATTCTCGAACCATGACCGGCTTAGTCTTCTCGTTCATGTCGTGGATGTAAATAAAAGGCCCCTTGAACATCAGCATTTCCATAGACGCCAAAGGATCGCGGTCCGATGGCCCATTCAACATTTCTTGGCGAAGGACGCGTGAGAGGTCATTATCACCCTTGCCATGTGAAGCATGGCCACCGGCAGCTTTGCTTCGCGATACAGCATCATGCTGACCAGCAAGCTCATTGTCATTGATCGTCGTGATCATTCGTTGCAACTTCTCCAGTGCCCAGATCTTCATTCCCATCTGTCGAGCTCTTTGCAGGACATCCATGTTTCCTTGATCCCGGCGTCCAGCACTCTTGTCCAGTAACGATGGGTTGACGGTCTGAACATGGACATCACCACTGGCTTCTGGTGTAGCTGTGGACTCTTCGGTTGGGCTCGTGACGGCTTCGGCAGGGATGGGACGAGAGGTGACGACATGGGTGACTAGTCGTGAAAAGAACTTCTCCTCGCGCTATAAATGAATGTTAGCAATTAGTCCGAACAAAAGCAAAGACGTTCATCAATTCCATAACAGGACGAAATGGCACAACATCTTTAGACGCGATGCATTTTCGGACGGGAGGGAGTCGCTTACAGCTCCAAGTGCAACAACCTGACGCGAGAACTTTCGGCGAACATCTTCCGGGATACTATCGAAATAGAAGACAAACTGCGGGAAAGCCTTGCGGTAATGTCGTTGCCATTGACGAATGTTATCCAGTGTATCCGCGGATGGCCTCTCGCCTTTGGTTCCCTTCACGACCGGCTGCCGTTCCCGATCTCTCGCCGCAACGAGCTTCTTCTCAAACGCGCTGGGGTTGGCATTGTTGGATCGGCGAGCAAAGAGCCTAGACTCAGTGCTTTGTTGAACCATAGATCTACTCCGCGAGGGAGACCGAGTCTCTTGCTCCGCGACATCCATCACTTGCTTCTTGGGCGGAGGCTGGCCGTATGGAATCTCGATTTGGGTCGACCGGGCTCGTTTGGCAGGCAGGAGCCCGGTCCTATGGGGAGAATTGGTTGCATTCGGCACGTTGGCGAGAGGGCGTCGAGTCGACATGTTCAGGGAGGTTTGGGGGGAGGGGGGCACGAATACAGCGGCCATATGGACACGATATCTCTGCTTAACAGATCAAGCGTATCGATAGCTTCGATTCTGCACAGCTGGGGTCAAGCTGTTAGAGAGGGGTATTCGAGTTCGAGCACGCGACGTGCTACACGTCCTTAGCTAGTCCCGACAGTGACTTTAGAGGGAGAACTGCATGGTAGCACAGAGAACGGACGAATTCGAACTGGAGGGAGAATTCAATTTCACCACGAGGGAGGACAGAGAAGTTGAGGTTGAGGTAGTGAAATTGGGGTTGAAGAAGGAAGAGGTCGAAGGGCAAAATGGGTGTGGTGGAGACCCGCTCCGTTTGTTTTGCCTGCGCCGGGACAACCAACAGGGTCGCGCGAAGCATGAACATCAACATTACATTCCTACGGGCGCGACGTGCCGGGCATTTCTTGGATTTCTAATGCTTATTTGATTTTCGACTCTATATTTCTTTGAGAAATTCAAAAATTCCTTGTTCTTCCTTTTCCTCGTCTATTTTGATCATCGCAACAAAGAAATAATACCAACCACCGGCCAACCACCGGCCAACCACCGGCCAACCACCATGCAAAGTAACAGCCCCCACGTCACGTCGAGCGGGGGGAGGAGGCTGGAGAAGTATTGTACATTTGGTTTCAAGAGGGTATCTGACAGCTACTATACATATGTTGATACTTCTAACTACGCAGTGCTTCAATATCATCAACCTAGTACTCGAGTTAGCCCCTCATTCATACAACTTAGATCTAAACAAACTTACCTCTTTGACAGCCTCGGGAGTCAAAACAATGGGGTGCTCATCTCCAACGCAGACACTGTCTTCAATGCGAATGCCAATACCACGGAAATGCTCTGGCCATCGCTCATCGTTCGGTACATAAATACCACTGTAGTCGATTAGTGACACGGTACTATACTGGGATAAATGGTAGAGGGGACTTGCGGTTCAATAGTAATACACTGTCCAGCCTTCAGGTTATATCCCCGGGAGTATCCGGGGCAATCATGTACATCGAGGCCAATATAATGACCCAAGTGGTGGGGGAAGAGAGTGTTGATAGCCTGTTCTAGTGTCAGCCGTGGCCCCCTCGTCATAGTTTATGGGGATACTACATACGGTGCCAGACATGTCAAACCCAAGCTGCTTAAGCTGGTCCTTGAGTCCGTTCTCGGCAATGCCGTGAATTTTGTCCAAGGAGAGATTGGCATTCTCACGGCAAAGAGCCAGGCTGGTGCGGTGCACGTTGAGCACTGCATTATACAAGTCCCGCTGGGGATCAGTAAACTTGCCGTTGACGGGCCAAGTTCTTGTGATATCGGAAATATAGCCACCAAGTTCCTAAAATCCTGTCAGAATTTCTATTTCGCATTTCCTCATCTGATAGAGGAAAGCCGGGGTTGTCGGGTACTTACACCACCACCGTCAACAAGAATGAGATCTCCGTCCCTAATTAATATTCGTTAGTTATATCGCATAATCGCAAAGCGAGACAGAGACATACCGCAGAGCATCGTCGTTTCTCGTGTAATGGATACTCAGTGCATTCTGTTTCCATTAGCATGTGTTTATCCTTGCAAAAGTCCCTAGCATCGCATACCTGTCCGCCCGCAACGACAGGAACAAAAGCGCTCCCGTCACAGCCGTTCACCTTGAACTGATATTCCAGATACGACATCAAAGCTTTCTCAGTAGCGAAAGTCTGACGCATCGAGTCCGTGAATGAGCGCCCAGCGGCCTGTCCCAGCATGCGCATATGTACCACCTCGTTCTCGCTCTTGAAGGCCCGCATCTCGTTAAGGATCGACTTGAGAGGTTTGACCTTGCGGTGATCCACGAACTTCTTCAGCTTCTCTGACGCAACGGTCGGTCCGTAGAGATATCGGTGCAGGGAAGACTTCGCGTTGTCGAGTGAGGGTATGTCCGAGTAGACCTCTGAGGCGCCGGTCACAATTCTGGGGAGAATGTCTCCGATATTTTCGATATTCCCTGTCTGTATACCCAGTTTGTTAGCCTTGTTTTCGTCCATTTTGTTTGATTGTGCCTGTGACTATGCGACGTGCAGAACCCACCTCATCTGCGTTGAAGACGTCCACGGCAGCCTGTGTGCCAGACCGCGCACCATCCCAGAGTTCAGCTCGAGCGTCCTTCTCCCTCACGTAGAGGTGGAAGGTGTGATTATCCCCGGATCCATCGTTTCCAATTACTGCAAGTGCGTTGGGCTCGTTGAATCCTACTCTATGGTCAAAATGATTTCCTCTGACGACTTTCGCGCTTGATTGTACCCACCTGTAAGGTAGAAGAAATTGGACTCCTGTCGGTACTCATTAAAGATCCCCGGCGCGCGATACTTCACTTCGGACGCGGCGAGAATAGCGACGGCGCCCTTGGGGAGCTTGTTGGCGAGGCGCGACCGACGCTGGGCATATTCGAGTGCGGTGATTCCCGGCGTAACTATAATTTTTGGGGAGTCAGTCCAATCCTTCGCAGTGATTTAGACAGATCCAAAACAGCAAGTATATGCACATACGTTCACCGGGATCGAGAAGGTGGGGGTGTGTCTCGTGCAAAGGCTGGCCGAACTTGAGGTCCGCGGCGAAGACGGACTCCGAGGTAGCGTAAGTCCTGGACGAGCGCGAAGGGGCACGAAGGAAGTTGTGACGCTGCGGTTGTGTCAGGCTGAGCAGACTCGGGCGAGACGAAGGGCGCAGGCGAGCGCATCGGGCGAGTGACCTGCATGCCATTGCGATCTGTATATCCGTCCAGGTTACGGAGGTGACCGGTGATAACGATAGCTTGCTGGAGGTGGTTCCAATTGATCGAAATGGCCCCCGTCGGCGGTGTGGACCAATCACCAGCAAAGCGTTGCAATCATAGCAGTACTTATCGTCTGTCCCTCACCATCATCTTGGATCTACCAGAGTTCCCAGGTCTACGCCCTTCAGCACAGAATTCACCGATCATTACCTCTTCGAGGCCATCATGTCATGTATATAGTTTCAAATTCTCGGGCGAATACCCATCTTCCAGTCAATCTGCTCCAGGGCTCTGGCGCAACCTTTTCCTGGTTTAGTCAAGGCTCGCGGCCAATCGCCGTTGACGCTGGCACGGATGGACCTACTCGAATAGGCGGGCTAAAGCGCGTCGTATTCAGTTAGGAATGATGATAGAAGACTGTGGCACTGGTAAATTGGATATCCAGCTGCCCTGGTGGTCAAGGAGCTGCGGCTCAATAGATATATAAACGAGTATCTCCCATTTTCGCTGCTAGTACCCTCAAGAGACCTACCAACCTTGGAACAAAACAACATCAACTCAAACCACCTAGAACCGCAGACTCCCTATTAGTTCAATAATTCCAAGGTAGAAGCAAAATGGGAAGAACCCTCACCTACCCCAAACGGTCGTCGAACACCGTCAACCGATATAAGCACCGCGGTATGCCTTCCAAGGTTGCTATAAGATTCACACCCTTACGAAGCCCCAGTACTGAGGTCCTAGTACTAATCGTGAACTGCCCTTCCAGCTACATATGACCTTGGTCCAATCCACGCCATCATCAATGCCTCCCCAGTGCTCCATGTCTCCTTTAATCCAGGTCCGGACGACCCTTTCCCCACCATCTTGCCAATGATCGGTCAAATGGGTTCCTTCGAGTACCCCTCCGCGACCATTGACGAACCACTGGAATGCTATCTCCACGGCTACGTCAGCTCGCGCATAATGAATCTCGCCCGCGCCTCTGACGACGACGGTCTACCCATTTGCGTGGCAACGAGCCAGGTCGATGGTCTAATTCTATCTCTGACGCCCAACTCGCATAGCTACAACTACCGCTCCGCCGTCCTGCACGGCTACGCCAACCTCGTCACAGATGAACAGGAGAAACTATGGGCCATGAAGATGATTACGAACTCCGTTCTCGACAATCGCTGGGATAACTCCCGCGTTCCTCCCGACAAGGCGGAGATGTCATCCACTGTTATCCTGAAGGTCAAGGTGATGGATGGCAGCGGCAAGATTCGCGATGGCGGCGTCTCGGATGAGCGCAAGGATACCGAGGATCCGCAGGTCACTGGTCGTATTTGGACGGGCGTTGTGCCTGTCTGGCAGACATTTGGCACGCCGGTCCCTAGTGGTGATGGTAAACTTGCGGAGGTTCCCGAGCATATCACCTCTTACATTGAGACTAAGAATAAGCAGAATCAGGCTTTGGCAGAGAGCGCTGTTGTTGTTAAGCTGCCACCTGAGGAGCAGCACTAGGATTATACAAGCTATGATAGATGAATATGATAGCCGATTTATGTCTATTTTTGATGCCAAGTAGATGTTCAACGCTGTGTGGACTACTAGTACATAGTACTAGTAACTTCCGTAGAAGGTCCATCCATGAAGGGCCCAAGACAGCCTGGAACTACAAGTACTAGGGCTGAAAATACAGTTACATTCTTTCACCTGATCGCTGTGTGACTCACTTCTTCGAGCAGTTGTACTGATGGTCTCTTTGTTGACACTTAGGTTGGTCACGTGTGAGCCTTTCTTTGAAGTGATTCCAAAGAATCAACCCAGTGCAGGATCCATTTAATTGAAAGAAAAAAAAAATAGACAGGCCAGAATAACGCAAGTACGACATTATGTAGTAGTACTTCTTGTACTTGGGAAATTCTAAATTCTTTGAGGGGCCCCGCTGAGATCGGCGAGCCCCACGCCATTTTCTCCAACAAAAGTTGGGGAACTCAGCTCTTCATATACTTACCTCCATCAGCATTTTGCTTTCATCATCATCATTCTCGTCCTCCCTTCCTCGTCATGGCCTCAACTACCAAACAGGCTGCCCGTGCCGCTCTTCCTTTGACCGATCGCGAGTCGTTTGCTGCTCATTTAAAGACATGTCGGCGTATCGTCGCTTTGGTGGGTGCTGGTCTCTCTGCAGCCTCGGGTCTACCAACTTTCCGCGGTGCTGGAGGACTCTGGCGTACCCACGATGCAACCGATCTAGCGACTCCAGAAGCATTTGACGAAAACCCGGACCTAGTTTGGCAGTTCTACAGCTTTCGTCGACACATGGCGTTGAAAGCAGCCCCGAATAAGGGACACTATGCGTTGGCGGAGTTGTCGCGAAAGAACAGAGACTTCATTACCCTCTCTCAGAATGTTGACGGTAAGATCCTTGGATAGATTTTAATTTCCCAATTCTGTGGTCTTGCGAAACTGTCGTTTAACGTGATTATCATGTCGGGGGGGTTCAGGTCTATCGCAGCGAGCACAACACCCTTCTGAACAACTACATCTACTACACGGCTCACTTTTCAATATCAAATGCACTGATTTCTACTGCAAATACACCCGCGAGGATTTTACTGACCCTATTGTTCCCGCTTTGGCCATTCCCAAGAAGTCATCGCTCAAGAATAATGAAAAGAAAGAAGAAAAGGTGGTGGCACAGCAAACGGATAAACCAGATGACGATCAAGAGAAGAAGACTGAAGAGGACCAGAAGGTGGGCGATGAGAAGAAGGAGTGCAAGGAAGAGAACAAGGATGAGTCCGATGAAGAGATTGACATCTCCGACATCAGCAATCATATCCCCAATATCTCGAATGAAGAGCTGCCCCAATGCCCCGATTGCAAGGGTCTTCTCCGACCCGGAGTAGTCTGGTTTGGAGAGCCCCTGCCCACCACTACGCTGGAAACGGTTGAGAACTGGATGGGCTCCGAGTCCATTGACCTGATGCTCGTCATTGGCACGAGCGCTCAGGTATACCCAGCTGCGGACTACGTTGATGAAGCCCGTGACCAGGGAGCACGAGTTGCCGTGATCAATATGGAGCCCTACTCCCCAAAAAATCCGCGGGCGGTGCCGCTTCAAGAAACTGATTGGTTTTTCGAGGGTGATGCGAGTGTCATCCTCCCAGATATTTTGAAGGGCGTGATTGGTGAGATTTGATCGGGATGCCGCATGGCATGGCGTTGCACTTGGCTTCTTTATTGGAAATTTTCATAAATGAATAATAGCATTGGAGATTTTGAAGGTTCCTATGCTATGCAGTGTAAAATTAAATCAAAGCAAGTGCTTTGCCTAGGTACCATGATAGTGATGTATGATTTTCTTTGGAGTACTAAAGGTAGATACAGTGTACCACTTGATAACTAGACAGAACCATCCCATGCAGTCACGCTGGACAATCACCACTTCCAAGATTCATTACCAGGCCAACCACGGACGTAAAGCAGCCGAATCTTCAATTTTCAACCAGGCGAGTCCTCGAGATCCTCATTTGTTGTTCCAAGGTTGCCTCGGACTGTTTGCCTGTCCTTTGTTTGATCTTGTTGTGGCCTCAGGCAGAGACCGTTGCTGGGGAATCCGCCGGGCGAAAACAAATTGTCTATCGATAACGCCGCGCCATTGGGATTCTCGATTCTTTCCCATCTCCTCGCCCCCGCGCGTCGATTTTTTTGACAGGTGTACTAACTCCAGGTGAGTATTTGATTGAACTCTTATATTTTCTGATCGGAGACTACGGTGCGCCATGGTAATCACATCACACCAGTCCAGTCGAACTGATTGTTGATGGTTATTATGGTACCCCGCCAAACCGTGACAAGCCCACCTTGAATACTTAGTAACTTGCAATGCTACGACACAGAAGCTGATTCCTCCTATTCTAGCTAAACGAAGCCGAATTCAACGACCAGAGTCTCCAAACAATCCGTCGGTATTTGCCCTGACCAAACCATCGGCTTCTCGAACGTATTTGATCTCAAGTTGTCAAATCTGCAACGTCGCCACGTTGAAGAATCCCTAAACACCCTCCACCAAACACCAACCATGGCTAGAGAGAGCAATGCTCCGGTCGAGGGTATAACCCCGCGGAAGATAAACGAGCAGTCTCAGAGCTCCGCCTCCCAACATCCGGAGTTTGGCAGACCCTCGCCGATGGGACAACCTCAGCGTCAACAACCACCCCAACGCCAACAACAGCCCCAGCCTCGCCCGGCCAACTCCAACCATCCCTTTAATATTCCAAAGCCCAATCATTCAAGGCCTGAGCATCACCGCCCCGTCCCTCGCCCCGTATCCTCCTTTGCTACCCAACAACACGGACCATCACACTACCGACCACAAGGTGCGCCAACCCCAGGCGCAGGCATGGCAACACCCTCCGCAAAACGACCATTCGACCCATTTAAGCCAGTCAGGCCCTCGGCATACAATGATCACCGCCCCTCGTATCAAACGGGCGCGACTCCGATCAAACGCCCCGAGCACATCAATTACACAACACCGGCTGCCCCGCGCCCAATCTTCCAGTCTAAAGCAGGCCCCCCGAAAGCTTCAAATGCATCGAAGAATCTTCAGGCTTTTATAGACTTGACCGAAGATGAACCCCACCAGACTTACAGAGACTCCCAGAGCACTGGCCATGGGCCTAGCTTTGGCGCCATGGACGTCAACGGTTACGTTGATACCGAGAAGGCGAATGAAAACATCAAGGCTCTCCTGGAAGGTGCATTTGAGGACGACGAGGAGGAGAAGCCTGTAAAGTCCAAATCAAAGAAAAATGGCAAGAAGAAGCTGTCAAAGAAGGCCAAGGCTGCGGAGAAGGTCAAGTCTACCGAACCTACTAAGGCGGAGAAAAAGGACGCAAGTGATGACCTTGACGACTTGGCAGCCCAACTCGAAGGTGTTACTGTCAATGACCCCAAGGCAGCCGAGCCGAGGCCCGGGGAGCTTGATACCAAGGCGCCTGGTACCTCGGAAGGAGCATCGGGCTCGGAGGCCGCGGAGAAGGACGATGTAGTCAATCCCGAGGATGAGGATGAGGAAGATGATGCAGAGGTTGAGAATGATGAAGATAATGAAGACGAAGACGAAGATGAAGAAGAGGAGGAGGACGACGACGATGCAATCATCCCAGGCTTGAAAGTCAACCTTCTCCCTCATCAAATTGAGGGCGTCAAATGGATGTGCAACAAAGAAACGGGCCAACGCACCACCAAGGGGATTTATCCTAAAGGTGGAATCCTCGCCGACGACATGGGCTTAGGAAAGACTGTCCAAGCCATCGCCCTAATGCTCCAAAACAACAAGTCTGAATACGAACACGGCGATAAATTCGATTCATCTGCGGCCAAGAAAGACGATTATGCACCATCGTCAGCCAAACTCAGCAAGACCACACTCGTTGTGGCACCGTTGGCGCTGATCAAACAATGGGAAGGAGAGATTCTTGATAAAATTGAGAAAACACACAGACTTCGTGTCTGTGTGTATCACGGAACAAACCGTGCGAAGACGGCCACTTCGCTGGGTGATTACGATGTCGTAATTACGACCTACGGAACTCTCACGTCGGAGTCTGGAACAGCTGCCGCAGACAAGGCCAAGAAATCGGGAATCTTCTCTGTCTATTGGTATCGCATCATTCTCGATGAGGCCCACACTATCAAGAACCGGAACGCGAAAGCAACCCAGGCAGCCTATTCTCTGGACGCCAAGTTCCGCTGGTGCCTGACGGGAACTCCTATGCAGAACAACCTTGATGAGCTGCAAAGTCTGATCAGATTCCTCCGGATCAAGCCATACGACGAACTGGCTGCCTGGCGAGACCAGATTAGTCGTCCTCTCAACAACGGCCGTGGCGGTCTCGCCATCCAACGCCTACAAGTATACTTGAAGGCTTTTATGAAACGTCGCACCAAGGACGTCCTGAAGAACAACGACAATTTCAAGGCTGGCGCAGGCGAGAAGCAGAAAAAGTCGAATGGCTTCCATATCGTCAAGCGTGAAGTCATCAGGGTGGACGGCGAGCTCATGGAGGGCGAATTGAACTTCTACAAACGCCTCGAGAAACGCACAGAAAATAGATTGGAGGAGATGATGGGGGGGCAAGCTTGACTATGCTGGGGCGTTGGTCCTGCTCTTGCGTCTTCGTCAAGCTTGCAACCACCCGGATCTGGTTAAGAGTGACTTGGCTGCGGATAAGGACGTTCTTTTGCAGAATGGCAACAATGGCAGTCAGTCGAAAGAGACAAAATCCAACGAATTGGATGACGTTGCCGATCTTTTCGGTGCTTTGAGTGTCGTCACGAAGAAATGCGATGTTTGCCAGACCGAACTCAGCCAGGAGGAAGGAAAGAGTGGCGCAAGCCGCTGCAGCGAGTGCGAGGGCAACCTGAATACCGATTTCATGACCAAGCCCAAGAAAGACAAGTCAAAGAAGAAGAAGGCTCACCGACACCACAAGGAAGCCGCCCCGGAAGCCGACTCCCAAGCAGCGCGATCCCGCAAGAACCGACGTGTCATTCTGGATAGTGATGACGAGGAGGGGGAGGAGGAGGCTGAGTGGATTGTCCCAGAAGACAAGCGCGATATGCCAAACCTCGGGAAGGCTGGAGGCTCTGAAGATGAAAATGCTGAAGGCGGGGGAGACTGGCTGGGCGTATCTGACTCAGATACAGAAGACGAGATTGATTCCCCTTCACGCAAGAAGAGCCAGCCTATCATTTTGAGTGACTCTGAAGATGGTACAGCATCCGAATCCGAATCCGAATCCGACGAGGATATCTATGAAACCCCCATAGCAGCTGACGACGTGCTGCCTTCAACCAAGATTCGCCACTTGATGAAGATTCTCAATAAAGAGTCGGCGGACTACAAGTTCATCGTGTTCTCGGTCTTCACGTCCATGCTCGACAAGGTTGAGCCTTTCTTGAAGCGGTCTAATATCGGTTTCGCTCGTTACGATGGTGGAATGAGGAACGATCACCGCGAGGCGAGTCTGAACAAGCTTCGCAATAACAGCGGTACCCGTGTGCTTCTCTGCAGTTTGCGGGCTGGTGCCCTTGGTCTCAATTTGACCGCAGCCAGCCGCGTCGTGATTATGGAGCCGTTCTGGAATCCTGTATGTTTTCAATCTTCTACTAAATTGCCGCGGAAACTTCACTAATTCGTATGATTTAGTTCGTGGAAGAACAAGCTATCGATCGTGTTCACCGACTCAACCAGACAGTTGATGTCAAGATCTATAGAATGATCATTAAGAACAGTGTCGAGGAGCGAATCGTCGATCTCCAAAACCGAAAGCGTGAACTCGCTAATATGACCATCGAGGGCAAGTCTGCCGCAGGCAAGCTGACCATGCGCGACATGATGGCCTTGTTTGGTCGCGATGCGGAGTCTCGTTTCGAGGACAAGCAGAACACTTTGGACTTTAAGAAGCCGAGCGTTCTCCGAGGACCTGACGAAGACAAAGATTATGCGCCTTCTTCACAGAATTCAGCCCGTTCTGATTCCCGAGATCAGGCGCGGCGGCAACAGTCGAATCGTTCCAGCCCAGAGGACTCGGTTTATGGTCGGCGTTGGTAGACATGCCTTGGACGAATGATATCAAGAGTTTGATGAAATCAATTTTATGAGTGATAGAACGGCGGGGTGATTTTATTCCACCAAGACATGATTTGTTATTTTCTTTCTTCTGTTTCTACTTGCCGCAGGCGTACATGAGAAATGATTTCTTCCCCTCTTCTTTCTTCTACAACGCCCCGAGTATTTTCTCTGCATTAATTGAATCCCTGCTCTACATCCGATCCATGGATCAGTCAGGATATTTAGCATGGCTCAATCGGGATAATACTTAGATCCGGAGCTAATGCCCACGAGTCAAATTGCAGAGGCAAGCCATGGCCCATGGCAATCTGCACGCGGACCGGAAATGAGCCGCGAAAGGACAACTTGTCTGGAGTTACTCTCCTTGGAGTTTCGGTTTCTGACGCTTTGGGGATTTTTGATTTTTTTCTTTGGGCCGTGGTTTGAATTTCGTTTTACGCACCTGTGCACGAACATACTGGGATCGGTATACTTTGTCACCATTTTCAGTCTTTCTTCTAACTGCGAGAATTCATACTCGATGAATGTAGGAAAGAAAAATGACTAGATCGATAGTACAGATAGACTCGAACATAGACTAAACTTCAGCAACGAGTAAGGGACAACCGGGAGATCCGCGTTGAGACCATGTTCTGAGGCAACTAGACGCCTGTCTAGACCAGGGTTCAACCAAGGGTCACACCTCCTGCCAGAAATCACTCGTGGCTCTACTTTGTAAGCGGCAGAATCTCCAGTTGATTGATTCCGTGAAATAATGCCGTGGAAATGCAAATTATGGCGAATCTGTGTGTTGTTCTAAACATGCGTCCCAGAATGTCAATTCGATGGACCAGTGAACCTAAGTTGAGAGAATTATTTGCAACTTGAAGTTTGAGACCCAGCAGGTCAAAACCACCCCAATGAAATATCCCTTGTATAGCATCTGCAGGCCAGGACTGTGGAAAATGCGCCTCGAGAAATTCCATGGCTCATGGACACTTGCGGAGCTATGTCCTGACAAACCCGACGGGGTGACCATAAATAGACACTACATGGTAGACTCCAGTGGGGGCACCAAGTAACCTGATAGGCCTCGGTTTACGGAGAAATGCATAGAGGCTGTTCGGTACTTGGGGGCAAGGGGTGAGTCCATTTTCCGGGGAAAGAAGACATTGTCTAGAATAGACAGCTTTAGCATGTCTCTCTCTTTCCATAAATTTTGCTGCATTCTCGGATCAAGTCTAGCTTGAATTTTCATTCCTAGCACCTGTAAAAATTTATAGCTCGCTACTCAACTTCTGGCCTGGGGCTTTAAGGGTGTGAGGAAGTGAGTGCCTGTGTCTTTTCTCCAGCTCTTCATCCGAACGCTGGCTGGGTTCAAAGACTAACAAATTATTTAACCGGAAATACAGACTAGGTCTTTTTATTTACGATAAACCGATGGCTCATCTATCACCGCGGCGATGAGCTCGTCCCCTAAATTCAGTACTCACGGCAACTGGAGAGTCGTCTACAGTGACCAGGACGAAAAGGATGAATGGGTGGCGGATGGTAGAAAGACACTTGCCGATACTCTGTCAATACCAAAGTCCATGTGCATTTTGTCCGACTCCAAGACCGAAATACCTACGGTGACGGAGGTCGATCCACCAAGACTGAAGCTTCCCCAACTCGGAAGTGACACCGTCGAGAGAGTGTTTCCGGTGCGCTCGGTCCTTTCTTTTGATTCGACGCCTTCTTCGGCTCTTCAGACACCATCCATCGAGAAATTGGAAAGTCCAATCTCTCCATTTTCGGAGGGATCTCGAGCAAGTGCATCGCTGGATGAGAAACTCAAGAGTCAGTATTCAGAACAACCTGAAGAAGCCGAGAGTTGGACACGCGGACCTAAGAGGCCGAATCATCTCTCCCAACTGCGAGATCAGAAGCACGAGCTTGGAGAATCATCAACATCGACATTGACCCTACCTATACGCGATGATAATCGCTTTTCAAAAGGGACACAGTTCGGTGACCCCAATGAAACAACCCATGACGGAAGCTCCGAGTCTCAGTTAAACGCGAATGTCAACACGCGTCTAAAAGATTTGATTCATGAAGGTGGGACCATTCTGAAAACAAAGAAGATAGAGAAAGGTATCGAATATCCGAGGGCTGAGGATCATGATGATGATGATGATGTATCCATCAGAATTCAAAGGTTCGGGGTCATACTTGTCATCTTTCAACTCGAAGGCAACCTCACCATCCAAGCTGCGAGCAACAACTCGAGAGATATTATCGGCTATTCACCCGATGAGCTATTCGAAGTACCCTCAATATATGATATACTGTCAGGACCCCATCATCAAGCCTTTTCTTCTCATGCAGAAACTGTCCTGGATGATTATTATGACGTGGAGATTTCCGGGCCCGAGGTTTTCCTACTCTTCATAAGAGCTCCAGAAAGTGATGGGAAACGATTTTGGTGCACAATGCATACCAGCAAAGTCTACAAAGATTATATTATTTGCGAGCTTGAGGCAGAGAAGCCTGATTACTCCAATGTCGAATATAATCCTCTCGAGGGAGGCGAGAATACATACCACCCATGTGAGCCGAATTTGGCCGAAGAGCCCTGGTTTGCGTCTCCTTCCAGACAGGGAAAACAGGATAGTACGACTTCGGATACAAACGCTCTCGACCTGGATGCTGTGAACAGATTAACCCCCGTGATTCACCGCATTTCGAGCTCTCAAACGATGGATGCGTTGATCGACCATGTCGTATCAGGTTTGATGCAATTACTTCAAGTCCATCGCGTTACGATGTATCATTTTGATGGAAACCACAACGGTATCGTGATGGCAGATTCGGTGGATCCATCCCTTGACATCAAGTCTTTCGCAGGAGCAATCTTCGACGAAGGCACCTTCACCGAAGATGCTAAAACACAACATCTTCGGAACAGCGTATGCCTTTCGTACAGTTTCCACGAGGATGAGGCAGAGTTGGCTTACATATCGTCGACAACCAAAATGGGACTCGACCTTTCTCATTGTTACTTGACAACAAATCCTAAAGGCGTCTCACAGAAGAATAGCCCATCAATAAGTGTCTACATGTCAATTGGGATATACGCCTTTGGAAAGCTGTGGGGATTGGTATGTTGTCAATCATACGACGAGAAATTCAGGCTCCATCCACTTCTCCAGAGAGCATCGTGGCTCATGGGTCAGACTATCTCAAGCAACATTGAGCGACTTTCCTATACGTTGCCCTTTCAACTGAGTGATAAAAGCACCAACTCAACGAATTCAGACTCAATAGGAAAAAGTGAACTATCGAGCGACCTTCTTATTCACTTCGGAGCCGACTATGCCGCAGTATCCATCCTGGGCGAGACTAAGATCCTGGGGAAGCCACCAGATTCGCAGGAAGTTCTGGTCTTGCTTGAATACATGAGGGCAAAAGGTTTACGTACCGTTATCTGGTCAACAGATATTCTGTCTGATTTCGATGATCTGGAATACGCGCCAGGATTTCACCATCTTGCAGGGCTCTTTTACATACCTCTCTCGCCTGAGGGGCATGACTTTATCGTCTTCTTTCGAAGTGAAAACCAGTCATTCCACGACAAAAGGAGGTTGGAACGCAACAGCAAGCAACTCGGAACTCACCAAGAAGAGTGGTCCGCAGGAGAATTTGGCAAAGCCTCCATCTTAGCCATGATGTACCGCACATTCACGAATATTTGGCAAGAAAAGGAGGCTGCAATGCAAAATGATCAGCTATTGAAGCTTCTCCTCGCCAACTCAGCGCATGAATTCAGAACCCCTTTGAATGCAATCATCAATTATCTAGAGATTGCTCTAGACGGAAATCTCAGCCAAGAAACGCGAGAGAGTCTCTCCAGATCACACTCCGCGTCCAAGTCTCTCGTTTACATCATCAACGACCTTCTGGATCTCACGAATGCAGAGAATGGACAGAATCTGATAAAAGACGAGGTTTTCAGTCTTTCGGAAACTCTCTGCGAGGCGACCGATATTTTCTGGGAAGAGGCCAGACAGAAACAAGTCGATCTGCAGGTCGTTCAGCATTCAGCCTTACCCCCAGTGCTAGGTGACCAGCGTCGGGTCCGACAAGTCATCACTAACCTAATCAGCAATGCCGTTCAACATACCTCAGTTGGCGCAGTGACAATCGAGTCGTGTTTACTTTCGGATCCCTGCTGCGAACCAGGTCACATTGTTATAGAAGTCGCAATTCATGACACCGGCTCCGGAATGCCACAGGAAACCGTGGAGACTCTGTTCTGCCAACTCGAGCAGGTTTCTAACAAAGGCGACATGCAGAGTTCCGCTTCAGGTGGGGAAGCCTCAGGTGCTGCTCCATTGGGAAAGGAGAGTGTTCTTGGGCTGGGACTGGCGTTGGTGGCACGAATTGTGCGCAACATGAATGGACAGCTCAGTTTAAAGTCGGAGGAAGGCAGTGGGAGCTGCTTCAAAATACGACTCAGGTTTCCGTTGCCAGAGAACGAAGATGCTTTTCAGTTATCAGACGGGAAGTCCGATGAGAGACAAGAGAAGTCAGCGTTCTGGGACAACAGGCAACCACGAAATGAGCAGGACGAAGAGGTCGAAGGAAATGGAGATCCATTATCATGTTGTTGCGGCGATGATGCGTCAAATATAGAGGAGCTAGGACAGCAGAACGGCTCACTTGTTGATGTTGACATCGCCTTGAAGTGTGGAGAGTCAAGAAGCATTGCACTTTCGTCCTCGAAGCAATCCACCATCGAGTCTACAGCCGGCCCGCATCCAGCTTCTAACGCAGATTCGAAAACAGCGAGACCGAATATCCTAGTTGCAGAGGATGATCCCATAAACAGCACCATAGTACGAAAACGTCTTGAGAAATTTGGATACTCTGTCCGAATGACGGGAAATGGCAAAGAGTGCGCTTCTGTTCTTCAAGAGAACATTAACGCATTCGATGCAGTGCTGATGGATCTGCAAGTAAGTGATAATTGCCGCTATTATCTTTGCGACGGCAAACTGACAAAAGACGAAGATGCCTATCGTTGACGGCTCGAGTGCTACCAAGATGATTCGCGAGCATGAGTTCGAGTTATCATCAGCGCATTCGACCTTGGCCTATGGCCATGGCCGTGTCCCTATTTTCGCCGTCTCAGCTTCACTGGTGGAACGAGACCGGCAGGATTATATTGACAGCGGCTTTGACGGATGGATCATGAAGCCGATTGATTTCCAAAGGGTCCATGTTCTTTTGAACGGAGTTTCCAATCTCGAAGCGAGGAACAGTTGTGTCTACCGACTTGGAATGTGGGAACAAGGTGGATGGTTTGAAAGATATGATGCAGACGAGCTTACTGAGAAGAAATGAAGGGAAACTGGTGAGAATGTTCGCGGGTGATTGAATTCAAGGGGTATGATGATCTAAAATGTATATGAACATGTTCAAACAATGCAATGATGAGAAAAGAAAATGCAAGATCCACCCCACGGGCAAACGTGGAGGTGAAAGCGAAAATCAGTAGTATTCCGGCAGTCCAGAGAAGTCAGGCACATCATCCCCGCACTTGAAGGAAGGCGAATATGCCTTTTGGGGCATGAAACCATTCTTCCATGCTGTACGGTAACTCCACTGCGCAGCCGACTCGGTACGCCAAGTCCAATAGAACCAGCCTTGCGCAGTCTCGAAAGCAGACATCTGGGCCTCGGCGTATATTTGAAGCCACTGCTTGTACTTGTCCGAATATTCCGAAACGTCGGCATTGGCACCTGAACAGCTGCAGGCCGTTCCCGAATCGGCCGTGGGACAGTATGCCGTTGAGTCGTCCGTGGCATAGGTACCTTCCCAGCGGGTACCACGACCGACATTATTCACATATTTTGCGCAGTCGGTGTCTGCTTGAGACCATTCGCCGGATATAGTCGGTCCCCATCTATTTTGCCAAAGTTATTAACGTGAAATAATAGAGAAGACATGAATATCACTTACCCTGAACTGGTGCTGTTGATCTCCTTGATCATGCTATACCAGCTATTGCAGATGATTTCCACTTTGGCTGTGTGATTGAGAACGATCTCGCCGGTATTAAAGGTAGTGTACTGGTGGGTGTCCAGGTACATATTATTTGGGTGGTCTTTGAACATATTATCCCATTTATCAAGATTTAAAAACCCATCGTGAAAAACGACAGTGGCATCGATGCCATTTTTGCGCACGAGTTCTGTTGCTTCTTGTGTCCAGTTGAGCACCTTCTCAGTCGGAATAGAAAGCATCAAAGGCTCATTGACCAAACCATAAATCGTCACAACGTTCTTGTATCGATCCTGCGCGAAGAATTGAGAGAGCTGATCGTGAATGTCGAGAGATCGCTGTCGATTCAAGTCGCCATCGTCTCCCATCAGCCATCCAACACTGCCTTGACGACCGCTATGGTTCCAGCCGTTTTGACTTCCTGGAATCCCATGGAGATCAAGATTGACACGTAGCCCATACTTGCGACAATATTCGATCGCACGGAGAAGATAACGCCAGGCAATTTTCGGAACGTAGGGATCACCGTCATATGTAGTCACTGCCCAGTAGGAGTATTGGATGCGTACATGGTCCAGTCCGGCCTCTTGGATCTCAGCAAAGTCCGATTCCGAGAGAAAGTTTGCATAGTGCTTTTCGATGGTATCAGCCGCGGACGAGCCGAGCTTTTTGGTCAATGTCCACTCGTCAATTATACTGTCAGTGCTGGAGTAGCCTGAGAATAGAGATGGCGTGATGAAGGGTTCAATTGAAAGCCATCCACCAAGATTAACGCCGCGGATGGGCTGGGAGCCGTATGGAAACTTTTCGTTGAGCGGAGGAACATTGTCGTTGGCTCTTGTAGAATCATCCCATGTCGAGTTTAAGCCCATAAGATGAAGGCCCCCGACAGTAACATTGGTGAAAGTCACGTTGAAGCCGTTAGTATCATACCAAGTAAAGGGATCAAGCACCGTTCCTTTTGCATAAGCCTAGATTGGAAGATAAGTTAGTGTATCTTGACATCGAAGACACGCCAGAGAGACTCACTGGGATGCTATCACGACTGATGCCATCGAGGTTGGAGTTGGATGGACTCGAGGAACCAGACGAACCGCCGCCACTGCCAGAGTCGCTACTTTTGTTCTTCGATACTGTGACAGCCACCGGGATGATGATAATAAGTAACAAAATGACCAATATGACAGCACCGACAATAATCCGCGTTTTCTTAGACCAATTGGCCCAGAATTTCCAGCGTGGTTGCCGATTGCCATCTTGGAAGCTATCATCCCAGCTGGCCTTGTCCTTCCAGTGATCTTCCATAGCAGCGCCACCACCTCCACGTCGACGCATCTTCATCTCAGGACTTCGGCCTTCCTCCAAGTATGAGCCGGACACGATTCTGGTACCAGATTTGTGTCTTGACCTGTCGGCGATATCATCACCTAGAGCAGCAGCACCAGCAACACCAGCCACAGCAGCTTTCTTCTTTGGTCGACGCCGCTCTCGTTTAGCTTCAGCTTTATCTCGAACCCGCTCTGCTCGATCCGCATCTTGGTTCTCCGTTGCCAACCTAGCCAACGCATCTGCACTCAGCAGATGTGACGCACTGCTCGTCGATTCGGTACTTTGATGCTTTCTCGACTTTGACGCAGCAGCAGCAGCAGCAGCAGCAGCCTCCATACTCCTTTCCCTCTCCCTTTCCTTCTCTCTGTGTCTCTCTCTTCGCCTCTGCCGCCTCGCCTCAGCATCAGTATCAGCATCCCTCTCCCTGTCAACATCATCGCCTCGAGATCGATGTCTCCTCTCCCTAACATCTCTCACAGGGCTCCGACTATCATCCTCATGCCGTCCCCTCCTATACCCCTCCCGATCCCTTTCTCGATCCCGCTTCTTAACCGGTGACGTAGCAGGCGACTCCTTCGCCTTGGACATATCTCTCTCCCTCCTGCGTTCCTCAACAGCCTCATTGTAAGCCCGTTCTTCCTCGCGCAGTCGTCGTCTCTCCCTGCGCTCCCTCCTCTCCCGTCTGCGCTCTTCATCCTCGCTCCCTCCATCTCTATCCCGTCCTGCCCCCGCATCGTGCGACTCGTAGCCCGACTCCTGGCCACGGAATCGATACTTGCCCCGCGCTCCAGGACTGGAGATATCTCCCTCATCGTCCCGGCCGCGGATGTACTCCCGGTCTCGCTCCCGATCGCGTTCTCGTCGGTACTCGCGTGCGCGGTCGCGTGAGCCGTAGCGGTCACGGCTGCGTGAGTGGTCGGGCATCGGGTTCGTGGAATGTTGATCGTTCGGAGACCAGGTATGTATGTGGACTATTGAGCTAGCCGATCGGCAATCGTATTTGGTAGGTCCTTCTTAGAGATTTCAGGGGGTATGGAAGGTGTGGAATGTCGTTCTGAGAATGTCTTATTTTTTGTCCCCCGCGAAACGTGTTGGCGTCACCTTGGCTCTTGGCTTGATGTGGCCAAGGCCCTATCTCTGCGGATTGGGGGGTATGGGAAGGAATTGGTCGGGGTTGGAATTGGGATTTAGAGAAATGGACGGGCCATTCCTTGAGTTCTTCTTCAGATTGGACTGAATTTGGTTGAGTGTGTTGAGTAGACGAAGGGGACTCGGAGGGGGGGATGGTTGCGCTTGTGGATGAATCTCGGAGTTTTTGTTGTTTTGGTTTTGCCGCATGCGCGTTAGTTTGGTGGAAGGCCGCGCATACACACCGAGTAATGTAGTAATGGTCTAGTGACTGGAAGTTGCTGTATGCTAGCTAAGCTGAAGGATGATTATTTGATCTAAACTTGATTCTTGGTCGTGGATTGTGTCTTATCGTTGGATCTAGGTGGAGTCTGCGACTTCGCTGTTGCGGAGCAACGAATTGATCATTCGGCCAGATGGTCGATAGATTGAGTGGAGTAGTGAAGTCAAATAAATGACAGGACCAGCTTGAGCTATTTGATTTTCTATCTACATTTGTATATGGTAGCATCTTGCAATGCGCCTTCTGTTCGATTCCAGATGGCTGAACAGACATTAAATACACCGGTCCTCCCTCAAATGCAACGAGCGCCAGTCTCTCTCTAGGCCAACACTATAAACTGTCGTGATCAATCAGGGTATGCGAACTCCAACGAAATACAAGACCCAAGGATAGTAACACATAAAAGTAACGTATGAAAACAGATGCCAGTGCAGACAGTCTACCTGATGGCCTATGGGAAGGTCCATCGGTACAAACTTGATGTAGGAAAGAAGGTAGGAAAACATCGGAAGAAAGGAATGAGGAAAGAATATAAGATTGTCGCTGAGCCCGGGGAATCTAGAAGAACGAAAATGGGTGCCACTGGCAACCCTTGCTGCAAATCATTGCAGAAGATGTTATGGGACCCCATGGGGTCTCTGGTCATGACCCAGATATGGGCCATCAGAGTTGCTGTATAGGAGTAACCGAGTTAACCTCGCGTCTTCAACGCCGAAAAAGTCAAGCGGTAGAACGGGCGTGGCAGTACTGCTGGTTTGAATCAGGCACGAGAATGGGGCGCGAAATGGCTGCAGATGGGCCGGGCCAGCCACGGACCAAGGTTATCACACGGAGAGGTAGCCACGCAAAGCCTTTTTCTGGGTAGAAGCAATGGATACCACGATCACACATGTCTGTTGGCCGGTTTAGAAAAACAGTGTTAGCAGACATGCAGTGATCGTGTACTATTGCCAAAAGAAACGCCTTAGCTGCTGATGATCTGTCGAGCTCCTTCTTTGCCCAGTACACCCGGTTCGGTGGGCTTGGGGCTGCGGTCACGGCCCTTTTTCCGACTGAGGAAGGAGAGCATGCCGCTGTTTGAACTTTTACCCTTGCCGTCGCCTTCAAGTCCTTCTGCAGGAAGGGAGCTGTGATTGGAAAGCTCACTCCAGCTTCCAGCCTCGTCCAGAACCATTTGAACACCTCCTCCTTTGCTTGGTTTCCTTATGGCCCCGCGCGGCCGAGCTTGAGGTAATGGGCGATGGAAGGATGGAGTAGTGGGGGGGAGGGGAGGCAGATGCCCGAGTCGACGGAGAAGGAGGCGGGTAGGGAGAGGTCGGGTCATTTGGATCGAGATTCTCGCTCAGTGTGGTCAAGTTCTCATTGTGAGGCAAAGGGGGCAATGGCGCTTCATGCTGCGGGCGGGGTATAGAGGATTCAGGATGCGAGGGGTGACGGGCGTGAGCGGTCGTGGTCGCAGTGGCGATGGGAAGAATATCTTCGGGGTTCCTATTGACGAAAAATATAAGCAAAAGTTTCGCCGACTCGTATCAGCTAGGAGTACTTACGTTGCAGCCGCGATCGCGTCAGCAGCATTCCCTTGGAAGTTTACGAGTGTATAGTCGAAAGGCTCGAACATGGTCTCTATCAACCGATGCAGCTCATCATCTCGAATTTCCTTCGCAGTGGCGTCGTCACGAAGCTCCGCGCGAGGCTTCTGTCGCCGAGCTCGCGCCTCCAAAGGTGCCTCTTCTAAGAGCAATTCCTCCAAATCGTATGTCGCGTCGAAATTTGTCTTGTCGCTGGAGGGCCGGAAAACAGGAGGAATCTCCTTCCGCTCGAGGGCAGCGAAATCAATATCGGCGAAGAACATATGGGAGGTGAAGGTTTCAAATCCGATAGCACCAATTCGACGACTCCGGTCGCGTTCCATCAATGATCCCAAGGCACGTAAACAGGGAACCGATACGGCGGGGTTGGTGACATAGTATTTCGGTTGGGCTTTCTTGATATTTTCACTCAGAGTATCTTGGCTGCGGCCTTCGAATGGTCGCTAGTGATGGGAAAAAAAATTAGATTGGTCACAATGGCAAGTGGGGACTTGCATACCTTGTTGTAGATGCATTCATAGAATGTGACACCCAGAGACCACCAATCGACTTCAAAGTAGTAGCCACTACCCTCGTACACCTCTGGGGCGAGATACGCCAGGGTTCCAGACTTGCTTGTGAGAGGCTTGCCTGGTCGAAAGTCCGACGCGACATTCTGGGTTGAACAAAGTCAGTTGCCGTTCCCGTGTAGTACACTGAGGTGGAGGGGGAGGGTAGAATATAAGTATTAAACATACAAAGTCAGCCAAGTGGACATGGCCTTCGGAGTCCAAGAGCACGTTGTCTGGCTTCAGGTCTCGATGAATGATGCCCTGAGAATGGATATACTTCAAGGCACAACCAAGCTCGGCCATCCAGAACCGTACCGCCTCTTCCGTAAAACATTTCCGCGAGATATGAAATCGAAGATCACCGCCATTCATGAGATCAACCACAATATATCTGTTATGCGATTAGCAACCAGACTCTGGATCTTTCGACTTGGCGACTCACATGTATTCCATATCTTGGAAACTGTAGCGCAAGTTACAAAGGAACGGGTGATTCAGATGCTCCAGCATTCTTCGTTCACGAATGATATTTCTTACACTCTCCGACCGAACCACTATTTTCGCAATTAGTCGAGTTCCGGCGAACTCACGGGATGAGACAGAGATAATTGAACGCACCTTCCTCTTTACGGATATACTTGAGCGCAAACGTCAAGCCGGTGTCTTTGCGCTCGACAATGCGGACCTTTCCAAAGGCACCTTTTCCGACCACGCGAAGGAGGCGGAAGTGGTTAAGGTTAACTAGATGAGCAGGTTAGCACATGCTAGACACGGTGCCGAGAATGGGCCGAAGCATCGGTAAGATAGGTGTCAACTTACCCGCATCATTACAAGCCACTGGCTTTCCCTGAGAATTTCCCATGGTGATGGGGTTCGGGCAAGGATTGGAGAGGGATTATTGTAAGATAAAGCTTCCTGGCCACATCACACTTGTCCAAGGGCTCAAAAACGGATCGCTCGCGTCAGGTAGGACCGTTGAAGGAACAACGGAATAGAATGGAAAATTGGATGGTAGCTATGGGGCGTGGATCACGATTTCCATAGGAGAAGATGCTGTCCCGCAGTTGTATATGTTCGCAGGGCGTGCGCGGGGGGAGGGGGGGTCCAATGACGTTGGGCGGATGCCGATACGAGGGGGCGAGAACGAAGAGTCGGACCTCAAGTCAAAGGTCGAGGAGGTGATGCGGAATCGATCGACGAAATGCAACCAGCAAAAGGATACCTCCCAGGCGAAAAAGGAGATCTGGAGAGAGCAGCAGCGGAAATAAGTATATTCAAGGAAAAAGGACCAAGGTCCGAGAGCGATGAGAGACCTGAGCGCCAGCCGTTGGGACTAACGGGAGGAGATGAAAGTAAAGGCTGCGAGAGTGAAACCAAACGAATTGGCATTCAAGCAACGAAGTGTCTCTTCTTGTCTCTAACACTGTCTCTGTCTGTCTCTCTTTCTGCAAGTTTGCGGAGGGATGAAAGCAAAAGGGGAGCGAGCGGTCAAGTGAAAAGGTGGCAGAACGACCAATCACGCGGATTTGCAGGAAGGAGCGAAGGGAAAAGGAAAAGGAGAAAAGGGGAAGGCACGGGGCGATCCCTACGGATTTCAGTTTAGTTTGCTCTCTACTCCCCCCCCCTGCAAGACCTTTTCAAGAGATGCAGCCTGCAGCCTGCAGATGCAGATGCGCAGATGCCGCAACGGTGTACGGAGTACGGAGTACACTCTTTTCGCTCTCATGTTTTTTTATTGATTGCATCGAGAGATCGGACATTTGTCCCCCTTTGTCCTCCAGCGGACTTGCCTGCGGCCCACGCTCTAGATCACTCACTACATACAGGGTTCCGGGCTAATGCAGAGTACAGTCGATACGATACTGCAGAACCTGACCTGTCCGGCCATCGTTGAATTGCCTTTAATCCATAGCGGGATATTGGTGGATCGAAGGATCGAAGGCTGACGAGTAAGAAAGATGCCACACTGCTTCCTTCTATCGACTCATCACACTCTCAATTGATCCAACTAACATTTGCTACCGGTACCTGCATCCTGTGGAAGCGGTCAATCCCTGGCCTTGCCACGCGAGGTTATACTTTTTATGCTTACGTCTCTTGGTTTCTCGTGGCCGCCACGTTGCTGACCGCCCCCAAGGCTCATCGTTGTCCTGGTCGTACAGCAACGGTCATGGAACACTCGTCGAACAATCGCTCCAGCCCCGGGTTAGGGCACATATTGCTCAATCTACGGAGTACTATCTCATTCACAGATCGATCCTTCCGAGATCTTCTTCCCGAGGAGACCAGATAAACCCTCTATTAATATCCATCGTATCCATCATATTTATCATATTTATCATATCTACCCTCTTTTCCCCTAAGTGGGCCTACGTTCCGCTGAATCGTTCAATCTGTGTCACTCCATGTACCAGCTACTCATCCTGGCAGAGAACCGGTTCTTGGCAGAGGCCCATTAAAGTTATGAGACCGTCCACACAGGGCTCCACTGGGGGTAGGGGGGGCAGGCGACTATCGGCATAATCCTCGTTAGAGGGGCGTTTCATCTGTCTCTTGACAAAGAAACGGTGGCTCGCGCTGCAAACCGGACGGTTTCACCCTTTTCCTGGGCGGGCCCTCCTTTCATTCGGCTTGTTTTTTCTTCTTCCCTACCCGTGTCAGGAGGCATAGCTTCCGATGGCTGTCAGATGCTGGTTGGGTACGATGCTTGAAGACAACCCAGCTTCCGATCAAAGAAACCGACCGGGTCTACAGGAGGCTTTCATTGCCGATCCACGCCTAGAACTTGTATCGGCCTTTCAACCAAGAAGGCAAAAAAGTACTCTCTGTCCTATTCTTGCCACCGCAATCTTCCTGGCCCCCTCCCTGCCACTGTCTGGTCCACTGATCTTCCATTCGTGGAGCTTTATTGAGGTTAGGTGGATATAGATGATGTCGCATAAGCCTGTAGCTAAAAGGATTAGTAGCCGTTGATCTTAATTCGCCTAAATAGTCCAATACGAGCTTTTTAAGATGAGCTGATACGAGCTGGGCTTTGATGGGTGGGCCTCGCGCCCGCACTGAATGGGGCGGACGCTCGGGCTTCCCCGAATTTCCGCCTTGTTCGATGCGAGTCGTCGTAACGAAGAATTCTCTTCGGAGCCATCATGTATAATCTATCCTTTCTCAACGACAATGAAGTTATGGATGCCGAGAATTTCTATGTATGAAAATTGCGTAAATGTAGTGTTTTTCCAACTCGTTAATTCAATTTGCAAAACAATGTCAACATACATAATATTGTCGACTAACTAGTAGCACTCCAACATCCAAATGAAAATAGCAAGGTCAACTTGAATCGTTCAAAAGCAGAATCAACGCCAAAGGCAATAAATCTTCTCCGCGAGAGCATCTTCAAATCGTGTCAGTGGAGATTCGGTTTCGATCGCGATGTGTCTAATATCAGCATCCCCACCTGCGTGCACATGTTTGAGGATTAAGTGATTAGCTGCCAGCCTGGCCTCGTGGGTCACGGATTCGTCCTGTAGTGGCTGTCGGCTCGAGATCTCATATGAAGACAACGAGCGTGCTCCATGGGCATCTCATCTTGGTAGATACGTGTGATGCGAGCTGTAGAATCAATGTACGTTCTGAGAAATTCAAATTAGTAATGGAAAATAGATCCTGAAATGGCAGTCTTCAAATTACCTGGCCTGTTGGAGGTTTCCCAGTTCCATCTCACACAAAGCAAGATAATATAGATATGAAGCATGGAACTGCGAGAACTCCTGCAAAGGATATTCCCTGATACAACATTGTGCAGTCAACAGCTTCTCTTTCGCATCTGCGAAATTCTTTTCGTGAATCCGTAGCTTGGCAAGATGGAAATTGACACTAAGAAGAGACATGTTAGATTATATCTTGAGGTGGACGTAGCTGATACTAGTAGCCTTACAATTCTATTGTGCCTGTAGCTTCCGAGTCATATTGATGCTCTGGTTTGATGTATTCAAGTGCCGACTCGAGGAGCGGCTTGGCCGAATCTAGATCATTGAGTAACAAACAAGCCCAGCCTTCTTGGGCCATCAGCATTGGAGGCAACGGCCGACTATCACGGCTTGTCCCCGGGGGAACAGAAGTATTTGCCCTCCAGGCATCACTTTCTCTCCAAAACCATTCAAGGGCCTTTGAATAATTTCCCGTCGCGATATAAGACAGGGCCATGAGGTAGCTTGATCCCTGGGATGCCTGAGCTCCTTGGGTCGGAATCCAGCCATAAACATCGTGTATTTTGATTGCAGTTTTTAGAGCTTCTTCTTTTTCCCCACGATGAATATGGACTCTCCAGTTTAAATATAATGTATTCGTCGTGTTCAAGGAACTTTGCCGATCGGGGGAAGGTGCCCCAAAAGCCAACTCCTCTATCATGTTCGAGACCTCTGAAAGAAAACATTCGTGTAACATATATCTATGGTAAAAAGTGTCAGCATTCTGGCAATGACATTCCCTCCTTGGTGAGGAACCTTCATCAAGTTGGAAGGAACCGGAACCTACCGAGCGCATCCAACTAAAAGCTCGCAAAGCTCGCGAGAGCCCTTAATCATTGGAGACGATTGTCGTGCCGCTCTGAATTTATCTTTCAGACTACGTACATGTGGTAGGCAAAAGAAGAAGACATCGTAGTCTCTCATGCCCTGTTTCTCAACATTGGCACGGATTTGCTCGTGAAAAATTCCATGAAGAAGCTTTGTGGCTCTTTCCAAGCTGACGGACACACCTTCTTCGCCCAGCCATTTGAGGAAGTTTGTTTGCGTGGTGTGTGAAATTCCAATAAGATCTAGCTCTTCCATCCAAGAAATAAGAGATAGATCACTGAGTTCTTTAAGTGATATTCGCAGCCTATTTAAATTGTGAGCCGCAGTTCAACGCGACGATTGGGATTCGAGACTTACTCCGCATCATTTTTGCAACAAGCCATATCCTCAGGGAGCGGTCGAGCTCTAAACAAATCAAGGTGGATGCCCATTTCTCCATATAGGAAGGCTGTAATCGATAATAGACTCTGAGAGTTGGAATTTAGAGACTTAAAGACCAAAGGCCAGACTGGTGATTGGTGGTCACTGGGCTGATACGCCAACCTTTTAAAATAATCACTCATGGCCTCAGTGATATATATCTTCCGACCGAGGAGCGCTCCCATGATTATCATCTCTTGCATGTTACCTTTGAGTCTGCTGCAGAGACGGTAAATATCTTCTCTTTCGATATTGGAATAATCGAGGGTTGATCCGATAGGGAGATGAGCCTCGATTTTGAGCAGGTCGCGTATTGTCTCATTGATACTCTTTTGTTGGATATTAATTGCCTTCACCCGTATGAATGCTTCAGGCTTCAGCGATGGGAGTTTGCCAAAGCTACCCAGAGCGAGCGCATCACTTTTTGTTGTGATGATAGCTCGCCCATCGCAAGTCTCATCCGGCCAATAATGTTTAATCAGATCAAAACTAGTCACATCGTCGTAAACGATAGTCCAAGAAAAGTCTACAGTCAACCCAAAGTAGAAATCTGGTTCCGATGAGGAAGGACCTCGTCACTGCGTAGTGAACGGCAAGAGTAGTCTTTCCTGTCACCCCGCTGGAATACAGAACAACAGCTCGGAATTCGTCTTGGAACGGTGTTACGCTATCGAGGTACTTGTCAATCTCACTACGGTACTCAGCCACCACGTTGATAAAATTATCATTGCTTCTCGGGGGACATGTGAGGGGACACATGAGGAGGTGCGCCCCAGTTTCATATCGTGGACCTGCCGGGGTCTCATCGGTACTCGGTGCAGATCCTTGTGAAATTAGGTGCGGTGTTCGGCCTGAAATAGTGAGATTTGAATACTACTAACCAATTGGAACCTGATTCGGGGAATGTTCGTTGCTCATTTTGATAATCTTGCAGACTGGATTTCTCCGTGATGTACGTATTTTTAAAATCAAGAATTACTGTGCGCCCGGGTGGGGGGGAGGAGGTCTTTTTGGGTATGAACGAGCACTTAAATTTGGTATCGGCAGACTATTGAGACAAACGTCTCGAACTTCCACCGAGGAAACTTTACAGAGCTCGAATCAAAGAGAAAAGGATGAAAGACCATGGTGTTATCCATGGGCTCATTGACCTCTGAGAACCCAACTGACCTCACTGCGATCAAACGCTTGGGTGCCGCATGGAAAGTAATGGCTAGGCACAAGGAGCTGGAAAACTCATGAGAGGAACTCTCATAGGTGCGAAGGAAAAAATATCTTCTCAAACATCCAAAAGAAGTTAATGTAATATTATGAGTGACTTTTAACCTAGAGTTTTGGTTTTGACGGGGCCATGTGCCTTGATGAAAGACTGAAAGAACTTCGAGGACCTGTAACCGTGGTCGATTCCAATGGCTAAAAGAGTAACAAGCCATCCAAGGAATAGATAGAGTCTAACCTTTGTTGAGTCTGAAATAGTCCTAAGCGTAAATGTCGTACTCGGAGGTCATTCAGTTATATCTTCGAGGCAGTTATCTCATTCGAATTCCATAATAGAATGGTTTCAAAATAAACATGAACCATTGTCGCTGTCTACGAACGTACAGTAGAATCCATTGAAACACAGACCTTGACTCCAGGGCTTTTTCACATTTATCAATTCTTCAACCTTCAAACCCTGCAAGGTGGCAGGCGAAGGGCTTCCTTAATTTGAAAATAAACGTCCAGCTGATAGCTCCGTGATGGAATTTTGGCATGTTAAAAGGAAACGACAAGCGGGTCAATTGGCTGGCACGTACTCAATCAGAGATATGGATTCCACATTCACCCCACCATTGGCTCCAAAACCCTCGCAACCCAAGCTATGGCCACGACAAGCAAGATGGAGGGCACCTGGAACCAAGGCCATTGAAGATCCTGAGCAAGTGCCGGATGGATGGAACCTGGATGAACCAGACCTTGACCCGATGACATAGCCGGCCAAATTAGAAGATGTAATGAGAGAATCGCAGACAATATAATACCCAAGTTTTTCCAGACAAGATTGAGGAACTTTGAAAACAGACGGAAGGGAGATGCAAAACTGAGAGAGGGCTTGCCTGCAGGGCTTGGCTGGAATGTTGTGCTGCGTATAAACTCTCTCAGAAATATCAAGAAAGCTCTCGAGGATAATGGTGATCCGGATAAGGAGATCTCTAACATCCTAGCTATAATTGAGGCGTATATAGATGGATCGCTGAGCTGGATTCCTGGTAAAGTTACCTATTGGGGGCTGGGAGAGCGTCTTGCTCCAGCGAAAGACTTCACCTGGGAAGAATGTGAAAAAGCTGGGCAGAATTACTCAGTCAGTCAAGGCTTCTGGGTAGAAGGTGTACGTTAGCGGTCGCTATGATTTAAAGCAAAGATTTCATGGCTAACTCTCATTCTAGATTACACCACTGGAAACTGGGCTTCGCGCACCGACGACAATTCTGCAGTCGGCTAACACAACGGTGAACATTATGTATGATTATATTCTATATTGGACGACATTTATACCTAGCATCTGACTCGCTGTGTTCTCTAGTTAAACATTGCAATAATTCCCCCCGGTGGCGGTATTCCGCTTAAACTTGATTTTATAGACGATACTGGAGCCGATACTCTGTCGATATTTGAAGGTGATTTAGACCAAATGCTTCATCTGAATCCGCGCTGTAGTACCACAACGCTTGGATGGGCCGAGTGCTCAACAGTCAGTCATACAGTACGGTGGCGAGTAGTTGAGCTGACTTTAGCTTTAACCGACCCCAATACTGAAGATGGCTACTTAATGCCATTTATCAACGTGATCGCCACTGTGCAAGCAGGCAGCGGTCGACCTAGCTTAAGGCTAAGTGGCAGGGTGGTGAGAGATGTGCTTTTCAGTGCTACCTCTCCCAATGGAAACAGAGAACTGTATCTCACTTCAAAAAAGTCCGATCTCACAAATGTTCCTGACACAACCTTACCAATCACACATAGGTGGAGGCAAGATCGAGGTCCTCAGTTACGAATTGAGGAAAACCCTCCACCTGGTGCAAATCTAGGTGGTACAGGTACGGGTCAGGGTGGTCGTGGTGGTCGTCCTATTGCTCGTGACCGTGGCCGTGGACGTGACCGTGGTGGTACTGGTGATACTGGTGCAGATGCTTCTGGTGGTTGTCGTCGGCGTATTGTCTTCTGGTGAAGGTGGTGAAGGTGATCGTTGGTTCAACTTGTACATGATAATATTCAATCACATTTTACTCAATGCTCAATCATGTACCTTCAAGTCTTTACCTTTGTACCTAGAATAAATGCCCTATACTCCTCCCTATACCTCAAGATAGACTCCCGTAGATGCCGATTGTCATGTGCCATTGCATCCGGTGATGCGGTTGGCGCCTGCCATTTCAACCAGTTCAACCATTCTGACTGAGAGAGCCTCCGACATCTCCCAAACTTCATCGCGTCTCACACCTTTACTCGCTCCCATAAATCTTTTGAGAATAAGCGTGGAAAGAGAACGAAAGAGAAATGGATGACGAGACAATCACCCAAGTAGGGTTGGATTCCCCTTCGCTAGAGTCCCAACCCCTAGGAGGAGTTGACATCCCCAATGACGAGGCTGAGAAACGGGCTCCATTGCTTATGCAACGCCCTCCGAGCTTTGGAGTTGACCTGTCCGAATTCTCATTCATGAAACCAGCCTCACGTCACCAAGGATTCTCGTTACGTGGCATGCCAAAACCAGGACGCATCAACCCTCCTCCGCTTGGAGCCACCAGCCTCTCAATCCCGAAGACAATGGGATTTGAAAACTTAAAACCCTTGAATCAAGAGCGGTATGCCTCAATCTTCTTTCCCATCCTTAGAATTTTAGTCCGATTGCTTATCTGCCGTTTGTTCTGGCTACCCTACAGTCCAAGTAGCTCTCATCCCGAAGACGATTCATCTCAATTGCTGGTCAGCAGCACCGATAATCAGTTACCACCGAACCTACCCAAACACCCACGATATGGTCCCAAGTCTGCTCACAATAATCCCGCGGATACGACAGAAATTGCTCCGGATTCTAGGCGGGACAAAATTCGTGACCCGTCGGCTCGGAAAGTCAACCCCCCTGGGCCCAGGATCCGCTCGAGCGATAGTTCCAGGGTAACTCAAACTCGTCAAAAGAGTAAACCTTCTCAGATCAACGAAGAAATGCTTTTTGAGCTCCTCATTGCAAAGTTCAGAATTCGCGAAGAGAAGGAAGCTGCCACTGCGGATATGCAACAACAGCTGGAGATAGACAACGTGCAGCTGAAAAGGGAAAACCAGAGCCTTCGAGGCCAGGGAAAGGTGTACGAGGAGAAGCTTCTGAGTATGGAAGCCGAACGCAAATCTCAAGAGGGCCGAGTCACCAGTTGGAAGGAAAAGATCACCAAGTTCAAACAGATTATCAATGAGCTCGGCCACGACTTCGAAGCCCTGCGACTCGACTCGGATAGATTGAAGGCGACTACCTCGTCTCTCCAAGATGAGCGGCATTCCTTGACCAGCTCTATCGATGAGATTAAGCTTCAAATTGTGCGAGCAGAAGACAAAATGGATGCTCAACGAATGGAAATTGTCGACTATGAGAAGCAAGTGGCGAGGCTGGAACAAGCCCTACTTGCCTCGAGAGAGCAGCTCAAGGAATCTATCTCCGGCCTAGCCAATGAAAAAAAGCGAAGCAACACACTTGAGTCATACATTCAAAACCACTCTCACAGTCAGATCAGACAGGCCAATCTCCTCAGAGAAGATCACGCGAAGTTGCTGGAGAAGCTAGTCTCAGGACTGGAGGACATCTCTGAAACTTCAAACAACACTCGAGATGCGGTTTTGTCCGAAATCAGATCTTCTCTCGAAGAATGCCAGGATTCGGTTCGAGAGCTGAGAGAGCGATGCTCTGCCGAAACAAGAGATGTTCAAGACTTTACAAACACCATTCACGATGTTGCCGCCCGGTGAGTTTACTGACCCTCGAAGGAAGAATTGGATTTTTGGTTGTAGTGCTAACGGTGAGCTCAGAATCGATGTGGTGGCAGCGCGTTTGGTGGCAGATGCTGAATCGACCGCCAGAACGAACCTTCAAGCTTCGCAAAGCATTGAGGCAAACACAAAGATGATTGAGTTTAGCTTTGGTTCCGATTCGACCCTTTCTAGACAGCTTGATCGTTGCAATACTGCTCATGGATCTCTTGGTAATACACTGGAAGGCTTCTCTCCTGTGTTGAATGATCTCGATGCCTCGGTGAAATCTTTGACAGCCAGTGGAAATCATCTCGTGCATGAATTGAAGGGCCTCAGTAGCAAATTGCTCGAGTCTCAACCCCCGCCCAACAACCCACTACTTGAGTTGGAAGTGTCTAAAACGTTCTCCGAGAATACCCAGCTCCAACTTCGCCTTCAAACCATCTCTTCTGAGGCCGAAAGTCTTCGCCGGAGTTTACACGACCGAGAAGTCGAGAATCAAAGACTGCAAAAATCGATGGCGGAGTCAAATACAAAGTATCATTCTTTAGAACATCGCGGGATGCAACTAGAAGCGGATAATATTTGTTTGCACGAGCAAATGAGATCTGTCAAGGAAGACGCTCGGAAGATGATAGATGAGGGGAAGATCACCTCTAAGAATGAGATGCAGCTTCATCACAACCTACAAATTGGGACCATTGAAAGAGAAAATGAAAGGCTCAAGGATGAGGCCGGGGCACTCCTTGGCCAAATGCAGGGAGTTCAGGACTCTTTGGTAAGTGTGAGAAATAACACTCAATAATGCGTTGCTGACAAAGTAAGATCAACGCACAGAGAATGATCGATGACCAACGGGAGGAGCGCGTAGCACTGGTAAGGGACAAGGCTCCTGTCGCGTTTCCCAGTACTAATATTGCTACAGCTCCGCGAATCCGAGCAACAAGTCCAGCATCTGACCGAAACAAACTCCGAGATCACAACACGAATGAACACTCAAATAACAGAGATACAACGTTTTCAAGAGGCGGAGGCGGCGTCTTGCTTGGAAAGAAATGACCTACAAGAACGGCTCAGACAGGCGCATGAACGGGTTCATGAACTGGAGCAGAATCTGGCTTCGAATACAGATAACGAGCCCGTGAAGCAAGTGCCAGTGAGTGGCATTGTGCCCTTTCCAGAGATTCAGGACAAAATTTCGGCACAACGAGCCTCTTCGCCCTATTATGATCCAGGCGACTTTGCGATGCTGTTCATGTCGGACGATTTGTGTCCTTCATCGCCATTCAATATAGAGAACGCGAAGCAGTCCACGATCAACCCTCAGAAGGAGCCAGAAGAAATCCAGACCAAAACGGCTCCGGCTCCGGCTCGCGAAATGGCCAGTAAACCTGGAGCCTCACCGAAAATTCACCCATCTCCAGAACAGCCCAAGCGCAAGGCAGTGAACTTCAAGTCACAAGCCCCGGGGGAAATGACCGCGCGAACTTCTAGTGCTAGGTCAACCTTGACGCAGGTGCAGCAGGATATAGCAGAACGCCCGAGCAAGATGACAAAACATGTTCACAAATGGACCTATAGCCGTGTTCGCAGCTCAGGCACCGAAATCCAGCATGAGCAGGCCGCTGAGTCCACGCATATGCCCGCGGTGGAGCAGCGAACGAGTCCCAAAGGGTTAGTTTCAGCGAGCAGTGGGAACAAGGCGTCCAAACGTACTACCAGTCGTGGTCGAGGCAAGCGTCGATCAAGAGGTAAAGCTCAATCCGGGATTGAGTTTATGTTCATTGGAGACCGTTGGCTAACATTTGTGGGTAGGGGAGCGCTACAGCGCCCGCTTCAGTCAAGAATGATCCCGTCAGAATCACTAGGCATAGGGTGATCAGTGCTTTGAAAGATACCGCCAAATTCCGCTAACAAAAACTTCTCCTCTCACCGAAAAGGAGGCGTTTCAAGACTTCTCGATTGTGTTTCGTTGGATGCAGATATTAGCCTTCTATATAGATACCTCAGCGTGATATTCAGCTTGTTGATTTGTTTCTTCTTTTATCATATCTCCGAGGGTATACTCTCCATGATATGGAGCAGTATTATGCAGGTCAGGAGTCGGGGCGAGGCAATGCGAGGGAAAATATATGTAGTAGGGAATTGATTTTTATCTTCAGTTGAAACCCAGAGCTGCTACGCTCGTAAACGCCAAACATAATGCTCCATCAAAAAAGGAGTTCGCCGTAGAACAGATGGAGCCGACGGAGAGACGGACGACCTTCGTGGTCCTTCTGTCAACACTTCTCAGAATATAATGTACACAAAAAGGTTACACAGCCCGATCGTCACCTTTCCATAACCGCCGCTATTCCGCATAGATGGTAGCGACCCGTCGTTTTGTCGAGTGTATAGGGTATTGGAGGCTCGTGCGAGAGATTCGAGTACCGGTGAGCTGACGTATTGATGCATGCGCGCTGCACCACCAAATCGGAGGAAGCCAAGTATCGAAACAACGCGCGAGTGTGGAGGACGACAAGTTCGATATCAGAAAGAGGCGAATCGGAACAGTAAATCGGTTGAAGGCAGGATTTTTCCTGCGTTTATTTCGCCTTGCCGCCCTTCGTCGCTTCGAGGAAAAGGACCTTCTTCTTCACGACGGGGTCGTACTTGAGCATGGAGAGGGGGCGGTGGATACGGGGGCGGATCATTGTGCGATAATAGCCGGTCATGGCCATGGAGATGAGCCGGACGGCAATGGTGCGAGACTTCGCTGCATTGAGAAAGTATGTTAGCGGGTGTTCATCGTGGAGAGTGTCTTGTCTCGTCGGCGTCGGGGCGGATGGAAAGTGCATCATCGCCGCCGCACCGGGATTCAGGGTGATGATGGGAAATGTAAGGTCGCGCGGTATTGAGGAAGGCGTATTCCTATGTTGACGCACCTTTCTTGGCCATTTTGCTCGACGTCCCTGGGGAATTGGTCGGTTGTTTGATGCGATGGAAATTCGAGGTCAGCGTTTGGCAGACCGCCGAGTATCACGTGATGGAATTAGTCATCAATATACACCATTCCATTTCAGGAATAGCTCGTTTTTAGAGAAGCCTTCCTCGAGGATAGAGTAGTGAAGACAGCCAGGAGAGAAATGAGAGAAATCAACTATTGAAATATCTCATGTACGGTCTTCGCGGATTGAAACTTACCATACCTTTAAGGTTTTTCATACTAGAGACCAGTCCTAGCATGTGCGAGTACTTGATTTCGCGGGCGCTTTCTGTTTAGAAGCTCTGAATCATATTACCGTACTAATTTAGTGTTTCAAGTTGTGGCTTGTGAATGGGCTGACAGGGTCTTCTGCACGATGTAACCAAAAGGTGGCCGCTTTTCGCTGCCTTCCTTCCTTCCGAAATACTAGTAATAGTAGAAGTACAATTCTCGATCAGATGCATCCAAAGGGTATGGGCGGTTCTTCAGTTTTCCAATTTAACCTTAGAAAGCGAAAGTTTGTTTGCTTTTCCTGCTATATAAGAAAATTATGTTCATACGATTTTCAGTCGTATTTGTCCTAATTCTGTTGATGATAACCTTGGGATCGTCATTCCATATTTGGCGTCGACTGCCAGTGGGCTGAAACTAGTCCCCCACTAGGCTTACTTCCTTCAAAGGACGAATAAAGTTTGCTTCAACTGACACGCGCATTTCTCTCTCAAGCTACCCTAGCTCACTTTTATCCCGAGGTCTGAATAGTACCTAGTCAAGAGTTCTCTAAGAACATATCCCGACTAAAGTTTGGGCTCGCGGTATCCCCGCGGTCTGAGCGGTGCATGAAACAAAAGGGGTGACCACTCTGGAAGAGCAATAATTTCCGAGCAGAAGTACAAATATAAAGGGGTCAGCAAGACTTCAACTGAGCAACTGACAAGAAAAAAAACTTCTTCCTAATATCAATACCCCAATCGTCTACGGGTGGACATCGATGGCTCTCAACATTTTGGTTTTACTAGCTTGTCTAGGATTGACAAGTCCCGTCTTGTCACAAAGCGTGGACGGCTCGAAATATAACAATCCAACTGCCGGACCACCTGCTAGCTACTTCGCTGCCGCTACGACTGTCCCAGTCGCTGCACTGCAAAGTGCGGCTGCGAAGGCTAGTGAAGCGGCAAAGGATGCCACTTATCCCATTAATGCGGACAACGGCGCTAAGAAAGTCACCATTCATAAGGACTGGACAGGTTTTAGCACAGTAAGTAGCCTGTGTTTTACAAATTCCATGCCGCTAATCAATGCTTTTGATCACAGGGCGCAGCTTTTGTGTGGGTCGCCGATATGGATGTGGATTGCGATGGCCTCGACTACAAGTGCAAGGTAAAGTTTACTTTCTTTCAGCCAGTATTACCATGCCGTGTGATGAATATTGCTGATTAAATGGCATAGGGAAACCCAGATGGGCAGTCCGAGACTAACTTCGGCGCCCTCGCGGCTTACGAAGTTCCGTTTATTGTGATTCCTGATACATTTGGAACTACTTATAGAAGTGATCTATCCGGCAATAATGTTGCTGCCGTAATCTGGTTTGTAGTAAAGTCCCCGTCCTCTAGGAGATTGATTCTAAGTGTTCGATAGTGACAACAAGATGTTTTATGGCATTTATGGGGACTCCGATGGTGATGACCCGGAAGTCATTGGGGAAGCATCGTGGCTAATGGCACGAACTTGCTTCCCAGGTGAGAATCTTAACGGGAACAGCGGTCATGGGAATGCCGATGTTACCTGTAAGTTCAGTTCAGCCAACGGTCTTTCTGAGAAGCGATGCTAACCCCGCAAGATATTCTCTTCACTGGAAATGATGCGGTTCTCCCTAGTAGCGCTCTCAATAAGAACTACATTACTAACTTTAGCACCTTACGCTCCATGGGAGACAACCTCATCACTGCGCTTGTGAAAAATTTGGATCTAGGCCCGGGTGATTCCAGCAGCACCACCAGCACCACCAGCACCACTACTACGACCTCAGCGGGAGCCGGGCCCACTGGCTCATGTTCATGGCCTGGCCACTGCGCAGGTAAAAACTGTTCTTTTCGATGGGCTTTCTCAACATTGCTGACCAAGTCCGTAGGCGCCTCTTGCTCTTCCTCTGATGACTGTTCAGGGGATCTGGCCTGCACGAACGGAAAATGTGCATCGGGGCCTAGTAACGGTTCTTGCTCCTGGACCGGTCACTGCGCGGGTAGGACATCAGTCACGTCGAAGTTTTTTCTCCAAAGACTAATATTTTACATCGTTAGGCGCAGCATGCTCTTCTAGTGACGACTGCTCGGACGACATGGTTTGTACTGGCGGGAAATGTGCGAGTCCTTAAGGTGTAGCTAGAAATTTCTGCATTGGGTAATCCCTATTCTGACTATTCGAAGCCAATGCCCACCAACGTACGAGTATACTACTAGCAATATTAGTAAAATTTTCCGGCTTCTCGGTCAATTTAAGTGGAGTCACGTCAGTTGAGCCAAAGCTCTAACCTTGTATCAATTAGGTACAGTGGCGTTGCAAAAGTTTCAACCCTCCTATTGCCCACCATTATCGACCGCCTTCTAATGGAAGACTAGTAGCTATCTAAGATGGAATGAATTGGCCAATCTATTCCATCTTGGGTAGCTACTTGTTCGCGATTAGAAGGCGGAGACAAGAGCAAGCCAACCAGGGGTTTCAAACTTTTGCACCACTGTAGTAGGCCCCTGTATAGTGCTGCATGGGGTAATAGTAAGATTCCCAATCGGCAGGAGCGCAATTACGCTAAATGCCGAGCAAAACATGGTAAAACAATCGGATTGACACCGGCAGTTTCAATCATGTGAGCGCCACAGTTTGGGGGCGGCTCTAGATCTCGTCTAACTGAAATATGCATCGTGATGCCGTCCCTTCTCGGCAGAAATCACTTCCCGCTGACACGACTCCACAATCCTCCTGCGTCAAGGGAGTGCCCAGCAGCTCTAGCTAAAATAGTTCCAGAATCTCGGTAGGCTGGCGAACCACGTTTCTCTGACTGGGGAAAAATCCCCCCCGATGTTCTTAGCCGCCGCGAATCTATGCCTTTCCCGGGATGGTGGAACCTGTAGTGTGTGGAGCTTGCCCTGAATCCCTCCATTCATCGCCCTCGTTAACCTAATCGATCTCAGTTCAAATGAAACGGCCCCCCTTAACCCCACTCAGTGGTTCAAGCGGCTCATTGTCTGCGACCTCGGCAACCCCGGCCCCTGCCGTTCATCGTGAAATCTCAATGGATCGCCACGATGTCCTGGGAATGCGAAAAATCTTGCTTTCCCAAACTCTTCATCCCGAGTATGCATTACTTCGAGCCTATGGGATATCCTATGGTTCCAAGATCCAGCGATTGACGAACCTGAAAGCACTACGCTGTCAAGCGAAACCCAGAACACGGACAGAATGACCAAAGAAATGCCCCTGGTGGGCCATAGCATGGCGATATTTGCCGCTTCCGCAGTGATGCTGGCGGTCTCTGTCATAGCGGTCGCCATGAGATGCCTTGTTCGGTCTTATGTGGTTCGGGCGTTTGGATGGGATGACGGTCTTATGGTGGTTGCATTGGTAATTAGCTCTGATTTGATCGTGCTTGTGTAACCAACTAACAAGTCCACAGGGTCTATTTATCACGTTGACCGTATCCTGTATGATCGGAGCAGATAATGGAATTGGCCATAAAAATGAGGATTTTAAGAGCATGGTGACACTAAAAAAAGCGCTATTGGTAGGCGGGCCCTATTCCTGAAAATCATTCTTCGCAAGTATGCATCATAGCTCTGACTTCAATTATCAGTTTTGGTGGCTTAATCAAATGTTTTATCTATGGGCAACTTCTCTGGCCAAGATTTCTATCGGCGTTGCGCTGCTTCGCCTGGCCGTTAAGAAAACTCACCGGATCTTTGTCTGGGTAATGATATCCACTGTTATTGCCATCGGTCTCATGTTTTGGCTTGTGCTACTTTTCGACTGCAAACCGATTTCCTACTTTTGGAATCAAGTGGATCTGACACATTCTGGGACTTGTACATCGATCAACACTCTACTCGCCATTGCATACTTTTACAGCTCTGTCACGATAGTGTGCGATCTGGCCCTTGGTATACTACCGGTCTTTCTAGTTTGGAACCTCCAAATGAATCATAGAACAAAGATTGCGGTTGGAGGTATTCTAAGTCTGGGAGCTGTGTGAGTGACCTATGTCGAAAACATAGAATGGGCCCTTACTAACTTATTCATCCAGTGCCAGCGTGGCAGTTATTATTAGACTTCCCTTCCTACATCACTATGCTGACACCGATTTCCTCTGTAAGTCACACGAGCAGACACGGTGATCACCGACATACGCTAATTAAGGTTTCACAACAGACTCCACCTATCAAATTGCTGTTTGGTCAGTGATTGAAACGGGACTTGGAATTACTGCTGGGAGCTTGATGACTTTACGACCACTCTTCCGCTGGCTCTTAGACAGCAGCTTGTCTTATGGACGAAATGCGCACAGTGGCCGGACAAGCTCTCGAAAATACACCCTCTCAAAACCGCACAGCCATGAACTGAATTCCCTCAGCAACCCCAGCTATTGGAGACCAGATATTGACGCCGGTAAAGGTATTGTGAATACTGTTTCATCGCCAAGGTCGAACGCCTTCGACGACGACAACAGCAGTCAGGAGGCCCTTTATGTTGACCCGAGTCCGATCATCAATCCAAACCGGGTCACCGTCCAACAAACCTTTGATCAAGTCGTTTCTGAGCGAAAAATATAATTTAGAACTATGCAATAATCAAGAAGCTCGCAACATTCAGGGTTCTCTTTTAGCGACGTGTCATTCAAGTGACAAATCTGGAAATGTGTTCTGGGTTCGACAGAAGAGATTACCCGTTCTTCCCATGGGAGGATGGCGTAGCCGATGCCACCATTGTCTTAAGGATGTAGGAATCTATCCAGTACATGATTCGGTCTCTGACAGGATTGAGAGTGTCTTTCCACGCGATCGGCTATTTCTGCATCATCCCGTCCGCGGCGTGAAGGTGTTCGTGTCCGTGGAGCACAGACGCTGGGGCCAGACACTTGGGCCATTTTTGACCAGTGAGCAGCTCAAGCCGAGCTGACGCTACGAGGCGTGACCGCTCGCCTCAGCAGCTGAAGAAAAAGTAAAATTGCGGGGTAGCTGAGCCCCCTAAAATCGAATCAGCGCTGCTGGATAGCCTATCGCCGCGCTAGGATTTGCCCGAGTTTGGGGCGGGGCCTGAATCGCTTCATGCACACGGTATTCAAAGAGGATGATTCAAAGGGAAACGATTACTTGCATGAGTATGAGGGCTCTGAAGTCCTCGTATAGCTGCATTTGTATAAATAGAGCAATTTCTATCTCAAGTCACCCCTTTTTCTCAATAGCAGTTTCTCATCTTGTTTCCTTTTTTCTGGGGTTTTATTCTCCATTAATCATATCTCAAATGAATTCAACTTCCTGTGAGCTCCTCGGGGAGGACTACATTCTCCGACAAAGAAAGGATACCAAGCTTCCTCCAATTCGGAAGCGTATCATCATCTGCTGCGATGGTACATGGCAATCGGCGGTCTCTGGGAAGAAAAGTGTCCCTTCCAACGTCACCAGACTTTGTCGCTCTCTGAATAGCATCGGCACCGACGAGAATGGCGACAAATGGCAACAGATTGTGTGGTATGACTCGGGTGTTGGAACTACTGCACTCCCCATGGGAGACGCTATCGAAGGTGCTATTGGTAAAGGTCTAGAAGGAAATGTCATCGAGGCATATAACTTCTGTGTCCTGAACTATAACCCTGGTGATAAAATCATGTGCTTTGGCTTTTCCCGCGGTGCTTATACCGCCCGGACAATTGCTGGTTTAATTTCAGATATTGGAATTTGCCACAAGCGTGACTTGAATAAGTTTCCGGATCTTTGGGCTGTTTACAAAAACATCAAGCCTGGAAAGCGATTCCATCGCAGCGACGAATGGTTTGATTGGAGGTGGGGGAAAGCGGACGAACACCAAGGGGCGAAAGGAGAGTTTGTTTACCAAAAGCCTCCGCAAGGTGATTGGGCCCAGGAGGGCTCCAGAGAAGTGGAGGTGGTCGGTGTCTACGACACTGTTGGGTCTTTGGGGATGCCGGAAGTCCTGGGCATCAAACTTCCCTCGAATGATGGCTGGCATAACGTTGGACTTTCACCTAGTATGAATCCCCATTCTGAATATCAGATTATGTGCTGATATTATAATTCAGATATCAAAAATGCGTTCCAAGCATTAGCACTGGATGAACATCGCAATGCCTTTTCCCCGGCAGTTTGGTATTTGTCTAATAAAACCGCAACACTGGAGGAAGTTAAGGCCAGAAAACAAGAGGAGACCCTAGCCGAGAAGAAATACTGGAGGCTTTTAAAACAAGCTAAAGACCTCAAGGCCTGTGGAAAGGCCACCGATCAGGATGTGAACGACGCTGCACACGAAGTTAATCAAGCTGCCAGGGCCTGGAATAAGGCCTCTCGCAGGCGAGTGAAATTCCAAAACCGAGTTGAGTTACACCCAACCCTTAAGCAGGTTTGGTTCCCTGGCTATCACATCAATGTTGGTGGGGGCTCTAGCGAAACTCTTGCCAACAAGGGTGATATGGAAGAAATGTCCAATATTGTCTTCTCTTGGATGTTGGACCAGGTTGACGAGTTTCTTTCTGTCGATGAGAGCTTCATTATCGATGAGCAGAACCAACGAGAGGAGAAATATGTCCAATTGAACCAAATATTGGATGAATATGATGCCAGAATAACGGTCCAAAAGACAGAGTCCTGGGGAAATTGGGCATGGCGCCATGCCAAGTCAACAGTTTCTGCTATCACCCACCCTCTCACACCCACCAACGAACCGGCTTACAAGAAACGTCGCGTTTATGGCTGGGGGGTGGGAGAGATGGAAGACAGCTTTACCCCTATGTACTGGGCAAATGGAAGCAAGAAGCGTACGCCGGGCGCGTATGATATCGCAGAAGATGGCAAGCCTCTAGGAGACACATTCGAGTTCATTCATCCGGTTGTCAACTTCCGAGTCGAACAATTCAGAAAGATGAACCAAGAGGACGGCAAACACCCCATCTACAAACCAATCGACTTAAGTCCGAGCATGAGATATTCTCGTCGGGAAATGGTCGACGCTCGAGGGAATCCATTCTTCGAATATGACATCGGTTCCTCCAAGCGACCCCTTCCTGAGTGGAAACTGGGCGGACTCGATTCCTATGAGCGACTTGCCATAGCTGGAGATAAAGCCTATGATTATGTTGATGACCTAGATGATCGGCTGAAAACAGGTGTGCGGACGGTTCGCCGGCCTCTGGGACCTCGTGCGAAAAAGGAGCCAGTTGAGCAGCCATTAGGCGAGACCTTCACCGACGGGGGGGCTCAAGCCAATGATTGAGACTGAGCCCTGGGGGGAAAACTACGATTAGTCCAATCAACAATCCTGGAGCAAGCTATAGTCATACCACAAGCTTCGATTGTGATCTTCAGCAGGGGTTTTCCCAGTCGCACACCATCGAGTCCAAGACCTTTGTGACAAAGGTATCCGATGTAACGATCTCCAGTCAAGAGGTTTTTTAGTCTAAAGAATCGGACAGATTGTTGTTCCATATTTGATAATGCGAATCTTGTTTCTCCCACGTGCTCAAAAAGAAAGTCGGCTTCGCGTAATTTAGAGCAGGTCATAGTCACCGTAGATGGATCAGAAATACTGAGATGATATTTTATCGTAGAAAGTTTCATTCATTCTTTCAAGAAAGATTCGTCCGCATAGTTGCGATCGACTGCGGTGTAAGAAATAGCGTTCTGTACCTAATCACTAGCTTGATCTGTAGCGCCACTGATCTCTAACTTGAACGCCTCTGGGCTGATCGGCAATTGCATTTGAGTCAGGTCTAGCCCAACCAGGCTGACACCTAAGCATCTATCTCAAAACTGGCCTGAGAATATAACGGGGTGGATTTCTCCCGCCCAACAAGACGTTGATTGAGCCAAGATGAAGAACAATGAAGATGTTTCAATTTTACGAGGCGCTTGAGAATGACGTACCAGGATGTCTCAATATGGCCCCGAAATGAGGATCTAGCTGACGCAAGTGACTCTTTTCACCCGACAATCAGAAACTGTTTCTTTAATTAGAGGATCTGATCTGTCAATCTTGGCTGGAGACGATGGCGATGACGGTGAATAAATCGAGAGGCTGGGGAGGACCCACTTCTGCCCGACGTGTACCCTGCCACCGGTTTCTGTTTTCTTGTGTGCCAAACCGGTCTCATTGTCGGAAGAACTGACCCAATTTTTGAATGTATAGTCGAGATCGGGCCCGATTGTACGAAAGCCTGGTCGAGGTGACTTCTATTCTGCTATCTTTCTACCACATCAACCCTTTGAGTAGTCTTTATACATCGACCCCACACAACGTGGCGCATTCTCCACCTTATACAGTGGATGGACCAATGAGAACCCTGGAGATCCACGGATCTGCAAATCAGGAAGCTGCGAAATAGAGGAGGCTGGATTGCACCTTCCCAAGAAAAAGAGAAAGAGAGACGAGATCGCGCCTGCCTTGTTGCCATGTTGACTTGATCTTCTCTTCCCCTTTCCCTCTCATTTCCTCTCATTTTCTTCTTCTTCTCCCTCTCATCTCCTTTTCTCTTCTTCTTCCACTTCATCCACATTTTTTCTTCGCTGTTCTCCCATTACATTGCTCACATTTTCATCTGCGTATCGGTACAAACTCATCATACGATATTGCCCACCATGAAGCTCCATCTTAGTGCGGCTCTTACGCTTCTCTCCTCTGCTGCCTTGGTTGCAGCTCAGACTTACACCAACTGCAACCCCCTCCAGAATTGTAAGTTGGAAATTTCCGCCGTGATTGACCCGACCCATTCGCTAACAAAAGACAGCTTGCCCTGCGGACCCCGCACTTGGAAAGGCGGACCAGAAGTTCGACTTCACCTCCGGATCTTCATCGGAATTCACTGCCTCCGGCAGTGTCACCTACGATGACACCAATGGGGCGACCTTCACCGTGGCCAACCAAGGCGATGGGCCACTGATCCAGTCAAATTGGTACATCATGTTTGGACGTGTGGAATACACAATCAAGGCCGCACCTGGAACTGGAATTGTCAGCAGTGCTGTTTTGCAATCCGATGACTTGGACGAAATCGACTGGGAGTGGCTCGGTGGCAACAATGCTCAAGTACAGAGCAACTATTTTGGCAAGGGTGATACCAGCAGCTACAATCGCGGTGCTTACCACGAAAACTCCGGCAACCATGACGACTTCCACACTTACTCAATCGACTGGTCGAGTACTCAAATTATTTGGGCCATCGACGGCAAGACTGTGCGCGTTTTGACTCCTGACACTGCCGACGCCAACCAGTACCCTCAGACACCGATGATGGTCAAGGTCGGAGTTTGGGCCGGCGGTGACCCAAACAACTCCCAGGGAACTATCGGTTCGTGAATCTTTTCGATCAACCGCAATGGAATTGGGATGCTAACATGGATTGTAGATTGGGCTGGCGGTGAGACCGACTACAGCAAGGGACCGTACAGCATGTACATGAAGTCCATGACTGTGACCGACTACTCGACTGGAAATTCGTATAGCTATGGTGACAAGACCGGCGACTGGTCTTCTATTACTGCAGACGGCGGTAAGGTGAACGGCAACAGTGCCGATGAGCCCACAGCGACCGAGTCTGCCCCTGCAATCACGGCTACTGTCGACAGCGTTCCCGTTCCCTGGAGTGGAACTCACAAGGAAACCTCCAGCTGGGTTACCCCCAACGTTTGGCCCTGGGTTGCAACAGGCGCACCATCTTCAACCTCCGCCGACCATTCCAGCAAATGGGAATCCCGTTCCAACCGTATCCAGCCGCCCAGCGGGGGATCAGTCAGTGAGCACTCCCCCGCACCCACAAATTCTCCCCTGGACTCGATCACTAAGACCGGATCCTCTTTTTCACAGTCTACCTTCCTATCTACGTCAGTTTCATTAGCTTCTTCGTCGGATGTCTTTTCCCCTTCTGGGCTTAAGAGCTCGACGATGAGTGTGACGCGGCACAAGACCACGACAACCAAAAAGCACTGGACGAGACCTACAGATACCGAAGAAGACACTAATGAGAGCGAGGCAACCGCAACGTCAAGCTCCTCTCAAGACGCTCCTTCGGTCAATGCGGCCACCAGTCGGCACCAGTCCCCGGCGAGCCTTTCTATCCTGTTGGCAATCTTGGGTGGTGTTATTTTTGGTGGCATCGTGGTGCTGCTCTAAAGTTCTTTTATGATGATGAATTTCATCTGTATTATTATCACGATTCCATGCAAAACATACGGCGTTGATGACACTTTACCGACATTCGGCCTGGCATGGCTACTGCATATTGGCGCTTATGACTATTGGAACCTTTCTTGTTGATGTTTTTATTCTTATGTTTATAGATGGTTACGAATCCCAAAATCCGATGCAGATGCATCCGAGTCTTTTTATATCACCCAAGCCAAATCCACTTATTCACAGCGTAATGCCTATAGTTTTAAATCTCTCTGTAGAAGCTTTTGTCACTCGAAACAAAAATCATTGCTGTCATGTGCTCAAAAAGCCCTTCTGCAGCGGCGTGCCTGTTCTCGAGACATGCGGCCCTGATAGAAAGTCAGCGTGACATGCAATACATGCGAGCATGAGAAATGCAGTAAAACTTGTTTATATTATTCCAGTCATTACATCGAGCGCAAAATCTCCTCTTGGATTTACCTAGGATATCCGGCATTGGCTCGGCGACGGCTCCCATTCCGTCATCATGGTGGATGCGGGTGCGGTCTCAGTCCGAATCTTTGTGGCTCAATAAATGTCATTGTGGTAACCTAGTTATGTGGTTTGTTTCATTTTATTTTTATCTTTGGATCATTCTGGGAATAATGTTGTGCGTGCAATCATTGCTATGACACGATCTAGCGCTCTCCTTTCTCTCGCTTTGGGGCTCGTTTCTGCACATGACGAGCCTTGACGTTGACACGTTCAAACAGACATTTTTAGACTGGCTTCTTTTATACTATCAGACAGGGCTCGAGAGTACCACTGTCCTTTGTTTCATAAATCCAAATATCCGATTGAGTCCCATCCACGGGGTGTTGATCGGGCTATCTAGTCCGGTGTATAAGAAAACATCATAAACCCAGCCGCCAAACGTGCATCCCAAGAACGGAGCAATAATAGGAACCTATTGAACTTGTAATTATTACAGGAAGCGGCAGAAGTAAGGCGTCATCTCAGACAAGGGTAGTAGGAATGGTAACATACCCAGAAATAAGAATTACCAGCAGCCCATACTTCATGCCCATAGCCCAGCATGTAGGAGGTAAGCCTAGGCCCAAAGTCCCGGGCAAGGTTTATAGCGTATCCTGTTTCCCAGCCAAAACAAGCGCCGATTCCGAAAATAACAAAGAAGAGCGCGAGGGGGGGTTAGTGGTCCCGCCCCCATATTCCCGTCATCTTTGAGTGCAAAGATCATGAACATCAAGATAGCGCTAGCAATAAACTCGGAGAAGAATTGCCCAGTTTTGGTCATGAAATCGGCAGGGTAAGTGCAGAAGATCCCCGCTGTTGCTGTGTCTGAGTACCCCGGCACGGTACGAATATTGGGCCCTCCCTCGAAGACATCGATGGCCGATTTATAGTTGCCGTAAACAATTGCTGCACCACACATAGCGCCAAGTAATTGAGATATAGCATAAACAGGAAGTTTGCGCCATGGAAATTTACGAAAGACGCAGTTGGCGAACGTGACGGCTGGGTTGATATGGGCTCCTGAGGCTCCGCTAACGTATACTCCAAGCATGACACCTAGACTGAGGGCCCATTGTCAGGTGGTGAGAATCTTGGAGAAATTTGTGATAAAAACATACCCCCATCCCCAAGATATTGATTGATAGTCTCCCTTTTGGCCATGACTGAGGAGGACTTGCGCAACGACGCCGTCACCGAACAGAATCAAGATCATAGTGCCAAAGAACTCGGAGAATGCATCACGACCGTAGGCCCTGAATTTGTACCATATAGAAGGCGGTTTGACTGCTGAGCTCCCGATCTCCATAGCGAGGTCATGGATAGATGGTTCGTTTTTACTTCTCAAGGACAGAGAAGTAGACCCGCTATCCTGGCTCGCAGTAATACCAACCTCTTTGTGCGTAGTAGTCGGCATGGAATCAATGGTGACTCTATTCCAAGAGCCCATGGAGATGAACAACTTAAAGAACAGAAAATGTGAGTCTTGTTTGATGAATATAGACAGGCCCTCGGCGAGTAGTGGCGTGGTGATCCAGCGATATATCAGCGAATGCTGACCAGGCATAATCGTGTAACCTCTGCGACTAACTATTGACCGGATCCCTCGTAATTCGGGTCTATTGTATGACGCAGGGCCCTCGGCAGAAAGGTGTGTATCTTGCCTACTTTCAAGGCCGCGTGAGTCGTGCAGGGGGAATGGAGTAAGGGAATTGGTCCGGGCCACCGATCTGCCTGGCGCAGGAGGAAAATGGGACCGACTCGGGATGACCGTGAATATAGTGATTCTCACGCCAGCCACAACGCACACCGGATCATCTACTGCTACTTTCGTTTCCCCAGACCGACTCTTTGACAGAACAAAATCGTGATAGACCTGGACCTCGTGCCCAAGACTAAACCGTCAGGGTCGCGGGAGCCCCGTTTGTAGAAACAGCAGCCGTTTGGTTTTGGGTAGCCGGAATCCACCGGCCCATTTCAGATTCCTGCTGGTTCAATCCCAAGAACGGTGTACATTATTATGTTCTTATTGGTCTCATTTGGCAGAGAGAAAGACAATCTTGGTTTTTTGCATGGCCACTTTAGGGTGACATCGCTAGAAGGAGGGTGTTATCACCCGTCAAGAGTGCGAGGTACCTGGTAAACATCTCCTTTCCTCTTAAATTTTAATCTCTTTTTTGGGTTATATTCCTTGGAAAAGGGACATAACTTGTGTGTGTGTGTGTGTGTGTGTGTGTGTGTGTGTGTGTGTGTGTGTGTGTGTGTGTGTGTGTGTGTGTGTGTGTGTGTGTGTGTGTATGTGCGTGTGTCGTGTGTGTTGGAGGTTAGACTCACGGAGAATCTTCCATTGCTTCTGTTACTCACGCTCACCAAATTTGGAAAACGAAGTCCACGCGGGCCCAATTGTAATTTCTAGAAGGTGGAGTTGTCCTACCGTCAGGAAGCTTTCTCAATGGTGAGAGTTGGAAAGGAGACGGAGGGAGTTGACAAGTCCGATAGCGGAAGCCTGCTGGTCTCAATCTGGCGGCTGTTCGCTTGATGCTTCATAGTCTGCTCTTCTGTCGATCTGTCAATCTGTCGGTCTGGCGGTCTTTCCATAGCACGCTTTGGCCTATTTCGTTTATCTGGATGACCGCCAGCTATGCATTGCGCTATGAATTATGTTGAACGTTGAGCGTCACATCTGGCACCATGAATATTTACGATTGAGAGATGATACCACCCCTGCGCAACGCCCGTGTGACATCTTAACCCATGCTCTGTGATATGTCGGTGCTGGGATGGACCAGGCTAGGAGCAAGGTTAGTAGTGAATGGTAGGAGAGAAGAACAAGGTGCTTGTCTTCCGCAAAGGAACGGTTATTCCCGCAAGATCAGCAGGATTGTAATTGGGATTCGAGCGTTGAAATTCGGGCTGTACAGGCGTTGATTACATCTTTGCGAGAGTAACTAGCAGAGTGCAATATAGCCATGGGAGGTGCAGTTTTCTCTCTCCCGCAGCATGAGATGTAGTGACTACTACTTTGTGCCGTGTGCCCCGTGACGCGACTTTGGGTTCTCCCCTTTCATTTCCCCGGATCGTCGCTGTCGCTCAGTGGGGTCGAGCCGATCAGTGGATCGTCAGCATGGCCTTTTTGAAGGCTTACAAAGTCTCTCTCGATCTCTACGGGGCAATAGCCAGAGGTCATGAGAATCCAACTGCAGACCCTCGAGGGTGCATTGCCTTGTGTCGTACTGGGATCCCTGAATCCCTGCCAGACACAAAAATACATTCTCACCCACACCCACTCAGACACACACACTAACGGGGCGCTCAAGCCGCAGTGAATGGCATAGTCGTCTTGGTTGTCGCCAGCGGATTATTCCCACCAATCTACAGGGTCAGAGACCAGTTGACCCCCACTAAGCAGCTCTGCTCCCCCGCGCGGGAGGATTTGTGTCACCGTGGTGAGGCAATGATTATTTAAGATGTCTGCTGGTCTTTTCCCTCTTGGATTTGAGGACGTTGTTGCGTAAGATCACTTTCGAGTAAACACATGGCTAACATGCAGGACTCGGAAAGCTTCGTCGGTTCGATCGACCAGGGCACAACCAGCACTCGATTCCTCATCTTCAATCGAGATGGAGAACCCGTTGCCTCCCATCAAGTCGAGTTTACTCAGATCTATCCTCATCCAGGGTAAGTACATGTGACCCCCAGGTGCTCCTGTATTTGCCTACATCTAGTGTTTCTCTACTGATATTGATGCTTCCCCCAGCTGGCATGAACACGACCCCTTCGAGCTCGTCTCCTCCGTCGAAGCTTGTATCGACCACGCAGTCCATGACTTCGAAGCACAAGGCTACTCACGATCCTCCATTCACTGCGTCGGAATCACAAATCAACGAGAAACGACCATCGTTTGGGACCACGAGACCGGCGAGCCTCTTCATAATGCGATTGTCTGGACAGACACTCGATCTCAGGCAATCGTGAACGAGCTGAAACAGAGACCCAACTCGTCCAAATTACAAGCCATCTGCGGTCTACCGCTCTCCACCTACTCTTCAGCCACGAAGCTGTTATGGATGTTAGCGCACGTTCCCCGGGTGAAAGAAGCCTTCGATCGAGGCACCCTTGCGTTTGGCACCGTCGATTCTTGGCTTGTCTACCGTTTGAACGGTGTCGGTGCCAATTATTTTGTCTCGGATTCGACAAACGCTTCCCGTACCATGTTCGTGAATCTTCACACTCTGCAGTATGATGATTTCCTGCTCGATTTCTTCGGCATCAAGGGCAAAATTCACCTTCCTACCATTGTTCCCTCATCTGACTCGTCTGCCTACGGCTGGTTGGCGTCCGGTGCTTTGGAGGGTGTTGCTATCATGGGATGTCTCGGTGATCAGTCCTCTGCGCTGGTTGGGCAGAAAGGGTTCTCTCCCGGTATGGCGAAGAACACCTATGGTACTGGCTGTTTCCTGCTTTACAACGTCGGCGATAAACCCGTCATCTCGACACATGGTTTGCTGGCGACTGTAGCGTACAACTTTGGAGGGAAAGCGGTTTATGCGTTAGAAGGAAGCATTGCAGTCGCCGGGTCTGGGGTGAAGTTCTTGCAAAACAATCTGACTTTCTTCCAGGATTCCAGGGAGGTCAATGACCTTGCACTGTCGGTTGAAAATAATGGCGGCTGTGTTTTCGTCACAGCTTTCAGTGGGCTTTTCGCCCCATATTGGATTGACGATGCGAAGGGAACAATCTGTAAATCTGGGCTCCCAACCACCACCTCCGTGTATCGCTGGTGTCTAACATGTACTCTTGTTCAGTCGGTATCACCCAGTACACACAAAAAGGCCACATTGCCCGCGCAACGCTTGAAGCCACCTGCTTCCAAACAAAGGCTATCCTTGACGCCATGGAAAAGGACAGTGGAAAGGCACTCTCGGAGCTCGCCGTCGATGGAGGAATGAGCAACTCCGATTTGACTATGCAGGTTTGCAGTTCACTACCTAAAACAGAGTCATATTGAGACTAACTCCTGAAATTAAAGACTCAAGCAGATCTAATCTCGATCCCTGTGTATCGTCCAAAAATGCGCGAAACCACCGCTCTAGGTGCCGCGATTGCAGCAGGTCTCGCTATTGGCGTGTGGCGTAATTTCGCCGAGCTACGAGATATCAACCGAGCAGGCGGCACGGTGTTCGAACCGCAAATCACGCGTGAGGAGGGCACAGCTAAATTTGCAGAATGGGAGAAGGCTGTCCAAATGAGCCGTGGCTGGATTGAGACGGAGAAGACAACAGAACCATCCAATGGCAACTCGTCAGAAGCAAAAGCCAACGGAACGCCAATTCCACTAGCGGAGAATTGCAATTTCTCATCGCCAAAATCACCTTCTACGCAGGATACATCTCTGCTGATCTCAGATATTGTTTCTGAGGCCTGCGCCAACACCACGATAAAGGTCCAGAAACAGAAAACCAAGGGGAACCTTGAATTCGTGCCTTCGAAGGCACCGATCATCAGTATATCAACTGACCTTGATGATGCGGATGAGGAAGATCTGTTTCTGGAGTTGAGAAAAGTGGAGATCTTGCAGAAGTTAAAGAGACTCCGGAAACCCAAGCTTGGATACTTCTAGTGAGATTTCCATCTTTATGCATGGGTTTCGTGATGATATTTCGCGTTTAGCTTACATACTACAGGAGTGCTAGTAGGCTTAGATAGTTGTGAGTTAGAGCTTCAAATATCTCCCTTCCTCTTTGGTCAAATTGGCGGGGTTAATTAAATCAACATTATCTTTCAATATTCACAGAGTGGTGATCATATACATTGCAGCAAGCAGCCTTTCCACAAAATTCCGACGGTATTGCGGTAAAAATATCCAAAGTAAAGTCCCTCAAGCTAAGCCATTATCAATTTATCAAGTTGCGACAATCAGACTGGAGGTGAAAGGTCAACCTATGCCTGCGAGGAACTGCGCGCAAATTCCTCCCCTTCCTTCACAAACACACAATTCAACTCCGAGCCGGGACTGAGCGTAATCTCGAATCGCAGAATGGGATCCTCAACCTTGTCCTTTCCACTAACCGGCAGCGCAACAATACGCTCATAAGCCTGCAAGATTCGAACAATAGTATACCCCATCTCGATAGTAGCAAACTGCTGCCCGATGCAGATGCGCGGACCGCCATTAAAAGGAACAAACTGCCACGGACGTGGCGACCAGCCCGAAACCCACCGTTCAGGAATCCACTTACCCGGATCAAAGTAATTCTTCGAGTCTGGGCCGTCATAGAGATCTGGATCGCGCTGCATCAACATGGTCGAGTATATCACGCGTGTGTTAGCGCGAACACCGACAGGATCTTGACCATCAGGACCACCACCGCGAGGAAGCGTTGTGTCGCGCAATGAGTAGCGCACATTGAATGGAACGACGGGATAAACGCGCATAGTCTCATTGATGACTGCGTTCAGGTATTTCATTTCCTTTAAATCTTGATAGGTGGGTTTCTGGCCCGCCTCACCAACGCCCAGACGAGAGCGAATTTCTTCGCGCAGCTTGGCGACGACTTCTGGGTTGCGGGAGAGTTCGGAGAAGCAGAAGGAGAGGGTTCCGGCCGTTGTGTCGCGGCCCGCAAGGAGGACGGCGACGAGTTGGTCGCGCAAGACTTGCTTGTCACGGGTGAATCGAGCTAGGGCATCAAGGAAAGTTTCGCGCGTGGAGAGCTTTTGCTCGAGTTCATCAGAGGAGAGTGCGAGAACGGTTTCGATGTATGGTTGGATGAACTCCTCCATGATTTTCAAGTTACGGCGAAATTCTGTGCGTGACATGAAGAAGCTGAAGACTCTATTTGTGTGAAAATTGAGGTTAGTAAATTGAGTTATCTTCCCTTTCTTTTGGTGTACTTTTCGATGACTGATGGATGTTTCAAACGTCGCACAGGACCGATATCACTTACCCGAATCGGAAAAGCTCGGCCTGGCGCTGTTGCACATATCTGAATGCTTCTGCAAACCGCGTGGCAGGATTCTCCAGGCTGTCTGTGCCTTGGCCGAGCAGGTAGTCTGTTGCAGCGTCGAGGGTATAACGGAAGAAGAGTGATCCAACATCGACCACTCGGCCTCCCCTGAGCGAAGTACTACCACCCAGGAGCGGGATGAGTTTCTGCACATGCTTCTCAAAGACTTCGGTGTCAACGATGCGGTCGCGGGAAAACATGGGGCGGATGAGCTTGCGGGAGTTGGACCAGAGTTCTCCATCTGTGGCGAAGATACTATCGCCAAGAAATTCCTTCCAGTCGCGGTGGAAGGGTTCGCCTTTGCCATAATCGGCGAATTGGCCGGTCAGAAGAGCTTTGATATTCTCTGGGTCCTTGGTCATGACTGCGCGAGTGGAGACGCCCGCATCAAGCTCGGCGGTCTTGCAGTTTCGCATACCCCCCGCGGCGGTGATTGAAGCATCCCAGAATTCGATATCCTTATGGACCAGATTGGCCTGTTGTCCCTTGTAAATGAAGTCGAGAGCTAGCGGGCGTGGTTAGCGATTCTGTATCAAATGTTGCTGATAAGTTGGACAGATGACGTACCATATGGCAGATGGAACGAGATCTTGGGAGCCCGAGCCCCAAGACGATAGATCTGAGCGGAGACCTGGAGTTTGCGGGCAATGAGGATAACAACAAAGAGTGAGAGGGTCCAGAGAAATGCCTGTCCGGGCATCTTGCCCGTCAAGAGGTCTTCAATCATGGTGATTGTGAGTTCTAGGTGCCCTTGTCGCCTAGGGCGTCCTGAAAGGGGCCGGCAGTCTGCTTAAAAGGCTTTTGTAAGACTCAAAGGACACATCCAACTATTGGTTTTTGCAACGTCTTCAAGTCCTTACGGCAATATGAGCGAGGGAGGGGTAGTCTAAGGTATTTAAAGCAAGCGAGTCGAAGTAAGGTTGGGTGGATTCGTGGACCCCGTTCCCCCGGAGAAAAACAACGCGGGGGCTCCACCGGATGTGCACTCGCCCTATGGCGGCAATGTGGTATCTCATACGCTCCCCACAAAGTTAAAGTCCAGTGGCTTCTTCGAGGTATCCTTGCGAGGTGCTTGCGAGCCCCGCCGGATGACTTCATCTACCACAGCGCGACATCCATTTGAGATATCCTGTGTCAGAGTCAGGCATCCCTCGATCTATTACTGGTCCCTATCTCAATTGCCGTCTTACTGTGGATCTCCCCCGGATTATCTCCTCTCTCCAACGGTCTCGCTAATGGTCCAACAATCCGGGAGAAATGTTGTCCATATCCGTGTCCGTGTCCCCGTGGAATTTGTGGAATACTATCTGTGTGAACGACCTCGGTTAGCCGGTTTCACATGGGGTGATTCCCGTGCGGAGATCAGCATCATTGCTTTTGGCCAAGCAGCACATAGTTTGTGCAGGTGCCTACGAGTGCATATTGACCACTCAGCATGCAGCCTATGTAGTGTGCATAAGCTACATTATATGTACATACCCTTGGGGCGGCTCCAGCGTGATCCCGCGGTCGCTTGAGTGGCTTGCAGCTACTGTGGGGACGTTTCTGAAAATCATCCACGCGGAAATGACCACGAGCACACCCTGGTACTAAATGCAGTTTCAAGCTCTTTGTGTGAAAAAGGGACTAACTACTACGAATAGTAGTACTCTAGGTATGCAAAGAATAAAATCCACTTGAAGTGTCCCGATAGTAGTACTAGTAGTATCTTTCATGATACTATTTTGAGATCCATATATTTGACTACTAGTAGATGCAACAAGTTCTATGCCACCTCCCCCGGGAATTTGACATACGGTCAAAATTTAACCTTGGAACCTTGAGCTCACTACTAGTACATTGAATACTAACTAATACTACTAGGTACTACTAGTAGCAGTTTTTCTGAATGACATCCGTCATAGTGCTAGTTTTTGATTTGATCGGGCGGATTCAACTTTCGATCTCACTAGGCCTAGTAGTAACTATCACCTACTACCGTTCTAGGGTAGTAATATACACTGGCTAAAAATATATAATGGTCTTCCATGGAGGTTTCAACCTCGGGATGCATTGGATGACTCAACCTGGGCAAGATCAAGAGAGGAAACAAGCAAAAATACCGTATGCTCCAAATTTATATTTCTTTGGGTCCCTTGTTCAACCCAGAAACCCCCCCCAAACAATGGAGTTGAAGTGTTTCAAGGCATACAATGACGGAACAAAGCCAAAGGAGCCGCTTCAAATTCCGCTTTGGGCGCTGTTATTGTTTGCACCCTTTGTACCTTAAGTTTGTACCGCCCACGTGACACAATCTGGCGCATTTCCAAATTCGTCCTCTTCCAACATCCAAGCTTTCATTGTCGCGTCAACCTCTTCACGAAGATCTGAATCGTACTTCGACCAGATCGCCACTCCGAATCCAATTCTCTTCAATATATTAAAGCGCACGAATCCTCCCTTTTCACAATCCTCCGGCCATTTCTCACACCAGCCCGGTCGAAGAACCGTTTCAGCTCGGTGGCGCAAAGTATCAACCGCCGTTGATAACTTCTTTCTCCGACCGATTCCTACCTACACACCTTCGCATTTTATCTTCGCCCAACATGGATGTCCTCCCGACCATCACTCAAGACTCGCCCCTCGCCGCGGCTGTTGCCAGCGTCATCCAGCCTAAGCTGGTCGAGATGGGTTGGAGTACAGATGACGGCCAAGAGTCTGCTTTGATTGAATATATCGTGCTCATGCTCATTAACGGCAAGTCACAAGAGCAACTCGCAAATGAGCTTTCAAACGACTTCTTGGGCCTGGACGAAGGCGACACACAAGCGCTCGAGTTTTCAAATTGGCTTTTCGGCCAGGTACAAATGCTGAACCAGCAGATTAATGGAGGCCCGGACGTGGGATCGAATGGTATCGCCGAGGGCCAACAAAGTGCTCCCGCAGGCCTGAACCCCGAGGCGCCTGGATTCCAGATGAATGGAGATGCCGAGATGGGTGATGTGGGCGATTCAGTGTAAGTACAAATTCTCAGACTCATCGTTTCTTTTTGCCTTATGACCACAATGCTGACTATTTCTAACAGACCAACCGGACCGAAAGCGATGCGTGGTGGACGAGGTGGTAGGGGGCGGATGCTGAACCAAATTAACCGCAATTTGGATCGAAACGACTCCGCGCTTCACCGCGTTCACGGAAACCAAGGGAATGGTCGCATCGGTGGTCACGGTCGAGGCCAAATGAAGGGCGCTAGAAATAATATGGGCCGTGGTGGTCGCCAAATGGGCGGTAATATGGGAATGCAAGGCAACATGATGACCCCCGAGAACCAGATGCAGCTCATGCAGATGCTGGAACAACAAGCCCAAATGATGTCCCAGCTCATGCCCGGCTTTGTTCCCCCCGCCGTCAACCCGGCTTTCCAGAACGGCCAGCAAAGTCGCTCGTTATTTGACCGTGTCCAGCGTGGTCAGCGTGGTCAACGTGGAGGTGGCAATTTCAACAAGCGCGGACAGAACCAGCACAACAAGGGTGGAGAGGCAACCGATGCCGATATGGATACTGCGATGGATGGCGCGCCAAGCGCCCAAGGCGAGGCCGAGGGCGTTTGCCGTTTTAACCTCCGATGCACACGATCCGACTGCCAGTTTGCTCACCAATCTCCCGCCGCTCCCGAGGGTACATCCGTCGATGTCTCTGACGTCTGTTCCTTTGGAGGTGCCTGCAAGAACCGAAAATGCACTGGCCGTCATCCCTCACCAGCCGTACGATCTGTCCACCAGGCTGAGGAGATGTGCAGATTCTTCCCTCACTGCACAAACCCGAACTGCCACTTCAAGCACCCCAGCATGCCGCTCTGCAAAAACGGCGCCGACTGCAAGACCGAAGGCTGCAAGTTCACCCACCTGGACACGGCCTGCAAATTTAACCCGTGTATGAACCGCACATGTCCGTATAAGCACGGCGAAGGCCAGCGCGGCAACCTTGGTGACAAGGTTTGGACGCCGAATTCCGGGAACCACGTTAGCGATCGCAAATTCGTCGCCAACGAAGATGGCCCAGAAGAACTCATTAAGCCCGACGGCGATGGCTCCCAGAACCCGGAGCTGACCGCGTGACTACGCCTCAATTGATATCCTTTGCTCACGATGCCTGCGCGGAAAAATCTTCTTTGTGTACAATCTGAAATTGATGGATGGATGGATGGAGAGGGCGTTCATACCTTGATGATGCATTTGCTTGCCCCGACTTTACCTGTACATAGATATCCCTTTGATCTGCTTGGAAAATAAGAATCATCCACAAGCCCTGCTTGTTCTTATAGATTCGACTGAATCTTTCCCTGACGTAGGATGACTTCCAAGGTGCTCAATATAGCCAAGGTCCTCAACCCCCCCTAAGTACTAACTAGTAAGTGTCTGTACAAACCCTCACTACTTTATTGGGCGATTTAGCACACACCCCTGGTCTACTTTGAGTAGTAGTTGAATTATACATGACACTTATGTAGCGATAATCATATAGAACGTTCGATGACCCCGAAAGCATCTCCATAGTAGTATCTCATTAATGAAAGCTAAGGATCAGTCGGTAGCTCAATTATCTCCAGAATTGTCCTCGGCCCTCCATCCGTTGAAGGCACTGATGTCTTCAGCGACCCATCTCTCAATGGAAGGATGGAGGTGGGCATCACATGTGTATTCTCCGAGACGAACCAATGTTTCAAGGCAGCCTCTCTAAGACAAACTGCAAGTCCAAACCCGAGATACTCTATAGCCGTAAATGCATTCTGGCACCACATGAATTTCTCTCGCCATCTGGTATTGCTGTAGACCAGTGAAGCCTGAGCTATGGAGAACATCACGCCCTGGGCGCCCCATATTTGCTCAGTATTCGTCAGACAATACGGGATGCCTCGACAGGCTTCGTCTGCATAGTACCAGGAAAGCATGTAGTCCTGGTCAGTGTTTGGATCCATAGTCCTAGCGCATCCAGCGTGCGCCATGGTGTGTATCTTGGCCTGGTAGATCATTGGGTACACGAGGCATAATGCCGTCCAGTAGAGAACATGAAGCCTAGCACTTTTGAGATCAGGAAAACGATATGCGGCACCGAAAACTTCATCTGTTGCGGGCAAATGTGCACAGGTTGATTTGAAGTTTGGGTAAGAAGTGGGCTCCGTGCCAAGTGATGGCTTTATGCTGGCGAACCAGGCGGATATATTATCTTTGTGGGAAATGCAATCTCTGAGGAGCTTCTCGCAATACTCAGGACTACTGAGAGTGTTCAGCTGCTTAAAGCCAGCGAGGATGGGCTTGAATGCTGCGTATATCTCGAAGGGCCCGGCAATGGGCTTGCCGGCGGTCTCTGAGGACTTCAATGGGTCCGTCTGCATCATGATGTCTTTAATTAGAAGAGTGTGAAGGCTAAAGCTGGAATACTCGACATACCACTCCCAATACTTTTTGATGCTGGTATATTGATCCGACCAGAGGGTTGCTTGGGGCATCACGATGGCATTTTCTCAAAAAAGCATTCGTTCCCTCGGAATGGGCAATCCAGGCCTCAACACCAAGGGGAGAAAATAAAGGCTGCATACAGAAGAAAGGCTGTTAGATTAGATATTGATACGTACCGGTTAGGGAAAAGCTCACCTCGAGTCTCTGGAAAATGACTGTTGCATAAAGGAGTTCTTCGTTGGGGGTATTTCGGTGTATCATGTTCGACATGTGTTTTATTGCAGCATTATAAAGGGAGGTACCATAATATAGGAGCTGTTGATCCTGCTTTATCTGGCCTAAAGCAACACAAGTCATTGCACACATTGATTTGTCCAATAACGATGCTGATGTGACGGTCCTGCTGGGGAGAGTAGCAAAGCCGGTGATCAGATGGTACCATACATCAGCGCCCACGAGTCCCACTGTATCGAGGGGGAAGTAGGCGCTTAGAAAAGAAGAAAAGATCTGGGAACGGGCCTCGGGGCGGGAATTAATCGGCGCGGGTAGAGGCACATTCTGGGCAATCTCCAGGGAAGACGACTGGGGTCCTGCTGCGGCCACCCCGATTTGAGATGCAGCTACTAGCCTTTTTGTGGATTTATAATGAACAAAAGTTCGATCCTTGTCATACCCTGGACAGGAGAGACCACGCTTGATGCACCGTGCACATTCGGGTCGCTGGAGATCGCACTGTGCCCTACATTAGCAATGCACCGTCGGCTTGAAATTCACGAGGGCGGATGCGATGTGATCTACCCACCTTGATTTTGCGGGTTTTACATGTTTGGCACCCTTTGGACTGGAACGGTACACCACCCATATCTGATCCAGAGCAAAGCCTCTAAGTGCTGATCCAGTATTCGAGAATAAGTGCGGATGGACTCGATATGTCGTGTGCAAGGCAGTCGGCCCAAACCTTTCCATCCCAAACCACCCTAACTGTCAGCCCCACACACCACCCGGCGATCTCCATCTTCCACTACATGGGACTTCGACAGGACCCAGGTGATAACTAATTAGCAAAACTCACCACCATGTACATAGCGATCCCCAAAGTAGTATTAAACGGATAGCTGATTACACTACTCTGTCGCTTCGGCCGCTTTCTACAGGGTAGAAGCTACCGCACACAGCTTTCGATAGCCATAATACTGTCAACATTAACGTAAATCCTGTCCAGATCTAACAATGGGCTCATATTTCCTTGATTATTATATCCAATAATTACGATCATGGATATATAGTTATATTGATGGCTACTGTGACCAACCTCTGTTTCTCTTATAGTTAGGCGGTCACGTTACCTTGGGATCACGATTCACGGAAACTGCCCGTCCCCCGAACTACCCCAGAATTCCGCTCGTCCTTGGACCTTTTGGGTCTCTTTTTTTTCGCCGAAATGCCCCTACCCTACACTTCGAATGGTATCCGAGCTAGAACGCGACCTCTTATCTCCGCAATCACCTCTCAGCGACGCGCCTACAATGTTGCCGTCGTCGGAGGTGGCATCACCGGCCTGACAGCCGCGTGGAAACTTATGCGGGACCCCAAATGCACCGGCATCACACTCTACGAAAAATCACACAGACTAGGCGGATGGATGGAATCGGAGGAAATTCCTGTTGGTGACGGCAAAGTGGTATTTGAGTATGGCCCACGCACATTGAAATGGACGACGGCAACAGGAGAGTGCATGATGGATATGGTTAGATACACCACGCACACGCATACCCTGGAAATACAAAGCCGAGGACTGACATTTTGTTATACAGGCTGACTCAATTGGACTGGGCGATCAAGTAATCTTCACACCAAAATCGGCATCGGCGGCAATGAATCGGTATATCTACTATCCCGATCGTCTCGTTCGTTTGCCTGGGCCCATCCCCGGTTTGAGCTACATGCAGAATTTGGCAAATTTTTTTTCGGTCATTCATTCAGGAGCCTTTACTCAGACCAATAATTCCGGCCGTTTTATTTGAACACACCAAGCCTGCTCGCATGCCCGACGAATGGCAGAAAGATGAATCCGTCTCACATTTTATTTCACGTCGTTTTAACTCCCAAGTTGCAGACAACATTGTCTCCGCAGTGATGCATGGCATTTATGCAGGAGATATTGATAAACTGAGCGCCCAAACTCTACTAGGTCCTATGCGCAACCTCGAAGGCAGCGGCATTATGTATAGTATGATCATGAGGGCATGGAATCGCACAAAAACCTTGCCGATGGATGATTCTTTGATTGCTGAGGAGACAAGGTTGAGCAATTCGGGGAATACGGTTGCCCGAAGGCTCCCAGGACTCTGCGGAATGGGCAGCTACGCGAGTACTTTTACTTTCAAAGGCGGGACAGCACAGCTCATCGATGGGCTTGCTTCCGCCTTAAGAAAATCGAACAAGGTCAATATCAAGACCCAGGCGGACATTCAAACGATCTCACATAAGCCGGGAAACTACAGTCCTATGGAGGTAAGTTGATTCTGCTTATTCGAAATCGCCGAGGAATCTCGCCCGGGCTCACATACATCTCAGATCTCTACTTCAGAAAGCCGGAAAGTCTACGACCATGTCATCGCTGCCATCCCCGCCCCTGCACTGACCAAAATCCTCGCCGCACCGCCTGATTCGACGAACCACCCTGAGATTACGGGGCGTTCTAGCCCAAAGCTGCCAAGTGATACGATCCAGAAACTCAAGTCATTCGATTATGCTACCACTGTGATGGTGGTCAATCTTTATTACTCCAACCCCAACCTTCTTTCCATCAATGGTTTCGGATACCTCATCCCGCGCTCCACCCCGGCTAGCGAGAACCCGGAGTGTGGACTGGGTGTTATATTCGCTACTGACTCCAGTTCCGGCGAGGAATTAGCGGAATGCGAAGAAATCGAAACCGGGTCATGGAAAATTAGAAGGCAACCCGTCTCACAGGACACCGCTAAAGGTACCAAACTGACCGTGATGATGGGTGGTCACTACTGGGACCATTTTAGACCCGGCGACTATCCAGACCATGAAACTGCCGTCAGCATGGCATGCAAAATGCTTGAGCGGCATCTTGGTGTCACGGAAAAGCCTACTATTGCGCGAAGCCGACTGCAACAGGATGCCATCCCTCAATATACCGTGGGTCACCTGGACCGCATGTATGAGTTGTCTAAGACGGTGAAGCGTGACTTTGATCAGAGACTTGTCCTTGCTGGAAATTGGTACAACGGAGTCGGTGTCGGGGACTGTATCAAACAGGGCATTATGGCTGCAACATATGGTGTCGGGTTTAAACTTCCACCTAAGGCCGAGCTGAGACGTGGAGATTCCTTCGCAGTCCATGATCATCATTTGTCATTTGACTACGAGAACTGGGACATGCAAGGTGGTATACCTACAGCGCCAGTCCGGATCGTGGACGTGGAACCTCAATAATTCAAGGGCTGTGGACCGGGACTGACGCCCCTGGGGACTTGAAACCTCAATCCGATGGTAGTTCACAAGCTATCAATATAAGATATAGATATACTATGTACGATAGATTCATGCAAGCAGTGACAATAGAGATGCATAGGGCGAAAGCCATAACAGTATACTGAAGTATATTCTTGGTAGACTATTGCTGTTCTGTTGCGCCGGGCTGGCAAAGTTGAACATACATGGGCGATTCGTTTCCGACAATGCCTCTCTAATTTTCAACCCGACTCGAGAGGAAGCATCGGTTGAATACAACACTCAGTTTCAGGGTGAATTTGACTTCGAGCGGTCGGAGTGTCGCATGTTACCCAGCTATGCCAGAGAGTATGTGAATAACTGCAGGTGTCGGTTGAGACTGGCCGATATTGAGTGCTGACTGTAATACATATGCCAAAAAAAGCACCTGCAGGTCTGCAGGGTGATTTAGACATGGATTTCAGTTGGTGGTAATAGCACGCTGCGTATCTGCCAGGGCCTAGGTCGCGTGTGACACTGATGGCGTCCCATTATGGGTAAAAATAGTGGTGCTGGAAGACACCACACAGAGAACTGTTTGATCAAGCATTCTCCTTGCCGGTATCGTCTTTCTTGTCGCCATTGGAATCGAACCCCAGGGCGTCGAGCTGTCGCACAAGCTCCTGGATCTTAATGACTTTCTCCAGCTGCTCGGGGAGCAGGGCTTCACCTTGGCTCTTCTTCTCCTTTAGGTCGCGGGCTTGACGGAGCTTCTTCTTCAAGTTGCGAGCTTTCTTTTCCTTATCGGCCTCAATGTCGACGGGGTCCTGAACAGGCTGTTCTTCCTTCTTTGGGGCGGGGACACGCCAGTTCTCGGACTCGGCGCCCTTTTTCTCGGTGGGACTGTTCGACTCCTCGTTCTCTTTGGTTTTACGCTTGGCTTCCCTGCGCTTGGCGTTCTTGTTGCTAGCAGCGGTCTGAGCGGTCTTGTCGTCCTCGCTGCTCACACTTTCGGCCCCCGGTACCCCACCTCTTCCACGAGTTTTCCATGCGGCGGCAGCACGATTCTTGTAGAGCTCCACATCCTCGGGGGGCTTATATCCCGGCTTTACTTTTATCTCACGGCGTTTTGAGCCGTCTGCTCGAAGCGAGGAAGGAATGTAGCGTTGGCCAGTTGTAGCGTCGGTGGTGATACCAGAGTTGGTAGACATGGTGCGAGGGCGAAGCGGTGGAGGGAAAGAGATGAGAGTGAGAGGGGGAGGGGGAGAGATCGGAAAAAAAAAGACGAAAATATGGTGGTAAATGATTGAATGCACCAACCTGAGTAGAGGCCTGTAAATTACCCCCGACAGAGCAATTGCCGAGAGTCCTGGAATGGAATTCGAGAATATCAAAAAAAACAAAGCAAGCACAACTGCGGCTTCGAGTGAACGGATGGCCGGAGGCACGCGGTGAATGGCCAATCAGCGAGCCGGGAATTCCCGCTGCTTTTCGTCCTCAGCGAATTCAGCCAACTTCAACCTCTTCAATCCCTCCGTTCGACTCCCCACCTCGTTGTCTGCACCACTCCTTCACAATGGCCGGCGTAAGTCTTTCTCGAGCCCTCGATTACAGTTTTGTCCTTGCGGTTTGAAGTTTCTGACCTAACTTGTTGTCGCGCGCATCACAGATCTCCAACATTATCTACCAGCATGTCTCCCACCCCCGACCCCCGACCCCATAGTCGCGGTCGCAGACGCAGTCGCAATCACCCTCGCCTTTCTCCTCTCTAACTGTCGTCTAGGTCCATCATTCGTAAGAATGCGGTCTTCCTGACCACCATCTTCGCTGGTGCCTTCGCCTTCGAGCTGTGCGTTACATCCAACCGACCCACCCCCCCTTCCATATTATACAACAACTTCTAACCAAACTTCTGCACAACAGCTCCTTCGACACCTTCTCCAACAAGGTTTGGGATTCCTGGAACGCCGGTGTATGTGTTTCCGCTCTTCTTTTCCCGAATACCTCGGTCGACCCGATATCCCGGATCGCCCGATTTCTGTACGAATATCTTGCTAACCCCATGTTCAGCGCCAATGGAAGGACATCAAGCCCCGTTACCTGGTCCAGGCCGAGGAGGAGGATGATGATTAAATCCGCCCACGATCAAATGAGGTTAATTCCTGCGGTCTATATAGGTAGACTGTTAGGGGGGGAAGAAGTGATGGAAAAGCGAATGGGGAATTCAATTGCCGCAGCCTTGTGATTTTATACTTATTCCAGCTGCGGGCTTGTACGCGATAGACGGAAATCTGTATTTGACTTGACTTATTTTCTGGAGTACCGTGCCCTTTTTGCCCCAGTTTCCAGTTTCGAAAGTGAAAAGTGGTGGCTGCATTGCATGTATTGTAGGCCCGTAGCGTGAGCGGCTGCGGTGACCGCGCTGTGGCGTTGGGGCAGCAGCGAGACCGCTCCGCCGATGTCATAGGTAAAAATGCCAGTGCTCCATCCTTCATATCCCTCCTTCTCTTCTCTGCCCTGAGAGCACCACTTTTTTCTCATCCCTCCCAACTCGATCTTTACCTATAACTTGTCGTCTCTATTATTTGACGAGGCGATTGCTTAGTGGCAAGGTTGATCGTGCTTCGCGACCTCATCGGCCCACATCTCGCCTGTATTTCCTCCTCCTTCCACCCCCCACTACGATCGTCCAGTCTCGCAGACTGTAGAGACAACCATTTGACCTCACCTGACACTGCGCTCATTCTTAGGACCTGTTTACTTATAACGGAGATTTTCTTTTCAACTGGTTCGAGTATCCTGGACGATTTCGATACGCTCGGTACTCCCGATTCAGACTACCTCCCGCCTCACGGGCCAACGGCTCTCGACCTTCACACCTGTGACAGACGAGCGGCAGGTCCTCTCGATTTCTGCTCGACTCTCTAAGCCATGCACATGCTTGCAGAGTGTGAGAGGATCCTCGGCGATGGCCTGTTACGACTGCCACAGCAGCACGGTTACCGATATGGTCCGCAGGCCGAGAGGGATTTGCTAGAGCTTCTTTTTCGGTCGCTCGTGGGACACAATGAAGAACTCATACACCACCTTTTTCCTGATGGTGCCCCAACAGGTTCCTGGAAACTGGCCGAATCTCAAGGTGCTCGCGAAGGAGCAGAGTATAGCGAGGCCGCGCGGGGCAAGCGATGCGGTCATATTTTCCGTGCTGGCGAGGCTACCTACCGTTGCTTGACCTGCGCCTCGGACGATACCTGCGTACTGTGTAGCCGATGCTTCGATTCGTCCGACCACACCGGTCATCAATATCAAATTTCCCTATCTTCGGGGAACTGCGGTTGCTGTGATTGCGGTGACGACGAGGCTTGGCGATTACCGCTCTGTTGCGCAATTCATACGGATAATGGCGACGACGAGGAGAAGGAGCGCAGAAAGATCGAGCTTCCATCCGAACTCCTGTCCTCGATTCGGTTGACTATATCCCGCGTGTTGGATTACTTCTGTGATGTCATTTCATGCTCCCCGGAGCAATTGCGTCTGCCGAAAACCGTGGAAGGAATCAAGGCAGATGAAGAAGCGTCGCGGTTGCGTCCGAACTGGTATGGTGCCGGTGACCTAGAAGAGGAAGAGCCTGAGTTTGCTCTATTACTATGGAACGATGAAAAACATACCATTCGTGATGTCTCCAACCAGGTCACGCGGGCATGCCGTGAACGCGAGAGCTTCGGTATCGCCCGCGCCCATGAGACGAATGACATTGGCCGTAGTGTCATCAAGTACTCGAAGGATCTGCAAAAGCTACTCGACGTGTCGCGCGTTATAGAACAGATAAAGGTTACGGTTACGGTGCGCTCTTCTCGAGACACATTCCGTGAACAAATGTGTGGAACTATAGTTGAATGGCTCGCCGATATTGCTGGCTGCAGCATTCTAGAGGACAACGAAATCTTCCGACAGGCTATTTGCGAAGAGCTCCTCACTCCATGGCGGAAGGGAAGTGGCGGTTATAATGAAGATATTGGCATGAAGGGTATCGATGACCATGAGATTGCGGAGCATGCTCGACGCCGCCCTGTCCTACTTTCATTGCCAAACCACGGACAAATCGTGGTGCAGGTTAATGAAGCTGTGGATGAAGGTATCGATGAAGATGAAGATGACGAGAATGGTCCGGACGAAGATGACGAGGACTATGTGGAAGCCCATGATGATGCAGATGACGAGGATGATGATATGGAGCTTACCCTCGCCCACCTTCAGGATCCTGGAGATGATGATGGAGATATGGATATGGACGGAACTGTCATTGACGAAGAAGAGCTGGCTCTCGCAGAGCGAATTCTGGCCGACCTAGCCCGTGGTGGACGAGCACCTCTTCGCGCGGCAACCCAAGAGCCGGAAGAGACACCGGAGCAGCAAAACCCCCCTGAAGAGGAACCAGGAGCTGATGCGGGGAGTCAACCGTCCAACCCCAACAGCTATGTCCCTATCCCGCGAACACCTTCACACGTGGTTAGGCCTAAACCCGGAGGGACAGAAAGCCACTGGCAAGTTCAGCCTCCAACACATGCTCCTGGGGAGAAGATTGCTCCTTATGAAGATTTGTGGCAACGCACCCGTCTGGATTGGCTCGTGCTTTATGATCTGAGGTTGTGGAAGAAAACTAGGACTGATCTTCGCGACCTCTACATCAGCACAGTTGTCAATGTGCCGCAGTTCAAGCGCATTATGGGTCTTCGCCTGTCTGCACTCTATACAGCGCTGGCTCAGCTTTATCTCATTGCAGACAGAGAGCCGGACCACTCCATTGTGAACCTTTCGCTACAACTTTTGACCACCCCGTCTATCACGGAGGAAATCGTCCTCCGCGGGAACTTCCTCACCAAAGTCATGTCTATTCTGTACACCTTCTTGACAACCAGACAGGTTGAAGAACCTCACGCTGTCAACCCCAATGCAACTTTGGCGTTTGATGCCGGCTCGGTCACAAACAGACGTCTCTATCATTTCTTCCTCGATCTCCGCTACCTCCTCCAGTCCGAATATGTACAGCATCGTGTTCGCACGGAGGAGCAATACCTCCCCCAATTCCTCGATCTCGTCAAACTTTCACAGGGTATTTGTCCCAATGTGCGTGCGGTGGGCGAACATGTGGAGTATGAAACCGATGCCTGGATCAGCGCCTCCATTCTCATGCGCGAAATCAACCGCCTCTGTCAACAGTTCTGCGAAGCTTTCCGGAGCCCTGAGATTGACAATGGAGAGAATTTGCTACGCGCAATTAAGACGACTACCGTCACTGCGGTCCTACACTCAGCTGGTGTTGAGCGCAAGCGCTTCGACCAAGCAGAAATCAAAGACGAGGTCCGATTCAAAACGTTGCAGCCATTTGACTTCGAGGTCGGCGTGTCCGGCCAAATTCCCTGCCACCGGGTCGTCGAATTTGTTGTCGAGAAGGGATCTATTAGTTTCCACCACGCAATTCACTACACCCTGTCGTGGCTGATTGAGTGCGGTCGGGGAATTAGCAGTGACGTGATGCGTCGCACTATCTTTGAAGCTGCAGAGACCGCCAGGGAACATCTTCATGCTGCAAAGATTGCCAACAATCAGCCCATCGACGATAGTCTCCTCGCTCTTGGACCGGAGGATCTTCTTTTGATCATGATTGACTACCCGCTCAGAGTGTGTGCTTGGCTTGCACAAATGAAGGCCGGTATGTGGGTTCGCAACGGTCTCAGCCTTCGACACCAGATGTCCCAGTATCGCGGTGTTTCATCTCGCAACTTCGCCTATTATCGGGACATATTCCTTCTCCAAACCGCGCTGGTCACCTGTGACCCCAGCAGAGTCCTTGCCTCCATCGCGCATCGATTCGGAATTGTTGACTGGATGTTCCGCAATTACGTTCCCCGACCTGGTTACGAGGATTCCCAGATTATTGACGTTGCCGAGGAGTTTGTTCATCTCCTGGTTATCCTCTTGACCGATCGAACTTCTGTCTCTGCAATTGATGACAACGTCCACATGACAAAGGAAACAATCAGTCGCGACATTGCCCACGTCTTGTGCTTCAAGCCTTTGTCGTTCTCCGATCTCTCTACTCGTCTGAACGATAAGTTACAAGACTCGGATATGTTCCAGGGTGTGCTAGAAGAAGTCACTCATTTCCACTTCCCCGAGGGAGTTAATGACTCTGGCAAGTTCGAACTGAAAAAGGAGTATTTGGATTTAGTAGACCCTTATAGTACCCACTTCTCAAAGAACCAGCGTGACGAAGCGGAAAATATTTATAAGGAGTGGATGGCTAAGAAGACTGGCAAGAATGCGTCCGACATTGTGTTTGAGCCGAAGCTTCGACCCATCAGCTCTGGTGTTTTCTCTGATCTTCCTCGATTCACCGGAACTATGTTGTTTGCGCAGATTGTGCACCAATGCCTAGAGTATGTGCTTGTGTCCCAACAAAGCACACCTTCCATCCCGCCGACACGCGTGGAAACCTTCCTCCAAGTTTTGTTGCATCTGATCCTTGCATCAGTCCTCGAGGATGACCCTCGGGATGGTGACATGGAGACCGAACAAGGTAAATCGTTCAACCTCCATGCTCTCACCAAGACTAGAGAGATTGCCGCTGGCCGTTTGACCATTGTGGGTCTTCTGGAGAAGATCTCTGTCACGGGCGAATTTGCTTCGTGTGGTCCCAAGATCCGTCATATCCTCAAGCGACTGTGGCAAAAGCAACCACGAACCTATGCGGCTGCAACGGCCTCCCTCAAATTCCCCTTTGATCGCATAGATACAAATTCCCCAGCCATCGACGTCGACAATGAAAAGGAAGCTAAGAGGAGGCATGCTGCTGAGAGAAATGCAAAGGTTATGGCCCAGTTCCAACAGCAACAGCAAAGTTTCTTGGAGAAGCAAGGCGATATCGATTGGGGCGAAGAGGACTTCAGCGACCTTGAGTCTGATGAGGCTTCCCATGAAACCAAGACTTGGAAATACCCCAGCGGTACATGTCTCTTGTGCCAGGAAAGGTGCCAAGAAGAAACTGCCGATTCGCGACTCTACGGTACCTTCGCAATGATTCAAGACAGTACAATTCTGCGACAGACCGATATCAGGGATGCAGACAGGATCCGTGAAGCCCTCAAAACTCCTTCCAGCCTTGACAGGTCTGCCGAAGACATTCGTCCCTTTGGTGTTGCCGGCGAAAATCGGACCGAGATACGCCGTCTTGATTCGGCCGGTGGTACTGTAATTAGTAAAAAGGTGGGATTGAGCAAAGGCTTCAACCCTCGAAATACCTTGCGAGGACCTGTGACTACCGGATGTGGTCATATTATGCATTTCTCGTGCTTTGATGCCTACAACAACGCGACGCAACGACGTCAAAACCAACAAATCGCCCGCCAACATCCTGAAAACATTGTGCTGAAGGAATTCGTTTGCCCCTTGTGCAAGGCTCTCGGCAATGCATTCCTTCCGATCGTCTGGAAAGGCAAAGAAGAATCTTACCCTGGCGCTCTAAACACTTCCTCATCCTTTGATGAACTGATGAACACTGGGCTGAAGGCGGCCCTTAACCAGTCTCAGAACTATCCTGTTCTCATGACTGAGAAGGAAAAGGCATACCAACAGCCCTACTCTGAATTGTTTAAGGATTATCTATCGAGAACATTGGTCACTCCACTCTCTTCGAAGATATCACAGCTGTTGTCTTCGCCTGTTTTGTCGGGCGGTGTGTCGGGTTATCTGCAATCAACTCGGTCGACTATGCCAGGTCTGTTCCCAGGTACTGAGGACATGTCGCCGTCAAGTCCGCTGCAACAGGCTGTGACCCCTGCTGATGGGCCAATCTTTGAACTCATGAAGATTGTCAGGAGACTCAAGAGTACCATTCAAATGAACCACGTCAACTCCATCTTCAGCAGTACTCCCGAAAACATCAATTCGGATGAATTGGCTCACACAGACTCTTTGATTCGCAGCTTTGGATTGAGTATTGCGGCTGTTGAAATCGCCCAGCGAGGTGTTCAGGCGGATCCCGGGTCGACTCTGCTGGAGACGATTCCTCCTTTGACACTGACTCATTTGCGTGTCCTATCGGAGACCGCACTGACATATGCTGCTGTCGCATGTGTCTCTAGCAACCCGCAAAAGAGTCGTCCGAGCAATGAGTTCCAGGAACTGCACCGGCAAAAGATCTGCCAGCTGCTTGTTGGACACCCTTGTCTTAGTGGGACTCCACTTCTCAACGATGTTAGGAACATCGAACCCCTGCTGGCCATGGATACATTTGTCTTCTTGGCTGAAAGCTCTATCTGCCTGCTTCCAGTTCTTCACATCGACGTTCGTCATCTTATCCAGATGTGCTATGTGGCCGAGATCGTGAAGGTCGCCGTCACTTTCATTTTGTGGCCTCTGGGTCTGAAGGAGGAGCTCTCTAAGCATGGTGAAGACGATCTGCCTGGTGCAAATGTCTCCGGCGAGGGCTATGCAGTTACCAAGCATTTCTTCGATTCTATTGTGGCAGAGCTCAAGGCAAACTCCGTTGGGCGCGCTGAGGGATCATCCTTCCCCGCTGAGAGTGGATACGTCAAGGATGGTGAAGAGTCAGCGACTCCCAACATCATCATTGCACTCCGACGCCTCGTTTCTAATTACGCTCTCACCTTCCTGCGCAAGTCCGTTATCTTGCTTCACGTCCGGCATGGTGTCGATTTCCCCAATACCGGCTTCAACGACATGGATGCGCCAGAGCTGGATCGACTCACGAAGGCTCTGCATTTGCCTACCCTGGACGAAATCTTGATGTCCATCAACCCCGCGCGGACCAGCAACAACCTCTTTGATACAGTGATCTCGGGCTGGATCTTCCACTGGAACGCATCTCGCTCGGGTATCAGATTCGAAGATCACCGTCTCTGGCCTAGTCTCCCCCACCCCGCCATCTTTGAGCTTGTTGGTCTGCCTGAACATTTCGACAGCCTCATCGAGGAGGCAAACCGTCGCCGCTGCCCCAACTCAAAGAAGGAGCTTAGCGACCCGAGCATCTGTCTTTTCTGTGGAGACATCTTCTGCTCGCAGGCAGTATGCTGCATGCACAACAAGCTGGGTGGTTGCAATCAGCATGTCCAGAAGTAAATTCTTATTCCCTCACTAGATCTCCATGTATCAGACCACTAACATACTATCTCCCGAATCACAGGTGTGGCAAGAATATCGGTCTCTTTATCAATATCCGAAAGTGCACAGTTCTCTACCTCCACAACCAAAACGGATCCTGGCACACTGCCCCATACCTGGATCGTCACGGCGAGGTTGACCCCGGCCTCCGCCGCAACCGCCAGCTAATCCTCAATCAGAAGCGATACGACAAGCTTCTTCGCGATGTATGGCTTTCGCACGGTGTTCCCGCGACTATCAGTCGTAAGCTGGAATCAGAGATTAACAATGGTGGATGGGAAACGATTTAACGAAGTCCATAAAAGCGGTGACTAGATCATGGTTTCTCTTTTGATCTAGTAGTATTATATATCTGCTGGCGAACTGGGGTTGTGTTTTTTCTCTCTCATTCCAAGGGATTATTCAGTGTGCTTTATTCCGTCTGGGTGCCTACAAGGTTGAAAGACCTCGGGACTCATCTCGTTATTACTACAGTATTTGTAGCTAGTGATAGTATGCTCCTGCGAGTACCTCCAGGGCTAGTACCATTCATGTACACTGTTTCCTCAAGATTACTTGTATTAATCGAATCTCATCCATACTACCCTTGAGAACTTGAACATCACCTGGGCATGATCTCCGGGTTCTAACTTGGAACCTTCCAAGTTGGAAGGTTTATAATTCTTTATGATACTTCCCTCGGCGCGATGTCCGAGCAAGGATTATGAACTCCGAGATAAACTGTTACTAACTAGGGTATGTACTGCATTTAAATAGCGAACAAGAGTTCCCCAGGCCCAAGCCTGAAATTCATAGGAATTTCATGAAGAGACCAGCGCATGTTCTACCTAATCAATCTTTCTTCCGTCCTTCGAGGACTGACATCACATCCGATACGCTATTCTTGTCGCCCTTCTTCTTCTTAGGCCCACGCTTGCGCTTTTTTGCACCTCCCCTTTCCTGGCCGTCACCATCATCGTCAAAGTCGAGGAGAGGCACATCCTCTTCTTCGCCATCCTCGTTTCGACTTCCACCGAATCCCATATCCATATCTGCCGCATCCATCGCGTCTCGTCGCCGAGCTTCCTCGAGGAATTTCTTTTGTCGGAGAGCGGACTCGCCGGATTCGCCAGAGTCTTCTGCTGAAGGTGATGTTTGTCGAAGAGCAGCTGCTCGTTTCAGAGCAGCCATGATTGTGGGGTCTTTCATGAGAGGGTTGGACCTGTCTTCTGGTTCTTCTTCCATAACAGCATCGGATGTGCTGGTACTGAAATAATTTCGTTTAGCGGGTTGCTTCTCGTCTTCGAGACGTTTCCCGTCTTCTGTTAAATCCTTTCCGTCTGGCTTTTTTCCGTGCTTCACTTTGGTTTCGCCTTCTTCATCTGATGACGAGTCATCGTCGTCTTCGATCCCGGCAAGAGGATCGTAGTCCGCACCAACACCTGCGAAGATATCGTCGTCGTCGTCATCCGGAGTAGCTTTGGCGGCAGCTTTGGCGGCAATTTCGGCAGGCACCTCCATCCCCCAGGGCTTAGCATCCTCGGACTTTGAAGGTTCAGAAGAAGGTGCCGTTTCGCCGGGCTTGTCAATCCAGCGCACCTTACGCTTGGTATTGCCTTGCGCATCGGTAATAACTAGGACCTCCCGGCGCCTACCATTCTCTGCAACCTCCACAAATCGCTTCTTCTCTGGCTTGTCATCCCCAAGCTTCTTGAACCGGGAGCCCAACGTAGACTCTGGCGGTGGACGCGGTGCGGCTCGACTAGCCTTAAGTTCTTTCAGGATCTCGTCGCGAGTCTTCTTGCGCGGCGGGGGAGGCGCCATAGTGCCTTTCTTCTTCTCCTTTTGTTCCTTTGGAGCAGCCGTAGTCTGTTCCAGTCCCTTTTCTTCCATTAACCGCTCGAACTCCTCTTCAGCCATCTCAGCAGAGAGGGGTTCTTCCCGCGGTTCTGGCTCCGGTTTCTCAGCTGTCTGAGATATGTCCTCGCCAGCTTTGACTCGCTTGAGAAGCGTCCAGTCCAGACCCTTAATCATATGTGTGCTCCCGACATCACCGCCAACGCCGAGCTCCGTACAGAGCTTGTCGAAAGTCGCTTGGTCGATTTGGCCTAGTTTGACCATTTCCTCCAGCGCTTTGACGCGCTTTTGGAGATCATCTGGGTTCTCGTCTTCGGCATTGCGCTGTTGTGCGCGATCTTGATATCCTTCTGGCAGCTTGCTTCCCTTTGGCGCGGCGGAGGACTTGAATCGCTTGCTTGGTCGGTCGTCGGTTTCGCGGCGTTGCTCGGCGAGTTGGCGCGCAAAGTCTACACCAGTCACGGAGCGTCTGGTAGTGCATCAACCTGTTAGTTCACAATATACCAATTCGGTTCTCGGGAGGTGACGTACGGGGTCATGGGGATGCTGGAGCGCATTCGCGAACCCAGGAGCCCACCGGGGGTTGCGCTGCCGGGAGCTGCATTGCGAGCTGGGGTGCTGGACTTTTCGGCTGAACTTGAGGATGATTTCCCCGCCAGCATCCGACGGAACTGCTCATTATTCATTATTGCGATGTTGGACTCGCTCAGAGCCTAGAGTTGAGTATGGAGGGACCTCGGGGGAGGTCGAATTTGAAAGGGCTTGGCGGGCGATAAGAACGGTTATCACAGCGGCCCGCAGGGTAGCCCCGGGTCCAAGGGCAGTTACACGGTATACGATACGAGTAGATCGAGTTACTATCGTTTAGATACTCCATTATTTACGTTCAGTTGCATGAAATTTTATGTGGGTCATGTTTAAAATATCATTGATATCAACAGATTTTTGCGGGCCAGCCATATAAACCTGATCAACCTAACTACTACACTACTATAGAGCTGGGCCCGTGCGTCTAGCACTGAGGTGAGACGGGCCATCATCTGTAGTTGCCCGCTTCACTCACTCTTTCGAACTATACCATATGGGCATACATCGGCCGGCCTGGCCATCTGCTCTACCCATTCATTTCTCCTTTAGATGCAACACATTTTCAGCACTGAGCCAACCAGTCATGGCCGAGGCCAAGCGTGACGCCTCCCGGTCCAACCCCCAACCTCGGAATCAACGTCCAAAGAAGAAGCCGCCTCTAACACATTTCCTGTGCCTGCCTCTCGTGAATGAGGCCTCTCTCCCCCAGCTTGAGGCATCTGTCGCCACATTCAAAGCAGATTATCCGCCTGTGCCGGTGGCAGAATTGCCTCACAGCCAAGATCCCGCGGTTCAGCAAGACATCTCGCGTCCGCTCATCCCCCATGGCGCCCTGCGTCCACTGGGAACTCTTCACCTGACTCTAGGTGTTATGAGCCTTGCAAAAAAGGATCGTCTCAGTGAGGCTTTGACGTTTTTCCGCTCCTTGGACCTACGCGCTCTGATGCGCGAGGCGGAGCGCGTGGCTGGTGACTTGCGGGCCACGAAATTATCCTCAAAGGATCTCCGTGGCGTGAACACGCCTTCTGAATCTTGCCCTGCGACCTTCAGTCATTCAAATAAATTCATGATCTCCCTCGAGTCCCTTCATGCCTTGCCACGTCCTAAGACGGCGACGGTCCTACATGCTTCTCCCGTTGACCCCACTGGTCGCCTATATCCATTCTGCATTATGCTGCGGGATAAATTCATCGAAGCCGGATTTATTGTAGGAGAGGGTGAAAAGCAGTCAGACACGAAGAACACTGCCTCGAATAAAGATGCCCAGCCTTCCTCTACCTGTCCAGATCTGGCGGCTGAGGACATTGTTTCACATAAACAAGAGGAACGTCGCGAGGGACACCCCATAGTGACACGAGAACCGAAATTGGATCCATATGCGACTGCACTCGCACGCAAGCCAAAACCTCGACCCCTATTACTACATGCTACGCTAGTTAACACAATCTATGTCCGCGGCCGGCCGAAAGCAAGACGCGGAGATGGTCCAAACCACAAGGGTGGACCTAAGCGCATCGAATTCGACGCTAGACATCTGCTAGCCAGGTATCGCGATTACTATATCGATGAAGCTCGGGCAATGCCTCGCAACTTTTCGGACCTTATCCACCATGACGAAAATGCCAGGGGTTCTGCAGGCCAGATCCCGTTTATTTGGGCGGACAAGATCCCCGTCGATTCGATCTGTATCTGTGAGATGGGCGCTAAGAAGCTCGATCTTGATGATGCTGCCATGGCAGATCCAGCGAGTGCCCTGTGGAGTGCGCGGCTAGGAGAGAAGTACACTGTCGTTGCGCAGCGGAGTATTGGCTCAACAGGAGCGTCTAGTAGGCCGATCAGCCAGGGGAGTGTTGACGGGGGTGTCAAGTTGCGTTGATATTGGCTCTCCATGCTTTACACGATGAGAATATCCATGTTATAGTCGGCTTCATTTCTATTATTCATGCTCTTAGGCGACTTGCAATATAATTGAAGACAATACACCTCAAGCCCGCTTGAGGTGGTGGAAATGGTATAATGCCCAAACAAACCAAGGCTACGGGCGCTTCTCTTCCAAAGGTTGTTAGCCTTCACGAGAGAAGAAAGACCTCATCCTTCTGCAATTGATAAAATGCAGACAAAGATGAGTTGGCTCTGAATAGCAGAGGCATCATTATCTCACACGGCTCATTATAGTCTCCATGCCACGCTCAACAGACATCTCAGCCGCCTTGGCCTTGACAGCACTGAGCATACTGCGCTCAAAGTCATCGCGGTCACGCAGCACCGCCTCCACCCATGACAACTGGAGATCCCAATACTCGAGTTTGAAAGACTCGTAAACATCGACAATGGGCTGGCCCTTCTCGGTCTCGAGCAAGCGAACCAACCAGTTGACAAGTCGCCACTTTTGCTTGATCGTGGCTTCGAAAGAATCTTCGTATTTCTGGAAGAAGGCAAAGACTGTAAGGACGTCGTCCTTGAATTTCTCCGTGAAGGGATCGACAAAGCGGCGGAACTTGACGCCCCGGTTGCGAACCGAAGACAGATACCGCACTAGCAATTCATCTGAAAGTTCCTCGACCAAGATGTCCACCAATGAAGGATGCAGTACTGGCGAGTAATCGGCCATGTAATCATCAAAAGTAGAGGTGATACGCTTGATCGCGTACTCACCGTACCATTTCGCAGTGAACAGCTCCGGGATAACAGTAGGAAGATCCACGTTAAACACGATGTCGACAAATTGTGACAGACAATGTGTACTCAGATCGACGTAGCCATCACGCAGGGCATCCAGCTCGGAGCCGGCGCGCGTTGCCATGTACTTTGGTGTCACCAACGGCTCGATGTCGCGCTTGAACCTGGTCAAGTATCCCATCTGGCCAGTTTCTTCGTTGTCATCGATACAGGCAATCTGGTCATTGGCCACGCCGACTAGCCAGTCCTGAAGTATTTGAACGCCCTCTGGCTGGTCATTACTGGGGGCCTTATTCTTGGCGCACTCCTCGTCGAGCAATGCCTGCCACGCGCTCTGTCGAGCCTTTAGCGCCCGGAACATGGCATCGATGACACCTTCAACCACATCTGCTCGCTCAGAGGCCCCTGCAGCCACAACCTGCTCGTGCAGCATGCGCCACATATCTCCAATGGTTTTCGTACGGAAGTACCCATCGGAGTTGTTCTCCAATGCGTCTGGTTGTCGCTCGATGAGCCCCTTCTTTTCAGTGTCGAAGATACGTTCCATCCATTCTTCCACGGCGCTGATTATGACACTCTGCCATTGGCGGACCAATTCTGGCTCACGATCATCCAGTAAATTAGGTTGGAGGTCAGTTGGGGCCCAGCCAAGCTTCTTCATCTTCTTGTAGTATTTCTCGCTCCAGTGGATGATCTTCAACAAGTTGTCCGCAGGAACCTCAGGGTCGTCAATCATCCCAACAAGGAAATCATGCATCATTCGGTGATAGATATCGGTATATGTCTTGTAGATCTTCCACTTCTTAGGAACAAGGCTCTGCATGCCTTTTTGCACCGTGAAGAGGTCGTTGAAGTACCAACGGAAACTCTTCTCAAGGTGGTCAGGATCACCTAAGAATTCTTCCTTTGTGTTTTCGAATTGATTTTGGGCGTAGAATTCGACCGCTTGCAAGAACTTCTCTTTGTAGCCCCGAACAGTCTTGGGGCCGATGTTCATAGATTTGAAGCGGCTCGCGAGGTCTTTGTGATCCTTTTGAGCCTCTTGCAAAGCACGTACAGTATCATCGTTCTTCTCTTCGTTAAGCACAACGACGGCCAGCCGAACGACCATGCTCTTATTATCTTCTTGCACCAACGGGATAATATTCATGCACGCGGTACCCAGATGATCATCGAACCAATCAATAACCGAGTCCAATCCTTGGAAGTATTCTGTCAGAGTCTCCTCGCCGCTGTTGTCCTGCGCCTTGCGAATCTGATCCATTGCCTCATCACGGAAATCTCGTAGACGAGAGATCTGCATATGCGCCTTGAGCAGGTTTGGTTGATTCTCCAGATCATCGTCATCCTCCCTTAAAAGGTCCTCCACTTCCTGGATATCCGCATTGAAATTCTCCAGTCCCTTTTTCATCATCAATGTAGCGTCGAACTGCCGTTGAATGCTAGCCAGCTTATCGATTTGTGCGAAATCCTCCACGCTATCCTGTGATTCTGCGCATAGCTTGTCGATGCCTTGAAGCTCATCTTTGGTCTTCGAGACTTGTCTTTGTCCCTCAGTCAAAATACCAATACTCCGCTGCACGGCTTCGAGCTGATCGCGAAGGCCCTCCCGAAGTCGAGAGTCGACAGCGGCCTTCTTTCGCTGATATTCGGCCTTCAGTCCACCGATCTTGTCCAGGTCTTCCGGGTGGCGCAGGAGATCCTCCAGCTGAGGCATGACGACCGTGCCATCGGTGTTGCCGCCGTTCTGCGCCATGATGACGGTGGCCTTAGCGGCGAAGGGCGGACGGTTGTGGTTGTATTCGCGATCGGATTCGGTCTTTTAAAGCACCTCGAGCTGTTGGAAATCAGTCGGCCTTGAAACGACAGTTACAGATAGTGCACTCAAAAAGGGTTGTCAAGGAGTAGGTGTTCAATGGGGGGGAATGGCGGGTTCCCCCATGTATTTCCGTCCCCTCGGGTCCCAAAGTAGTTGCGGAGCTGCCAGCCCACGGCAGAAATGCTGATCCACGTGATACACCGCCCTTGATTTTGCGGCCCGCGCATCTGCGGATCTCGCGATTGTCAACGACAGACCATCCTCGCTCTCTGGGTAGACTCATACCGCAAGATTGAGTCCTTCACCAGTCAATTACTCCTCATTTGAACACCTTCCTGCCGTCCATCGGCCATTTTCGAAGCAGAGATCAATTGCATTTCTCCGCGAAACCTTTCGAACATCCGACACATTCAACAGCACTCCTCGGACGCATTTCCCGCATACCAACATCCTCCTATTCGTCATTTCCCTCAAAATACCTTCAAAATGAGCTTCTTCCGTGTCACCCTTCTCCGTTCCGCTATCGGTCTTCCTCGTCGCTCAACAGATGTCCTCAAGGCCCTCGGCTTGAAAAAGCGTATGGCCACCGTCTTCCACGCCGTCTCTCCGTCTGTGGCGGGTCAAATCATGAAAGTTAAGGAGCTTGTTTCTGTGGAGGAAGTCGATCGCCGCCTGACGAAGCAGGAAGTGCATTTGCAGCGCAAGCCCGATCCTGGCTACTATGTTGAGAAGAGGGCTGAGCAGGAACGAAGCGAAATCAATGCACAGTAAGATGGGACGCATCTCGATTCAGCCAAGCATGATGTCTTGATAATCATGGCTGCGATTGATATTTCCTTTTTCCCTCTGCCATTGCTGATGTGGTTTGGATACCTGGACCACGAGGGAGGTGGTCTTTTCTTCTGTTCTATTACCTTTCTTTTTTCTGTCAAACTTTTGCATGGAGCGGGCTTTTTTCATGTCATGTACTCTACGTCCACTTATCGCGCTTACTGTACTATACCGGACACTATTTCAATATACTCAGAAGAAACAAAATATGTGCAATTTGAATTATGGATAAGTGATAAAAAGCGCCGGCCGTTTTCGCGTGCGCTGAGAAGGCTTCCTAAAAATACCGCAAACGCCGCTGTGCCAACAAGTGCAAGCCATTTTTTGCTAACAAGAGAGCTTGCAAGCAAGGAAATCAAGGCCAGGAGCGAGGATTCGTTGATGATATACAGTAGACGAGTCCTTAAACGTGTTTAGGCTTTATAGAGGGTGTCGAGGAAGCCCTCGGCCAGACGGCTGACAATGCTCTTGTCAGGGATGCTGCCGGCAACCCCGTAAAGAGCAGAGGTATCACCACGCTTCAGGATATAGCTCTTGCCTTGGCGACGGCGCTCTTCGGCTTTCTCAAGCTCCTTATCAATGACAGTGACCAAATCAGTGGTGAGGGCATCAACGGCCTTGGCAGTAGGAAGGGTGAAGGCACAATGCAAAGCCGCGGGGGACTGGAGCGCATTAAGGTGCCAGCCCTTGGAAGAAAGATCGTCGGCAATATCATAGATGTCGATGGCTCCGTTCTTGCTTCGGAAGGCGACAACACTGACCATGGGATTTCCTACAACCTCCATATGAAGCGAAATCACGGGGTGTCCGCGCACGGCGGACTCAAATTTGCGAGCAGCATTGATAATCTCAGTGCAGCTGTTGATATAGCCGGCTTCACCAACGTTCATCAGACTAGCCCAGCAGCCTGCGATCAAGGCACCAGGACGAGATCCAGCCACAGAGGGGGAGGCGTAGACACCACCAGACCAATCCGGGTAGATGAAGTACTGGTAGCTGCGGTAGGCCTTGCTGCGATAGAGCAGAACCGAGTTACCCTTGGGGGCGAATCCATATTTATGAGTGTCAACGCTGATGCTAGTCACGCCAGGTTGACGGAAGTCGAAACCGCCTTCTTCCTCGTAAGGAGAGGGGAAGCCGGCCTTCTTGAGAAGTGCGACAACGAAAGATCCCAGACAACAATCAACATGAAGGGGAATTTTGTATTTGGTAGCAAGGCGAGACAGGGCAGGAATATCATCGACAATGCCGTGGGGGAAGTTGGGAGCCGATCCAACAAGAAGAACGGTGTTGGGATTGATCAGACGACGGACTGCGTGGACATCGACCTTAAACTCGGGTTCAGGGCAGGGGACACGGTGCAGTTTGATCTTGAAATAATCGCAGGCCTTGATGAAAGCCGCGTGTGCTGTATCGGGAATGATCCTATGGCGAATGAGCAACTGCGCGTTTACATCCACTTCAAAGACAAAATCGAGACTCACATTTCGGGCTCGGTCACACCTCGCTCATAAAAGGCCTTTTGCCGGGCTCCCAAACAGGCCATGATAATAGACTCAGTGCCGCCACTGGTGGTGACACCGGCACCATCAGCAGGTCCATTGAATAAGTTGAGAACCTGCATACAACATTAGTTGATCCGTTCGGCTAATATTAAAACTTTGAACGGATAAGATGCGTACCATCGCAACGACTTCAGCTTCCATCTTTCGGACTCCCGGGAAGACATCCGGATGGATCGGGTTTGCGACACCGAACTGGCCAAAAGCCTCGGCTTGAAGCTTCAGTAGATCCTCACCACCATGATACACCGCACCACTGACACGGCCATCCTCCCAGCGCGTGTGCTCAAGACCGGACAACTTGTTGAGCTCCTCCCGGATCTTATCTGCCGACCAACCTTCCAAGGGGAGAGTCAGGTAGCGGTTCACATCTGGTCCACTCTGCACGAGCTTAGACTCGAGGTTGGTGATGGCAGTGGAAACCTGTTTGTCGACCTGGCCGCGCACGCCGGGGGTGCGGAGGAAGATGGAGTAGCAGAACAGACGGATGGCGACGTAGACATTGCGGATACTTCCGAAGAGGCCGTAGCCGCGGAGCGAGTAGAAGGTTTTGCGCGTATATCGGAAGATGAACAGAATAAAGACGATATTTCGTAGGCTGTTTGATTCCAGATAATGTCAGATCAAGATCAAAGAGAATGTTCGGCCGCGGGAACGAAGGCACGTTCGAGGCCACTTACAGGTCCAGGTTCACGGCGGACAGATGGGCACTGGACGCCCGGCCATAGCCCAGCAGCTTATTCTGCAAAGCGACTGGAAGTGCCGCGGAACTCATTGTATCCCTAACGATAAGAAGAGAGACAATAAGGATATGTTGGAGAGGGACCTGGGGAGAGCGGAGAGCGTAGAGCGGAACAGGACGTTAAGTAAGGTCCGTTCCCCGTCCCGTCGTGGCGCAACATCCTGCCGAGGTTCTACCACATGACGAGCACTAACAAGTAAACAGGTTAGTAGTACTTTCAGTGTCTCACTATAAGTATAGTACCCTCATTAAAAGGTGGCTTCGGTTAAACTTGATGCCCTTATTCTCTTTTCCCCCTTGCAAGAAGATCTTCGCTATTCAATTGTTACAAATAAGTACTAGTATGATATCATGGCCAACCGAACAACATAAGTTCTATCGTATCTCAGCGCCTAAATATCACAATCCCTCTAGATTCGGTGGCCAATTTTACTTGCATTAACTGCCATATATAATCGGTCACGGCGGTATTAAAGCATAAAAACGAACAAAGTAATGAAACAACGTATGAATTGCCATAGAGGCTGCTGCGCTTATGTACAAGATAGAGAGGAACTCTCCGCAAACACCACCCCCATCAATTCCTTTTTCGGGTCCCAGCAGAATCCAAAGGAAAACACTTTTATCGAAACCAGTAGAAAAAGAAAGTCTTAAAAAAAAAAAAAAAGGAGAACACATAAAAGAAAAGTCCCAAACATAAATCACATCAAATCGTCTCATCCAAATCTGAAAAGGAAAGTCCCACGCGCGGAAAAATAAAGTGGCACACGGTCCCGGGGAAAGGAGGTATAAAGCTCCCCAGTTCCGAGTCCCCCCATGCTCAAAAAACAGTCATATGCAAATGAATCTTCTCAACGTCCTGCGAGAAGGAGTTTAGTTGACGGGGAGACCGGCAGCCTGGGCCTGGACAAGCTCCTTCTCCTTGGCAGCGAATGCGGCCTGCTCCTCGGGCGACAAGTCCATGAGGGGCTTGTCCTCGCCAGACTTGAGGTTACGGTGGTAAGCGCGGATGATGGAGTCAGCGTCATCGACGGCGATGGGACGGATATCAGCCAGAGCCTTGATCTTGGCAGTGCACTCCTTGCACTGGGCGTCAGTGAGGTCGATCTTGAGCTGCTGGGCACGCGACTTGATGGCGTTCCAGCCGGTCAGACGCGAGGCGAAGTGCACGTAGCGGGTCATGCCGAAGTCGGCGGGGTTGATGATCTCGTAGGTGCTGGGGTTGTTCAGGATAGCCTTGGCGTGGATACCGGCCTTGTGGGTGAAGGCGCAGAATCCGGTGATGTAGTTGTTGAAGGGGATGTTGACCTCGACGGCCTCGGCGACCAGGTCCTCGATGTCCTTGAGCTTCTCCAGCTTGTACTTGCTCTTGACGTACTCGGGGTCGGCCACCATCATGCGGGCCATCAGGCCACCAAGAGGGGTGATACCGTTGCGCTCACCGATACCGAGAACGGAGGTATCGATATGGGTGGCACCGGCCTCAAGGGCGCAGTAGGCATTGGCGATGGCGCAGCCAGTGTCGTTGTGGAAGTGAGTTTCGATATCGCAGCCCACGACACCGCGGAGAACACGGACGAGCTCGTAGACTTGGCGGGGGGGAGGCACAGCCGACGGTGTCGGCGATACCAACACGCTGGACACCGACCTTGTCGACGGCGGAGTAGATGGAGAGAAGGTCGACCAGGTCGGAACGGAAGGAGTCCTCACTGGAGAAACGGATCTCAATGCCCTTAGACTTGACGAATTCGATAACTTCAATGGCGGCGTTCTTAATGTAGGTCATGTCCTTGCCGTGAGAGTGCTCACGGAGGTAGGACGAGGTACCAATGACGACATCGCTGTTACCAGGTCAGTATGGGTCGGATTCCTTGCGTGAGTGTCTTCTGTGGAAGTTGTAGGTGACTCACACTCCGTCGACACCGGTCTCAACGGCAACACGGGCATCATCCATGTGGCAGCGAATGTGAGTGAGGATCTTAGCCTTCAGGCCGAGCTTGCAGATGGCCTCGCAATCGGCACGGGACTGCTCCGAGGCACAGGGGGAGGTAAGCTCGATCTATTCAAGCCATGCTGGGTTAGTCTCGCCGTTTTCTACAAGATTGAACATCCTCTGCATATTTTCTCTGCAGATCCATGACTCACGTAGTCAACACCGAAGTCGTCAAGAGCCCTGGCGATCTCAATCTTCTTCTCAGTGTCAAAGAAGGCATTGGCGAACTGCTCGCCCTCACGGAGGGTGCTCTCAATAATTTGGAAGCGGGAGACGTTGCTCAGGAAGTCGGTCACGCCGACGTTGTGGCCGTAGGGATTGCGGGTGGCGGGGTGGGGGTTTTGGCGAGTCTCAATGCCGACAAAACCGGGGTGGTCGCCTGTAGTACAGCTGTTAGAATGCCGAGTTCTTGAGTGGTAATTGTATAACGAATAACTAGGTTATTCTGAGGAAAGTTTCACGAGACCTACCATTGGCAGCGGCACCATTTGCGACGGCGGGGGCGCCATTGGCCTCGTGGTCAGCGCCAGGGCACATTGTGGATGGATATGGAGAGGTGGGGTGGAGGGTTGGAGGGGAAGATGCGAAAGAGTAATTATTCACGAAGGGACGTGAAAGAGGAGAACCCAAAATATAAAGCAGTGGATATTTATGATGGAGTGAAGGAGAGAATAAGAGTCATACAGTCGTTGGTAGGGCAGTGGGGTTCGTTCAGTGCGTAGTAATCACGATTACTCTCCTCGTCTCGCAGGCGGCAAATGGGGAAGAAAAAAAAAAAAAAAAAAACTCGCGGGTTACCCGGTAGTCACCAGTCAAGTGGGGGCCCGCTACATTCTACTTTTTGCTCGCCGGCTTCGCTTTCGAATTCATGACTCAATTGGATCGGCATTACTCGTACGCCCTTAACTCCTCTTGTACTGTGCTGCATTCCATTCCTGGTGCCTTTGGCTTTTTAGATGGAATACATGTAGATTTTGCATCATTGTTCCTTCCTCACTTATTGTTACTGGTGCTCATCTCTTGCCTCTCCCGCTGCATTCCAATTGATCTGCTGGCAACCGACATCGGCCTGGCGGGGTTGGACTTGCCCGGAATTTCTCATAGTAATTCACTCCATCACTCAGTATCTCAGGTCCATCCATACCATACTGGTCTATGGTACTCCATAGTACCTGACGTACCCCAGTTAGGGCTTATCTTGAGTTCTCTAGCATATGCCTCAAGGTGCACCACCCCCCCCCCCTCATCTGTAGGAGCTCGACTCCTCTACGTCATACATAGCGATCAACCCCAAATTTGGTCTGACTATGACCAGGCCATGAATTACAGACAAGACCACAAATCAAAGATTGGTTTGGCTCCATTGTGGAGCTTTAATGCTCTTCATGTATCTCCCTATCTTCGCAGGCCAAGGCTGGTTTTCGGAGGTGCCCGCATGTGAAGTACTCTACTCGTACTTGATTAGTGTGAGGTTTGCCACATGACAAAGCAGTGTCGATCTAGACTGGAAATGGAGATTGGTATTGGATCAATTAGATCAATTGGATCAATTGGATCAAAGAATTTCGACAATTACAGATACGGACACAATCAATAGCACAAATGAAAATTGTGAGATACAGCATGACCCAATCGAGCATTAATTAATTCACGCCGTTCTTTGCATACATAAGCCAGTCTTGCCGCTGCAGATCAGCCAACCATTACTAGCACCTTTTTAAAATGCCGAACTATACCCGAGTACAAAATAGTACTAGTTATACCCCAGGACCTACGATTTGGTCTTTTGGTCTGTACCCGACAGGATAACAGCCGGACAATTCCTGACCACAGTACCATAGGACCAGGTGAGAACGCCGCGTCTAATCCGAAATAAGCCTAGCCAGGGGCAGACTACGGCGCACACGATTCAAGTTGTCAGAAATGTCACCCATCCAATTAAAAAAGCTAATAGTTCTTGAAACGCCATCAATATGGTGCCCGCATTGAACTCAACCAGGTATCTTCTGGAAGCAATGCCAGGTCAACCTAACTGCATCTGTTCCCGTCAAATAGCCAGCCGCTCACTATGTACAACCATACCCAAAGTCGAACAAAATCTCTAGTTCGCACTGCCGGCGGGAGCAGCAGCAGGGCCACGGTTAGCGCCGACGTTGCCCATGCGACGGCCCCTAAATCAGATTTCGTATTAGTATCGATGTTGGAAGGGTAAGATGAGGAGAGGAGTCCGTGACGGAATACACCACCAAGGGGGAACTTACATAAAGGTACGGCTGAAGAAGCTGATACCGATCATGAACATCCAGCTGGGGATGGCGCCGATGCCGTAGATGAAGTAACCGAAGGGCAGGGTGAGGTTGTACTTGGCGACCCAGCCGTCGGTGGGGTGGAAAGCACCCTCGTAGGCGGGAACGTCCAGGAAGGTCTTCTTGGAGTGGATCTCGTAGAGCTCCTGGGGAGTGACGGTGGTGGTGTTCATGTAGAGAACGTGCAGGGGCGAAGGGAGGCGCTCCTGGTCGGCGGCCTGGGCCTGGGGAACCTGGTAATAGTAGACGGAGGGGGCACCGGAGGACCAGGCGGCGCAGAGAACGCGCTCCTGCTCGCAGTCCAGCAGACCGAGGTTGGGGGCGGTAGGATCGGCAGAGAAGAGAAGGACGGATTCCTGGATGGATGGATGGATGGGTTAGCAAGGGAGTCCTCGATGGTGGTGCAGGGAGAGTCGCGACGCGCTTGGTGCTTACCTTGAAGGCCTTATCGGCGCGATCACAGCGACCGAAGCAGGTCTTGTTACCACCAGTGATGAAGATGAACCAGTCCTCCTCCTGGGTGCCGGGGGTCAGGATGGACTCCCAGTTCTGAAGGGTCACCGGAGTGACACTCTTCTCGGAGATTGACTCGGCCAACTTCTCAATGGGGGCGGCGGGGACGGCGGTTGGCACGTAGGCCTTGGCCTTGTTGAACCATCCTTGAACACGGTCGGCCAGGGGGACCTGCTCCTGCGCCAGGGCGACGGCAGGGAGGAGGGCAACAAGCGAAGTGAAACGCATCTTGATGGCTGCGACGCGTGTTAGTGGCAGGTAAGCGGGAGGGGAAGGTGGAGGGAGATCAAGGGGATGATAGAGATGGAAAGAAGAAAAGAAGAAAAGAAGAAAAGAAGAAAAGAAGAAGTCGAATGATACGGACCTTAATGGTAGATTCAATGCAGCGGCACCCGAGGGATAAGGAGAGAAGGGAAAGGAAGCTGGAGATTGGCAATGGCAAATGGCACTGGCATTGGCAGCTCCACGCGGATCAGGCCAGCTTGCGACTATCGCCCGGTCCAATCACATCCCTCCCGTTGGCACGCGGGGGGGAATCCACTTTGTAGGCATTACTCGTAGTATACTTCATAGTATACTTTATCACATCCTTCACTACTAGAGAATGATCTTCTTGATTTCTTGATTTTGAAACTGGACACGATAAAACATCAGGGGCATACCGCCATGTGCCTAACTTTGCTGGGTCCCCCACTCTTTCTTTCTTTACCTCCCTCTCTTCTCATCAGGGTTTGTAGGGAGGAGGAGCAACATAAGCGGGCGATGGAAATTCCATATCGACTGAATCATCTGTCAATGTGTCTCTTTCACGTCTTGGCGGTGGATAATGGGGTCCATGTTGCGACGCCCCGACTTGGAAATCCCCTCTGTGGTATGAATGAACCGGCTGGGGACGAGGAAGTTCTATTATGAAACCCATAGTCTCTAGCGCGGCTGTGGGTGGTACTTGTGAACGCGGTGAAGGAGCTGGAGTAACTGATGTTCGTTGCTGATATCCCTCGAGCTCAAAGGAGCTATCGATGCAACGGCCTTTGTACTTGGCGATCACTACCCCGAGTGCGACAATGGCAAAGCAGACCATCATTGCCGAGATAACAGCCCCTGCGAGTATTTTATCGTCCGGCATGTCAGTCTCAAGCTTGTCTGTTCAGTTCATGTCAGTGTCTTCGTTTTATCATCGCACAGGGCCAGTGGTAGACGTTCAATCACTTGCCTTTGTGAGTGATTGTGGTTCCTAGGGTGAGATTTCGATCAATCGATCCTTGATCAACAAAGTTTCAGGATATTAATGTGCTCGGTGAAACTGGAATAAAAGGCATCTCAGATGGTGTGGTCGTAGATCTCTGGATGAGCACGGCTGTAGGTTATGCTTTCTATCCACGAGGGTGCTCGTCCAGTGTGGTTACGGTCGACAGCTCCCAGTGAATTTGTGGAGGTTGTGGTCATGGAAAGTAGAAGGGTGGACGGCAGAGAGGACAATCCAAGCCAAACTGTTTGGTTTGGAAAAAAAAGAGAAAATTAAGAAAGAAATTCTATGTCCGAATTTAATTGCATATATCCCCTTAATACAATTCGTTCCCTCAACTCGGAGTGGAAAATTTGTCTGCGACTATTCTCACTTTGATGAAGTCTTTTGACCTTCTTGCAAGACAATCCGCCCAATCCAACTCCTTTCCCGGTGCTGGGTAGTCCAACTCCATATCGAACCGACTGAAGAAAAGTGCCATTGTGACGTAAATTTCCAAGTACGCCAGGCTGCGATGAATCGCTGTATCAGCCATCTACTTCCCCAAGCCGTGCAACACACAGAAAACTTACTTCATTCCGATGCAGCTTCTTTTCCCTTTGCTGAAAGCAACGTTATATCTATCAAGCTCGACGCTGTTTTCAGCTAGCCACCGGTCTGGGCTGAAAATATCTGGATCAGGAAATATCGTCGAATTATGATGCATCGAGTAGATCGTGCTCGATACGACGGTCTACATTATGTCATTAGCGCCGAGGAGTTTTGGAGCAGTTGAAGTGACATACACCCCCAGGAAGAAAGGTCCCCTTGTATTCTACCCCTCTAGCGGGGACCGTTCGAGGAAGTCGTCCCGGGATAACAGCGCTCAACCGCAGTCCTTCTTTTATTACTGCAGTCTGTGACAAATGTCAGTTTGCACGAGACTACTATAAATCCTTCCTCAATAGACGCACCAAATAGGGTAAATCTCGGACCTTCTTCCAATCGTACCCTTCTTGGATCGAAATATTGGCATTTCGTAGCTCGTGTTGTAAGCGCCTGTGAATTTCGCGGGAAGATAGAACCTTGTGAAAAGTATACATCAACATCGTAGATGTCGTATCCACACCCGCAAATACAAACGTATTGGCTTGGTCAATTAGCCATTCGCGATCTGCTGCGCTGACATTTTGGTTGGGTGAAGGGTTCAGAGCATCGATGATCGTCGACTTGCCATCTTCCACGCTGGAATTCCTGCTATTTTTCAAAGTGCCATCGACCCACTCTCCGCCTTGCTATAATTCAAATTTAGCGCGATCAGCAAGTTGGAGGTGAGCCTCCTACATTTTTGAAGTATGTCAGTCCCGGGAGCAAAACCTTGAGCAACCACTTCGGTAGTCTATTCAGGTATTCCGCAAGATACGGAATATGCACAGCTGAAAATAAAAGATATCAATCAATTGTGGTGCCGGAATTTGTAACATATCAAGCTTACTGAACCAAAGCCCCTCCAAGCACATGTCAAGAACATTGAAAAGTTGTGATGCATCCTCGGGCCGTTTGACGAAATCAGGAGCGAACCCGAAGCATAAGTTGCAGATGATATCGGTCTAATCAAGAAGCATCTAGTCAGGACTCATTGATGGATGACCCAGTGATCCAAAGAGCTCATTGAATAAATACCGATATACTCCGAATTGTATGGAACAGATTGATCTCTTCGCCTCTTTGAGAGTGGGCTGCAACTTGATCGGAAGCATGCTTGGTGGTAGAATAGGCCTTCTCCACCATTACCCCCCCAATCTCTCGGTGCGACGATTGCATTTGCTTTGCTCCGCATAGATCGGGCGGATTTGGTGTCAGCGCTCAAAATTGAATGCGGAACCCCTAGTTTAGAATAGAAATCTGGATCTTTATCAAATCCTGGACCGACGTTATAAATCCTATTTTATCTTTAGTTTTGCAGCGAGATAGCACATATTTTTCAAAACTCAACTTGAAGTAGAAGTCGGGGTCCTTGATGTGAACGTGGTTTGGTGAAATGCGAATAATATCAGTATCTAGAAAATTAGTTACAAAGCCCTGTGGTCACGAAAGCGTACTCACTATACTCCTGATGAATTCTGTCAATAGCTCGAGCAGTGTCCCCATCGCGAAAAACATCTTGCCACATCTGCCACAGACTAGAGACTGCTGCTAACCGTGGCCGGGGACCGAGGCAAGGGGGTGAAACCACCATCGCCACGTCAAAGCTTGCAGTAATCGAGCGATCAAAATAGTTCCCGTTGTATAGAACAGCAAACTAGGTGAAAGGGTAATGGAATCCAAACTCTTGCCAACATACCCGGCGAACATGTTGCTTGGCGAATGAAATGTTCACAATTTCGAAGCACAGCAGGTCTACGATTAGGGCGGGCGGGGCTTTCTACTGAGTAATGGCAAAATTCTCTGTGTGTTTACTATTTAACCCAATCGAAAATGCGCACGTTCCTTGTGTTCTTAGCCCACGCATTTGTAGAATGCTGACTATTGGCCTGCAGGTAAATATGGATCATATCACGATCGTGCATGAGCGTCCCGCGCGTTATGGGCACCTCCACATTGACCTAATCACCAACTCCACCTTGGCAGTGTTGTGAACATGAAATTAGGAAAAGATTTGATCTTGGAAAATATGACACTTTTGTACTAGAAGAAATAGGATGTTCGACCATGGGAATATTGGACCATGGGAATATTGGAGTCTTTCAAAGTTGTTTGTCATTATCGAAGTCCACGCTAGTTATCTGTGGTTGCACTGCATAAACGCCATGCGACCGGTGCGTCATGTCATACTAGCGAAGGTATACGAAGAGAAGCATAATAATGAACTTAGCAAACCATCACAAACTGATTTTTGGAGAGCTGAGGATCCATTCTAAGTGTATACGAAAACTATTAATTCAACACCGAAAGGTATTGACTATCGAGATCTCAATCACTACCACTCCAAGAGACGATATGATTTCGACTGGCCGTAAGGATGATTCTCCCTATAGTTATCAAGTCTTCTAATCTCAGGACTGAAATGGCTAACTTACGCAGAGCTCTAAGTTCATTGGCTCATTTCGGCGCCAGCCTCACCTAAATGCGAGTGAAAAATCAATCGCAGATGCAATTCTCGAGCCCTTGTACGACTCGGTAATTCTATGGAACGACTATTACTCTTGGGAGAAAGAGCGCGGAGTGCAGATGGAACGTCTCATGAACTGCGTTTCTTTCTTCATGAAGTGGTATTCGCTATCTGAAATAAATGCGAAAGAAACTACGAAGGCCAAGATCATTGAACTGGAAGAAAATTATTTAACTCAGAAGGCGGAATATGTTAGCGAAACTAACGGGAGTCAAATATCTCAAGTTGTTCTTGACTCTTTGGAGTTGATCGAGGCAATCGCGGCGGGGTCATCTTTTTGGAGTATCACTTGTTCTCGCTATCACCCTTCCGATGAAAATGTTTATGAGACGTATTATCAAAGCAGACTTGCTGATGGCTTCCACTTTTTCGATAGCTACACTGACTCGGGTATGATCCTCAGTCACGAGCCAGGCCTTAGTTCCGGTGCTCGAACAAATGGTGGGAAGCAGCGTGTCGATGGCCATTGTGAAAACGGGCCAACAAGAGATATGACTCAGTCTACCGGATCAGAAAGTAAGTCACCCATCCTCTTGTTTACTTCAGTTCTGTCATCAAATTTTTATAGATATTCAAGTTCCCGCGCATTTCAAAGATATTAGATTGGATCCATTGGGTTTAGAGGCATGTGTCTAATATTCCAAATCTTAACATAGTATACAAACATTATTTATAGACATTGAGACCCCCTTCCGACTACATTATGCCAATGCCAAGTAAAGGAGTCCGTGGAGCCGTTATAACTGCTATGAATATTTGGTATCAAGTCCCGAGAGAATCTCTTGATAAGGTCAACAGGATTATCAAACTCACGCATACTTCTTCCTTGATGTACGCGGCAAGCCAAATTCCACGTTCATCACAATTTAACTGAATCCGATATTTCATACAGATTTGATGATGTTCAAGACAACTCACCTCTTCGCCGTGGAAACCCATCAGCTCACACGATCTTCGGGGTTGGTCAAACTATCAGCTCTGGGTTCTTTCTTTACCTTGGTGGTTTTAGGCTTGCCCAAGACCTATCGCCACCTGCAATGTCCATATATCTCAGTGTGTAAAAAGCCCCTGTATTCCAGAAATATGTATCCCTATCATGTTTTAATGCTATTTCTAGATGGGCTTGATCAAATGCACCGGGGAGAGGACTATGATCTCTATTGGACTCAGAATAGCATAGTTCCGACGGAGAAGGAGTATTTGAATATGATTGATGCGAGTACGTTTTTACCACTTGTGTTTCACGGTTTTCTTTGACTTTCCTTTTGCGGATTTGCTGCTTTTAGAAACATCTGCGTTATTTCGTCTTGCCACCCGTCTGAGTCGAGTCGAAGCTACCACGAACAAGTAAAGCGGCCCTTGTACGATAAAATTTGAGTCAATCAAACTAACAGCTCTAAAGTCACCTTGAACTTGAAAATCATTTTACTTTGGTCGGACGATATTTCCAAATCCGCGACGACTACCAGAGCCTGACGTCTTCGGAGGTAAGTAGATTGTGCCGTTCCTCGTGGGTCAGAAATTCATGCTAATGACATGCAGTACATTGATACTAAAGGCTTCTGTGAAGATCTGGACGAAGGAAAATATTCTCTGCTCCTAATCCATTCTTTGCAGAAAGGGGACCCCTTGATACAGGGTATCCTCCAGCAGCGGAAAATCAGCGGAAGCTTAACGAAGGAAATGAAACAAATTGTTCTCCAGCGGTTGAAGATCAATGGAAGCCTGGATTACACACTGTCTGTCATCAAGGAGCTCTATGAATTGATCAAGGAGGAGCTTGAAGCCTTGGAACGAGAGACGAAGAAGAAGAACTGGATCTTGTGGCGGGTGCTCCACCAGCTGAAGGTTTGATATCGAATGTTGGAAAAAGAGCAGTTTTATTTTGAGTGAAGTAGAAAAAGTACATCTGTCATTACTTTCAAAGTTCTATCATTTTAAATTGCGCGATACTAGTACTAGTAGTAAAGTTGAAGTTCAAAGTTCGAACTTGAATATACCTACGGATACTACTAGTAAGCAGTTAGTAGGTAGTACTTCAGGTGGACGTATATATTGCGGAGGCACCAAGTCATTTTCTGTTCGCGCCTAAATCAATTACGCAAAAACATCAGATTAGACTATTTAATTTAAAGATGACCTAAAATAGCCAGCTTATTTAGTACGTAGATTTTTTTTTTCTCCAAACTACCTGGGGTAATTCAATAGTTGCCGGATTCGAGGTTTTGAACTTGGAAAGGCAGCCGGGTCACGTTGAAGTTCAGCTCACCTCGACCTCGCCTTCACCTTCACCTTCAACTTTCACTTTTGACCAACTTCAACCTTCCTCCTCCCCTTTCACCTAGGCAACAACATGGCTGCTCCCGTGCCTTTTGATCGCGCCCCACCAACGACAACCGCATACGTGATTGCGACCGGTATCATCGCCGGCCTCGTTGGATATTTCATTGGCCAAGGCGCCTCGCTTGGCCTGTTCCACGAGAAAAAAAAGTTGGCCTAACAGCTACGACGTTAAGGTGCACCGCGACTCCTCGGATGAGGAAGATGAAGAAGCAGAGGACGATAGCGAAGATGAAGGCAACGGCGAGGAACTGGCGCACTTCAAGGATAACGCCGAGGAGGTGAAGATGGTGCTGGTCATTCGGACAGACCTGGGCATGACCAAGGGTACGTGAGAATTGGCCGACTCTGCCACGGAGAATTGCCGCAACGAGTCAATGAGATCATCGTGCTGACCTCTCTTTTACTTCTTTCTAGGCAAGATGGCCGCGCAAGCCTCTCACGCCTCCCTCTCCTGCTACAAATATTCCAAAGAGCACCAGGCCGAGTCCCCGATCCTGTCGCGCTGGGAACGCGGTGGCCAAGCGAAGATCGCGCTACAAATCAAGGGAGAGGAGGAGCTACTGCTGCTACAGGCGCAGGCTATGAGTCTGGGACTCTGCGCGCGCGTGATCCAGGATGCTGGTCGCACGCAGATTGCTGCTGGTAGCCGGACGGTGCTGGGTATCCTGGGACCGAAGAGTGTCGTGGACGGCGTGACCGGCCACTTGAAGCTTCTGTGAATACAAAATTTACTGCTGTGATTTACACCAGAGGCTATGGTTGCTATATTTCATGGTATCCCTGCCTGATAGAAAATAATGATCATGATGTCGATGACAAGCAATGGGACGCACACACGTAGCCGAGTATGCCATAGCTTATTTATATATTTTACAGCCGTACCTAGTAGCTCTTCAACAGGAGCACTGGCCAAGGAGAGGCAATGGACATTTGCATTTGCACTGGCACCATGATCCCTACCTATGGAAGAGTTTGTTCTAGGAAGCCAGTAAGTTCTTCGGCTATGTACTATGTAAAATGTCCAGCTACTCGGGGAATTGTTTTATGGTTGTCCTAGTATATCGCGGACTATTATGCGCGCTCCTCCGTAGATGGGCTGGACTTGTCATTATGCGTCCTTGATAGGCGGTTTTAGCTCGCGTTCTCAATAGACGCTTCTTCTTTTGCGCTCTTGATAGGCGGCGTTCTGTCTTACGCTCTGAATAGGCAGACTTTTTGGTTTGCGCCTTCCGGGGACGACTTTGCGTTCTCAATAGACGCTTTTTAGTTTGCGTCCATAGTAAGACGACTTTTGCGCTCCAAACGGGCGACTTTGGTTGCGTCCACATCAAGACGGCTTCTGGTTTGCACCCTGGAAGGACGACTTTGCGTTCGATAGACGCTTTGTATCATGCGCTCCATATGGGCGACTTTATTTGGCTCTGTTAGGAGCACAGTGGATATATATTTTTTTCCTACTAAATGATTCTATATAAAGGGGGATGTTGGCAAGTCATGGTTTTTTCCCTAACCTCACTAGCCAATGGCCAATCGGCAAAGGGACATGAAATATGACGCCGTCTACCTCCAGGCTCTCAGGCCGAGCTCACCAAGGCGGGAGCTCAAGACCCGAGGGTGACCCGGCGTAGAACATTAATCTGGGACCTGTCGACAGGACACCGTTAAGTGCCATACACATAAAAAAGTATGGCTCCGAAATCGTCGAACTGCCCAGCGCTCAACCGAAACACAGAAGTGAACGGGAGTGCTGGACACAAAATCCTCTTGAAGAAGAAGAAGAAGAAAAGGAAGAAACGGTGGCTTCGTTCGCTTTTTAACCTCCCGAAGATTTTGTGCCGCTAGCCGCCTTCGGTTAGTTCCATCAAATCACGTGCCACCGCGCATCAAGGCCGGGCTGGAATCTCCAGGATCTAAGGTCCTTCGAAGAGTCTCGCCGCCAGATCTGCTTGGATCTCGCCCCGTCACCCTTACCTCTCCTCTACCTTCTCTCACCATGGCGGACGCTCTCTCGATCGAGCAGAACAACAAAATCCGAGTGGCACTCGGCCTTAAGCCACTCCCCGTCCCCGGCGCCGGTCCATCCTTCAAGGAAGACGATAGCGAAAGCGACAGCGGTTCCGAATCCGAAGAAGAGCCTGCGAGCACAGTTGAAACCCGACAAGCACAGGGCTATGACAACTGGAAGAAGCTCCAGGATGATGCCGAAGCGAAAAAGAAGCGAGAGGCGCGGAGTGCTGCCATCAAAAAGGCTCGCGATGCGGCTCAGCGAAATTTACAGCTCGAGGGTGCCACCCTTGGAGAGGCTGATGGCGAACTCGACACCAAGTCTTGGTTGATGCAGTCGAAAAAGCGCACCAAGAAGATCGAGAAAGAGCGCGCGCGCAAGCTCGCCGAAGAGCTGGAGGAGCGGGAACGCGCTGCTGCGGTCGAGTACACGGCTGCAGATCTTGCCGGTGTCAAGGTCGGACATGCTGTCAACGATTTTGAAGGTGGCGAAGACCATATCCTGACTCTGAAGGATGCGGCTGTGGACGACGACGAGGAGGGGGACGAGCTTCAGGATGTCAACTTGGTCGATAAGGAAAAGACCCAAGAGAGACTGGAACTGAAGAAGAACAAGCCCGTTTACGACCCTACTGCCGAAAACCAGGGTATCCTGTCACACTACGATGAAGAGATCGAAGGGAAAAAACGCAAAAGATTTACACTCGATGCCAAGGGTTCAACCGAGGAGGAAAGAGAGGCCAAGCGACAAGAGGTTTCTGAACGATTGAAGAAGGGCGCCATCACTCTCGACCTCGAACCCGAAGTCCCGACATCGGATTACATGGATATCAGCGAAGTTAAGATCAAAAAGCCGAAAAAGAAGAAGAGCAAGACTACGAAACAAAGAGCCGTGATCGACGATGAAGACTTGTTTGGCGGAGCTACACCAACAGGCGATTCATCTATGGATATCGACTCTACAAATGGAGCTTCGGCTCCTGCTCCACGAAAGGTGATCGACCAGAACATCTCTTTTGTGGATGACGATGATTTGCAAGCCTCTCTCGCGGCCACACGACGCGCCGCATTCAAGAAACGCAAGAAGATGCGCCCCGAAGATATCGCCCGACAGCTTCGCGAGGAAGAATCTCAAACTCCCATGGAGGTGGAGACACCAGAGGAAGCTGCCGACGAGCCAGGTCTTGTTATTGACGAAACCTCGGAATTCGTCTCCAATCTTCACAAATCCACCATTCCCGAGCGGGAAGAGCGACGAGCAGAGCCCTCGATCGAAAAGCCTGCCGAGGAGCCCGAGGCAGAAACTGAAGATGTGGATATGGAGCAATCATACAACGATGTTGAGGATGACGAGGATCTTGCGGCGCGCCTCCAGCGCGAAAAATCCCAGGAGGATAAGCAAAAGCTCACTGGCACTGGTTTAGAAGAAGAAGCTACACTAGACCAGGGTCTAGGATCTACATTGTCCATGCTACGACAACGAGGCCTGGTCAAGGAAACAGACAGTGGATCTAGCAACGCCCTGACCCGCGACCGACAACGTTTCCTCGCAGACAAGGCCAATCGTGAGGTCGATGCCGATCGCCGCGCCAGAACCCAACGTGAGCGTGACCGTGCTTCCGGCAAGTTGGACCGCATGTCTGCGCGCGAGCGTGAAGAATACGCCCGTTACGAGAACAAGCAACGCGACCAACAGGAGGCGCGTGAAATGGCTCAAGTCTTCAACCGCGAGTACAAGCCCGATGTGCAATTGAAATACGTGGACGAGCACGGGCGATCAATGAACCAAAAGGAGGCATTCAAGCACCTCAGTCACCAGTTCCACGGCAAGGGCAGCGGCAAAATGAAGACAGAGAAGCGATTGAAGAAGATCGACGAGGAAAAGAAGCGCGAGGCGATGAGTGCACTAGACAGCAGTCAACACACCGGCATGAACAATGCGATGGAGGAGACGGCGCGTAAGAAGCGCCAGGCTGGTGTGCGACTAGGATGAGGTGGAGCCAACTGGTCAGGACAGAGAATATTTTGTGTTGACGTACATAGAGCCGCGAGCTATCACTGCTACATACCTAGCTGCCATGGGGTTCCCCCATGGAATCCCCCCATGGAAGCATGGGGTAGGTCAGTAGTAAGAAGATCAGATTGCGCTACGATATCCCCTTAATGGAATTGGAAACCCTTCAAGTTCAACGAAAGAACCCGAACGTCTACTAGGTACTAGCTGTATTCGTCATGTCCTCCCGAGTCTCCCGATCGTCCCGATGGACCCGAAGGGCTTAGGGTATCTCCGCGTTGCTACGTAATAGAATTTTCTCCAGGCGACTCCAGGTTGTCTCCGCGTGTGGGGATGCGCGGGTATTTAGGGTTAATTGAAACGAAACCTCGTTTCTTTGGGTCTACGGGAATATTCTCTCTACTTTTTTTTTTTTAATTCTGCAATGATTGCTTTTTCACCTCCTTTTTCAATTTAACCGAGACAGTGCCCGACTCGGTGAGTAGACGGTACTAGTTATTCCTACTGGATGGGATGGCATGACCGGGGTTTCGCTTTACCCCAACTGCGTGAGGGGAAAAGGCGCGCCCGGTGGAGAATCAGCCAGATCAGCTCACCGGGGCAGGCCCTCCCGAGTCGCGCAATGTCGGAGTGCAGTGCAGTGCAGTGGGTGCAGTGGGTGGAGGTTGTAGTTGTATAGTGCTGTTATGCCAGACTGTATGTAAACATAAACAAGACCTAGCTATAGCCAGACATATCAATAAACAGGTAGTAGTCCTATGTATAATATGATACAGGGTATGAAAGGTACTACTTGTAGTCATAATTGACAGGTATGAGTTCCTGTTTACATCAAAGCACAGACAAGATCCCCCTTGTTGTGGTCGCTGATCTCTCCCGGAGGCCACCTGCTGCGCAGAGTGTAGAGTATTCAGTAGTACCTGTGTAAGTACAGGGTACCTGGGATTGGGTGGGTAATTACAACAACTGACAGGTACCCGGTACTTACATAAGTATCACATGAGTCAAGCCAGCAAGGCCCCATTCGCAGCATCTCCGACTTTCGTCCTTTTCGTCCCCGACTTTCTCCTCCCCTAACTTTTTAGGATTTCCCTTCTCTGATTTCTTTCCATCACTCTTTCCATCCTCATCATCACACACAATGCTCTCCACTCTGCGTGTCGCCAGCCGCTCGGCTGCTGCCCGCGAAGCTAACTTCGTCGTTCTCGGTGCCAGACAAGCCTCGGCCTGGTCCAAGGTCCCCCAGGGCCCTCCGGTAAGCTTGAAATTGCATTTCTGATGCCTTGACAATACCATTGCCATCTCCAATGCTGACTTTACCTCTTCAAAATAGGATGCCATCCTAGGTATCACCGAAGCCTTCAAGGCCGACTCTTTCAAGGAGAAGATCAACCTGGGTGTGGGTGCTTACCGTATGTCATAACCCTCCTCGCGAGAGTCCAAAACAAGCTCTGTTTCATCCAATTCTTGATTGCGATCAATTGCTAACTGTCTGGCCTCGATTTAGGTGACGACAAGGGCAAGCCCTACGTTCTTCTCCTCCGTCCGCGCCGCCGAGGACAAGGTCGTCGCCTCGCGCAGCGACAAGGAGTATGCCGGCATCACCGGTATCCCTGCCTTCACCAACGCCGCTGCCGAGCTGGCCTACGGTACCGGCTCCGCCGTTATCAAGAATGACCGCCTCGTCATCACCCAGACCATCTCTGGTACCGGTGCTCTCCGTATTGGCGGTGCTTTCCTCGAGCGCTTCTACCCTGGCGCGAAGAAGGTCTACCTGCCCAACCCTAGCTGGGCCAACCACAACGCCGTTTTCAAGGACTCCGGCCTCGAGGTCGCGAAGTACCGCTACTACAACAAGGACACCATTGGTCTGGACTTCGAGGGCCTCATCGAGGACATCAAGGCTGCCCCCGAGGGCAGCATCATTCTGCTGCACGCCTGTGCTCACAACCCCACCGGTGTTGACCCCACCCAGGCCCAATGGCGCCAGATCAGCGATGTCATGAAGTCGAAGGGCCACTTTGCTTTCTTCGACATGGCCTACCAGGGCTTTGCCAGTGGTAACGCTGACCAAGATGCCTTTGCCCCCCGCCACTTCGTTGCTGAGGGCCACAACATCGCTCTGTGCCAGAGTTTCGCTAAGAACATGGTACGTCTGATCCCCAGCCATGAATCCAGCAAGTCAAACTGAGTTGGTCATACTAACACTCGAATAGGGTCTCTACGGTGAGCGTGTCGGAGCCTTCTCCCTCGTTTGCGAGAACGCCGAGGAGAAGAAGCGCGTCGAGTCTCAGATCAAGATTCTCATCCGCCCCTTCTACTCCAACCCTCCCATCCACGGTGCCCGCGTCGCCTCCGCCATCATGAACGACCCCTCTCTGAATGAGCAGTGGCTCGGTGAGGTCAAGGGCATGGCCGACCGCATCATTGAGATGCGTTCGCTCCTCCGCACCAACCTCGAGAAGCTCGGCAGCAAGCACGACTGGTCCCACATCACCAGCCAGATCGGCATGTTCGCCTTCACTGGTCTGAAGCCCGAGCAGATGGATGTTCTGGCCAAGGAGCACTCCGTCTACGCTACCAAGGACGGCCGTATCTCCGTCGCTGGTATCACCACCGGCAACGTGCAGCGTCTGGCCGAGTCCATCTTCAAGGTTACCGGTTAAATGGGTCGACTTTGAAAATGGAAATCAAACGTTGAACGAGGTAAACGGTGGAATTGGATACGAACAAAACGGAATTGGAATTGGAATTGGAACCGAATGGAATCGAATCGGGCACCAAGAGCACGCGCCTTTGATCGCGCGGCTCTTGGGTTTTCGCGGCCCTTGTACTGATATCTAATGTCTCTGTGTTTTATATTAGCATGGCTTGGCTTTGTCCATCTCAACGGAGATTTTGGATTCATCACTTCTTTTTTTTCTCTCTGTAGACGATTTGGTAAATGCAGACGATTCACATACTGAGTTGGCATTTTTGAGAGCCTGAGGCTAGCGGCCAACGAGATGGTGGAGTTAACCCTAGTCATCCCCATGTGCAGCCTGACAGAACGTCCACCAGGAGAACTCCAAAATAACTCACTATGTTGCAATATTACCATTTAGACGCACTGGTCACCAGAACGACCTCGCCCGGCACCAGTCGCAAGACCAGCCTCAAATGGTAAGGCTTGCTCCATGCAGCATGTTCAGCTGGGCCGGCGTTTCTCACATCAGATGGATCGGACAACGTCTCATCCTACAAGCTACGTATGTTTGGCATGTTCTTCTACTCCAGAAACGTTGTCAGGCTCTGAAAGTTTAGCTTTCTAAAAGATATTTAACAACGCCATGTGTTGATTCCAAGATTCAATTGGTGCTCTCTGTGCATGATTCATGTTCAGAGCGGACGCACTGAAATCTAGTTAAATGTGGACACTATCCAGTACCACTTCCTCGTAGTTCTAAGGTTGTTGTTGCCCTGCCAGAATTATTCAAGCCCGTCGGTTTCGGCTGTTTCGCGAGTTATCACATTGGTGCATTTCAAAAATGGCTTTATCGTTTGTAAACCTTGGAAAGTTTTCTAGACGAAACAGAGGCTTTGGATGGAAAATTGGGATGCGTGACCCAAAACTGCGAGAAAGAGAGGTCTACCTCGTTAAATGGGGTGCTGATCCTCCTTTCCATCGTCCTCTTCTCCATGCTTCAATTTCCATTCCGCTCTCCTAGTTACCGACTCCATAGAGAATGACGACTTACCAGAGGCTTCGACAACGGGTTTTATGTTCAGCTGGGTCTCTATGGAAAACAGAAAGCTCACCAACAAAGACGCGGTAGCTCATGTTAGCCCCTTTCACTACGAGAAAGGCCTACAGGTGGAAAATACGTATGAGTATTTGGGACGGACCAAGTTTGTGAACGACAAGATGCAGGTGCTTAGTGAGTTCTGCTGGCAGTTCTCTTCTAGGGTTAGGTGTCCTAAGAGGTGTCCCAATACTTACTTGTTACTCATATAGTGAACCAGTCCGGTCAAAAGTACAACATTGTACTCGACAACTGCCAGATGGTCACTTGCAAAGTAGCAGAAGCAATTATTCGCGGTGTAAAGGGAAAGGAGGCGGGTAATCTGAGGAGGCGGCATACGAGCGAGAAGCATTTCAGGAAAATCCGAGGATTCAGACACAGATGGCAGTGCTTGGAATGTCAGCTCTGGGAACTTGAACCAAAAGGACATCGCACGACCGAAAAGCTCTATTCTAAGGCAGAATTACTAGTAGTACATTGTATATAGTTACTTCGATCAAACTCGCAAGGCACCAATTAGATCTCCATCCGGGGCCGGGAAGATGTGAGCCAGCTCCGTGGTGATTTGAATCACCTCATTCGACAACTGACGGCTCATAATGACTATCTCATGTCAGTACAACTGGAGATATCAAAGGGTCCTGGGGAAACCATTCTTAAGCGAACTTACTATAAGCGTAAAGCAAGACATAGTCTTCATCATTTGTCGAGTCAGACACGCGTTTATCTTGACGATATCGAGAAATATGTGCCAGAAGTTCATCACGGGGACGGTCAACATTCGTAGGAAAATCGCTGAAGGTATGTCCAACCTCAACAGCCGCTGCTATAGCTGCAGGAGAAGTCAGGCGTTAGAAAAGAGTAATACTAATGTAATCTTTGAGCCGATAACGGTAAAACCGGTGACCGTGAAACTGAAACTTACTGGTTAGTAAATTGGCGATGCAATCAGACATTCTCTGTCTAGCAGTGGTAGTATGTTGCAGAAGCGAAAGCTGCCCTTCCGAGGGTGCACCCATCCCAGATAGAACCAGGTCCATGGAATGAAAGTTGTCCACAATATCTCTTGTCCGGCGAATCACGCTACCATATGCAGAATCTGGAAACGGTTCTTTCAATTCGATTTCAGAACGCGCGGATGCTTGCATGGGGTCAAGCTGAGAGAGAAGGTGTTCAACCTCGGCTTTGTCATGATCGTTCATATAAAGAATAGGCATGTTTGCCTCATCCGTGGATATTGTATTTAACGGGTCTGATTCCCAAATGAATGCCAATCTGAGCCACAGCAATTGCAGGGTTTCATCAAGCTTCGTTCGTGCGCGAATGGGCCATATGCCTCGCGTAATTATGATGCCCCAAACATTGCCAGCAATGACGGAGACGACTCGGCGGAGAACGATCGAAGTGATATCGAGATGCTCGGCGTCATCATCAGCATCAATTTGCGACTGTGAGAAAGCGTAAAGTACAGAGAGGTTGTAGGTTAGTAGGATGAATCGACCCATAGGCCCTTGCCCCTTGACAATAATCAAGTAGAAGGGTCCGATCCCCATGACAAGGCCCGTAAGTATGAGCTTAAAAGCATCACCTCCTGCAAGGTACCAAGCACCGAGTGAACAAAGACCCCCAAGGCATGTACCGAGAAAGCGAGCAAATCCGGCGGTATTTGACGCCCCGATGGTCATGGAGCATACCAACATGTACGAGATGAGGCCCCATTCTCCCCTCCACGATAGATAAAGTGGTCTGGTCACGGATATGAAGGAGGGCAAGGCATAAATCGCCGCTCCAATGCCTACTTTCAGAGCAAACTTAATCTCATCCTTTCGTAGGAAATCAAACACTCTCACAGGATCCTTCTTCCCTCCTTGGTGATGTGTTCGTCCTCGATATGGGCCTTGCGGCTGACCACTTGTATTAAGCGCTTGTAAAGAGCTTCGGGCGTCGACGGCACGGTGGCGTCCCGACAAAGGCGCTAGCGAGCGTCAAATTAGTGCCACTCTCCTTGAACACTTCCAATGTTATAGATCTACATGTATTCACTTACCTTCATCTGAACCTCGTATGACTTCATCCCGACGAGCCGGCCACCACGAAAGACGGAGCCAGCTCCAAGACTTTCCGGCAGGTCTTTCATCAACCTCAAGCTGCAGATCCTCCAACACCAACAACAGGGATCGCAGCTGCTCGCTCAGCTTGAGTAAACCAACGGAGAAATATTCGCAATTGGCGAAGATTTCTTCAAGGCTCGCTTTATCCACCTGAGCTGGAGATATCATCTGCCAATCTCGTCGAAGCGAATGAAACGCAGCACGTCGAGATTCTTCGTATAAGTCTATTGCTTCATTGATGCGGGAAACCACTCCTTCACTTATTGAAAGACGACGATCGGGTGCGGGTCCGAAAGAAGCTTCTCCGAATGTTTCTTTCAGGGCAACAGCAAGCGATAGCTACCAAGCATTTGTGAGCAAGAAGTTTGGGTATGGACAGAATACGTGATCGCACTTACGATAGACATCTCGAGACGAGATGTTAGTTGTTGGAAGATTTCAGCAGGAGATTGAACCGAAGAGGACTGTTGTCTAGTTTGTGAAGTCGAACTTGACGATTCATTGTCGACATCTTGTGTATCTGTTGGTGAGCCGACACTTGACTCGCTCGTCAATCTCGAATTTTCAGGTAGAGTAGGGGTAGAAAGTTGGCCCGCCATTCTTGAAGGCTGTGGCAGTTCTGTGCATTTAGTTGGTGCAAGCAATTCAGCCTGCAAAGCCAGTACACTGCGCAGACCCCCTAGGCCGTGGGTAATATCTTGCATTAAATGCGCAAGTTCTTTCTCGAAGAGAATACTCTCGGTTCGTCCCAGCGACATAGTGCTCGAGCTTTGTCTCGCTTAGTAGCTGCTTCAAGTGGCCGAAGGTTTTGTCGTGATGTGAAGATAGATGGGAGAAGTCGGCTGTTTTGAGTTCCCGGTCTGTACCGCGCAGAAAGCTCTCCGTAAGACTCATCAACATCATTGAAGTTGTACCCATCAAGGTAGAAAAGTCTCCACGAAATTTATTCCGGGCAGAAACGGGCATTATCGACAAAGATACGGCCGTTGAGACACCAATACCCAAAAGCAGCATCCTGAGTATCTGGGAGATTTTTGTGAAGGAAAGATCACCTGTTTGTATAGCACCTTCTTTGGTGATGACCAGAATCGAGGCCAAAGAAGCCAAAGAGCATGCGACATTCACAAGCGGGTCTTGCAGTCTCTGTTTAATCCATCCGATGAACCCGAAACCACCCAGGACGAAGACGACCAGAACCACAGCATGCCCTATTTCAATCAAGTCATGCTTTCTATGGAAGACAATGGTCACCCACATGCTAGACAATGACAGGAACGTCGCAAAAAGAAATGCGACGAAGGCGCATATCAGCGCCTTGTACATGCTGCCCTGCGATCTCGCTGGGTGGAAGTAAATGGTGATGGTCGCTACTAGATGTTTGCCATATTGCTGACCCAGAAGTTTTCCAATAAATGGAATAAACACCGCTAGGGATGCGAGTAAATACGCAAGGCTGCACTTGAAGATACTGACGCCATGCTCAGAGGTGATCAACGCCTGTGCCTTGCGCCACGATCGTGAAAGTTGCCTTAGAACTCGCCGGAGAAGCCCCTCTCGTTGGCCAGATTCTTCACTCATAAGAAAAGGCTGAAACTCATCCTGTTGATCGTGATCGCCAAGGTGCATATTGATAGCTTCCCCTTCATGCAGGTTCGATATCGGCATGGTCTGCCGCGACTCTGGAGCCTTGATGGTCAGCAGAGTGAGGCATGCCTGGTGGATCGTACTTACTTCAAAGGGAGAATGACCCATAGACGCCAAAAAATAATTAGGACAGCACCATCAACTCCCTCTATTCTCATATATCATGATGCTTCTGATATCTCATCCCCATGTCATCCATGTCGATCTCCAATGTTCATCTCCATCTCCGCCCCCTCTTTTTGCCACCGCCTTTGTTAACTGCACGTTTGCGGCCTGATAATGTCACTACACTATGCCTAATTGGAACATTGAACCATACTGGGAATAGTAGAATATCAACACCATTTTATGCTCTAGTGTGGAACAAATTGAACTCTCAGCAGGGCTCATATTGTGAAATTATTTATATTACATCATCGAGAAAACTTTTCATGCCCTAGGAATCATGAATTCAGCCAACCGTCGACAAGCTTGTAGACTATCTTCACCCAAGGACTTCGAGGAAGTCGTCGCTTGTCATGGAACTCTCTGAATGGATTCAATATAGACTGCCACAGCCCCAGCTCTTTTCCTGTCAATTGAGCCATTCCAAGGCATATTTAAAGACCCGAGATAGTGCCCACCTCCCTGCCCGCATCCTTGCAACACTTCTTGAAGCAGGACTTGGCACCATCACCATCCACCCAGCAGTGGTAGGTCGAGAATTGGGTGTTATAGTTGTCCAGCCCGCAGTGCTTTCCGCATTTATAGGTGGGCGCCACAGCACCGACGTGGGGTGTGTTTTCGCAATAGTAGCCCGTGCTAGCAAGGGCTCCGAGAGGGAGGAGAAGCGCGGTAAGACCTCCGAGGAACTTCATTTTGGTAGGCTTCAAATTGTGTCTAAAAAGCTGTTAGAAAGATCTGGAACTTTTTGCTTAATTGTATTTTTTTTTGTTACGCAAGCAACTGACTGTGTAAAAGGACTGAATAGTTGGCGTGGAACAGGTGGAAATAGTAAACCAAGAGGACGAGACGGAGAAGATTTTGCAGATTGAATTCGGGTAGCTAATTTAAGACTTATATACCCTACTTTCCCCAGCTCGGGTCACTATCTTTTCTAATATCAAAATTCGAATGGCTATGTTGCTTCGCGGAATGATACCCCATTCTTTTAGAGCAATTGTCAACCAAACCAATAGTATCTGACTAAAAGATCTCAGAGAAGTCTATTTTGAGATTGTTCGTATTCGAAGGATTGCTTGGCATGATAATTATAGGGGCTACAAAGGTCTGCAAATCCTCCGAATGCCGACAAGATTCTATGAGAATGATTGTCGAGACAGTTTTGGCTACAAACTATGTGATTTTCAAAAAAAAAATAAACTGATAATCTTCAGCTAAAGAAAATATTACCAACGCCATTCCATCCAATTGATTAAGCTATTTGAATAATTCGATACGCATCAACTCTGTGAAGCTCACCTCGCCGAGCCAAATACGATGGGGTGGAGCCTCGCTTGGGCGATCTTCGCCCTGTCGAGCAAATACGAGATCGAGCCCTTCGTGTTCACGACGCTTGAGCTCTGATTCTTCAAGCTCAATTCGAATTCCGCCTAACTTCTTGACAGGAACAACACATTTAGTGAGACAACTTGAATACCCCACCGTGCAGATTTCAATCAACCTCGGCATCTCATGGATTAAAACCTGCAGCTTCCAGTTCCTTATTGCGAAGTAAGTATCTCTACATTAGAGGATGGTGGTTTGTTTTGAGACTAGATCCATACAATACTACTAGTACTAGCTATAAACTCCGTGAAAGTCATCTTGAGAAGGAATCCACATCCTCTCGATCGCTACTCGTTTTATGAGCTTGACTATAAGACTTTTAGTAGTATATCACAGTATAATTTTTTAAATTGACATAACCGTGACTATCTCATAGGTTTCCAAGTTCCTCCATTATCTTATCCCATGCCCGTGGTAAAAGGGTCCCCATAAGCCAGTGATTACCAGCATAGTCTTGACCAAGCATCGTAAAAAGGTTGAAGCCTTTGTACGGCTCGCCCACGTTTTCATAATAGTACATGAGCATCGTTCCTAACGGATTCGCCCTGTTCTTCGAGGTATCTCCCTGGCGCACGACAGCAGCCCTAAAATCGACCGTTTTTATTAAGTCTGCCTTGACCATATTATTTAGAATTATCGGCAAGGCATTCGCCTCCCCGAAGAGCACCCCGGGTGTTTTACCCGCGTCGATATCTTGGTAGCCGGTTCTCATAAAAGCACGAACCTGCTTCTCTGTGGATTGTTCATTGAAATGTTGGCGGTGACTAAGTGCAATGGGCCCAATGGGCCCTCTTGCTTCTTGCGATGAGAGGAATGTATAGGTTCCCAGGGTTAGATTTTGAAGAAAGACCCCTGCCGAGTTAATAAACTCCGGAAGCCGAAAGCGGGAGTTTAAGAGACTCAGAATCGTAATTGGGCGCGGTGTTGATTCTGACAATGCCATTGCTCGCGTTACCCACGCGACAAGTGCATCCCCGCTACTAAAGAACACTCCTGAATCACGACACGAATGGGTTTCGTGAATCTGTTTCTGGGCAAGGTTTTTCATCCTGTCCAAGAAGATCTTCGGAAGATAAATAACACGCCTTTCTCGAGGTGCGTCCCGTATATTGTTCCACAAGTACCGGGATAAGAACTTGAAAAGATCCATACCTTTCAGACGCCTTTTTTCGAGCTTCAGCTCTTCCCATTTCTCGGGGTTGGACGAGACTGCCTCACGAAGAGGGTCATTCCGTGCACCGCTGATGGTAGGAATATCTTCTTCCCGCGTGGCTAATACCGATGACCAGGCAGCGAGGAGAGCCTGGCCCCCAAACGCATCCATCAACACGTGAGGCCAGACCAGAGATACCAGGGTTGCATCTCGGAAAGAGGATATATGGAGAGATATCAATGGCAGTTTCTCCTGCACTAGCTGCTGGAAGGTTGTGAAGCTTTGACGTGTAACAAATGGCTTGAAGTCTTCGGAAATTGGTTGGATTGATGGACCTGCAGTCGGTGTTGGGAATTGACAAGCCACCGGGTGGTTCTGGATTTCCACGTCGAAAGTCTGATGGGTGAAGAAAGTCTTTCTTGAATCTTCCCCCGAGATGTTCGGGACATGGACTTCTAGGTCCCCGTTCTCCTAATTGGCGTCAGTGAAACTCGGTCAACCCAGGAAAATACCCTAACCTTCAATCGTAGCCGACCACCGAGTTTCTTCCAATCCCCAATCTCCAATAATCGTACCAAAGCATTGTTCAATTGTTCAGGGTCAAGAACATCATTGAATCTCATCAGCCAGGATACGAAACAGCGATTCGTCTTATCGCTGTCGAGTGGGTACAGTGGGTAAATGTTCTCAGGGACAACACTGGCACCTGGCAGGTGTCTTTCGGCAGACATTTCTTTTGCAAAGGCTGCGGGAGGTAATGGTCAAAGCCGAGTGAGTCGCGTTAATATAAAGACATGAGTCTTCCTTTTTTTCAGACGACAAAACCAAGAGCAAATTTTGATGTGATGGGTGACTTGTTTCCACGAGGTGGACGCAAGGCAGGTTCAAACTTTGTTTGCGCGACGATCCCCTCGAACAGGATCCTGAATGGCCCCGTAAATTTGATCTCTCCTCCCACCCTGACTTTAGAGAAGGTTTCGTGAGAATAGCGTGTTTCACATGTCTTTGACTCTGAATTAGCCTCATCTAGGTTGAGACTTTATTTTCCAGTTAGATTCAATCGCTTTAGTGCCGACCCGCCGAACCCCATAGTCTATTTAGAGGATCCTGAATCCTAAAGGGGTAAAGGCGGAATAAACTCGGATTGTGTGATGTACTCGTACGTACCTGTGCTAGCACTGTGGGGCTTGGGGCTTGGTGCTGGAGCTGGGTGCTTAGTTTCAGGGCATGGCCAGCCATCAATAATACCTAAAATGCAGCTAACATCTCACCTTTGAGATCTCGTTTACAGCTCTAAACCAACCTTTTGGATGTATGCGCCCGCAAATGGATAATTGGTTTATATTGCGATCGACACTCGTAGCTCAAGCATAGCGCGCTGAATTGATGATAAGAAGTAGCCTCGAGTACTAGATAATTTTAAAAAAGAACTGTACGTAACAGAATAATGTGCCCGTCCAAAACGCCATACACCATCCATATTGCCGTGTGCGGTATTGAACTCCAATACATAAAGAACAAACGAACAACGCCTAGAGGCCTCCCATCAGGCCACTGGCGCCCATGCCAGGCCCGCCGGTCGGAGCAAGAGAGGGGCAGATACATCCTGCCGGGATGTTAGGGTAGGACCAGCCTGGAGATGGGGATGGGGATGGAGGAGAGCGGCCCATTGCACGGGCGATGATGCTGGCCGGTGTTGTGCCTTGACTAGCGTGGAGAAGGCCAAAACGGAGGAAGACTTCAGAGAGAGTTACGAGGATGGAGATGACAATGAGAACGATGACGACCCATGTTTGATCTAGATTTGTTTTGTCAGTGCTGTTTAGATGCGTCGGTGAGTAATCAATGGTTCGGGGCGGGCGTACAAGATGTGCGGTTGTCAGCGATGGAGTCTGAGAGGATCTCTGCTAGATCGAGGAACACCCGGCAGCGTTCATTTAATACCTGGATCCGGGGTTTGATTTCGAGGTACTCGCGGACAGCAATGTAAAGGGGGTAGAGTGTTGGCTCGCTTTCCCAGAAGAAATTCGGAACATCGAGCATGTTTGATGCTGGAGATTGTTAGCGTTGCATGGTAGTTATGGCATGACGTGCCCACTCACAGAGATTGACCTCGACACGGCTCTTGAAAAGTCGCCCCAGAATCCGGAAGACCTCTTCACGCTTCATGCCGAGCTGACCGGTCATAGCGAGTCTTCGTGGTACATCCTTCGCATCAGCCATTTGACGCGCCATAACCTCCTCAAAGAAACACAATTTGGTACTCTGAGAGATACCATGACTGATTGCTAGTTTGATCATGTGGTCACCACTGCGGAGTGTGATCATATCGTTGTAAACGCGGGCCGAGAGATCTCAGTCGAGTATTCAAAATGAAATTCTTCTGTCTCGAAATCCTCTTCATGGAGAGGCATGGTTGTCAGTGGGATAGGAGTACCAGTAGCCGAAGATGTAGCGAATGCCAGATCCGCCAGTAAATCTTTCTCCTGGCGTTCTGTAAAGTTCCAAAAAACCACAACACCATAGCTGAAAACAAACATTTCGGCGACATTGTACAGGGTTCGTGCAGGCCGTTCAGGCATGGAGGACGACGACGGTTTCACCGGGGAGGCCGAACGAGCTCTCATCAGAGCTTGACCATCGTCGGAGCTGTGTCTTCGACGACGAGGTCGAAGGTCCAGATTATGTTCTTCACTCGACTTGTCATCCTGATCGGGCGTATGATCCCGAAGCCGCGCATCCTCCTCAGAAGCCCGAGTCAAAAACTCATGATGTTCCTCCCTCGAGGTAGTACCAGGATCTTGCGGTGACGCTTCTTGATGATGTTCTTCCTCTGGCCGATTGTGACCACCGACAGAATGCTCCTCTGCCTCCCCCATCCAGTCATCATGATGATCTCTCTGTTCATTCCTTTCAATCTCCTCATCCAGCAGCGACTTGCCGCCCGGGAATTTCAACACAGGGCTACTGCGTAACCGATATCCCTCATGGCCCGGCACAAGTGGCAAATGATACGCCGTGTACAAACAATCATCATACAGCTTCGTCCTCGCACCATGCCACTCCTTCACAAACGAAGCGACAGACCCCATTTTATACGCCTGCGCCGTACAATAGGCTGTAACCCGCGCAAGTTTCTCCGTCCGCCTAGCCTTAGGCAAGCGCTCCGCATAACTCTTCGCACGCTCGGGGGTTCGTCGCTTGCGAATTACCTCCTCGTCAGCCCGGAGCGGCGCAACATCATTATCGATCGAGAAGTCCCCAACACTGAGCCGTTTCTGCGCAAGGAGAGCCTGCCTCACAGCCTCGGGCTCAACGTGCTTATCGCGCGCGATGCGCGCAACAAGCTCCTCGTCTACTTGATCCGCATTGCCATCCGCCTGATCCTCCTCATCTTCATCGTCCTCGCCTTCATCTGGCTCGCCTACTCCCCCGGTATCCGGCAACAGCACGAGTTTCTCACTAACTTTCGTCGTGCGTGGTGGGAGGCGCGGCTGGGCAGCGAGTCGGCTATTAGATGTCGTGGAACTGCTCGCTCCACCAATCAACCCGCTAGCCGAAGCAAGTCTGCGCGAGCGCGAAATTGGCGGCGGGTGCCGCTGCTGCATGGACGGGATGTCGGAGGCATACTGTAAGACATTGTCGACGGTGATGAAGCGAGTCGCGGGGGATCTGCGGCGTGGGGGGCGGAGGCTGGTTGTTGGTCGCGTGAGTCGGTTACCTATTGTAAATGGGAAGAATGTACGTCAGCAAATGTAAGGGATTTTCCGTTGGGTGTTGGAGCTCAAGCTGCGGCCGCCGCAGCAGCAGCAGTGAACGGGATAATTGCTTTTCGCGGACACGTACCAGAACGGTCGGGCTGCGTTGACTGGTTCCCCGGCCTCGGGCGGGGGGTGTCATCGTGAAGCGTCCTTTTATGCCCAAGAGGATTGGACTTCAATTGCACAAGACGTGGAGAATGAGGTCAACCCGGAGCTTGCGAAAGTATCCCACCGCCGTTGAGCTGCTGCTGGCACAGAATCAAGTGCGCTAGACCAATTACGGACTAGCGGAGGTCGACGGTGACGATATAATTTATATTACGTAGGCGTGTATTAGTACCGTATGGGACGTATGGATCCCGTGACTATGCCACGTGTCTACCTGCCAATGACAGCGTGAGGCAAGCGCCACCGGCCCACAGTCAGCCCAGCGAACCAGAGATGCGCGAATCCGGGGTAGAATCCATGCGGATCTGCGGCCAAGGAGAAAAGATAGATACATATACGACTACGAGAGGTGGAATGGGATTTGACGTCAAGTCGAATTTTTTTTATTGCATGTCATAGAGACATACTATGCGTATGAACCGGAAAGCATCACTTGGATGCAGCCGTAGGGAATGCAATTCTATATCACAGATCATGGGAATGCAGATAAAAATGTGCTGATGGGGAGATAAACAAGACATGCAGGTGAAGAGAAGTTGAGAAATGAAGGCAGTAAAATATCAATAATCACCTGAGCCGTGAAAAGACCGTAGAACCATAGAACGCCGAATTAACCATTTGTCAAAAAGAACGGTTGACCTCGCCGATTGAGGGGGGGCCAATTGATCACCATGCAAAAAGAAAAGAAAGAAAAGGAAAGAAGGAAATAAAGAATCACGAGATGATACCTTCGTCGCGGAGACGTCGATTCTCATCCCAGATCTCCTGCTTCATTTGCTGTAGTCGTTTGTGCTGTTTCTCTAGTTTGTCCACATCCCGTTGGATGGGATGAGCTTGCTTGGCCAGTGTCTCATGCAAGCCCGAGTACTTGGCATAATACTCTTTGAACTTCTCCGATTTGTCCAGCAATCGTTTTCGGAGAACCTCCTGGGTCATAGATGGAGATGCACTTCCCGTGCTGCCGCTGGAGGTACTAACTGCGCGGCGCCGTTTGTGCTCAAGGTTGCCAGTGGTAATAAGATGACGATCTCCCTCAGACTCGGACCCAAGATCCGGGTCCGCCTTGCGCTTGCGGGGATTTCCCGCGGGTAAGGTCTTGCTTGCAATCCTGCCAATGACAGGGCCTGGGCGAGCTGGCTTGTTACGGGTTGCGTCGAGGGGCGTAGGCTTGGTAAATGTTGGTCTGGCGGGAACGGGTTTGGGGGCAGACTTTGGAGGTGCAGACTTAGTCGGAGGTGGCTGGGCTGAGGCTTTGGCGGGAACAGGCTTGTGAGGACCATTGGCCGACGCTGCAGGTTTTGATGGTGGGCGTGCAGCTGTGCCGGTAGCCTTGTTGTTTCGGGCAAGTTGAGAGATAAGAGGTGAGGATGATGATGAACCTGATGACTGGTTTTGACTGTCGGAACGATTGCGACCGTGGGCATTTTCAGATGCGCTTGCGGGAGGAGATGAGCCCAGAGGGGATGGCTTTTGGGGCGAGGTAGAAGGTCGAGGGGCAGGTCGCTTAGAGGGAGGGGTTGGTTGAGATGACTCGAGCTTCGGTGTGGATGTCTGCGCCTTGGAGACCTTAGGACTCGAAGCAACGGTCTTGGCAGGTTGAGGTTTGGCAGCGGATTGGGGCTTTTTGATTGGAGCTGTGGCCGGTGCCTTTTTGCTTTCCTTCGTGCGCGGAGCGGGAGCTGGTGCAGGCTGAGGTGAGGGGGCATCGAGCATATCGTCATCCTCATCGTCAGAAGAGTTGACGAACTCTGCCGATTTGAACTTGCCCTCGGGCTTTGCAGGAGCAGGCTTGCTGGCAGTCTTCTTTGTCACTCGACCCGTCAGAGTGCTGTTATTGGCACTCTTTCCCTTCAGTTGCTTCTTCAATCCATCTTTCTCCTTGGGTTTCTGAGTTGACCGAGGTGCATCCGATGCCTTGGCACGGTCGGTCTCGTCGGCTCGGTCCTCGGCACCATCCACCTGGATCCGTGGCGTGGTAGCCTTCTTTGTGGGTACATTGCTAGCACTTATAGTGTGAAGGTTGAGTCGTGAGAGACATTTTCCCTTGCCACGTTCCTCCTTCGGAAGTAGAATTTGCCAGAGTTTGTCGGTTCGGGAGATGCGCATGCGATCGAAGGCGGAGATGGCGTTCTGAATGGCGTTTTCTCGGTCGTCATCATTTGGGTAAGGGAACTTCCACACATCGAGATCCTTGTAGATCTTATCTCTCAAGTCAAACTTTTCTCTGTTGAGACGATTCTCCACGCCAAACTTCTTTGCGAGTGTAGTAATATCATCGGGGGGAGCGCATGTGAGTCGGGAGAGGTACTGGGTGGAAACAGCGCGGATGGCAAGAAGGTGAACAAAGGGGGTCTTGAGGGCTTCGAGACGAATATCGCTCTTGGATTGCGATGGGGCGGAGGTCGGGGCGAGGGCGGGCGATCCGGCGGCGCCGAGCTTGGGACTCGGGTGTAGGCTCCCCATCTGAGAGGCTCCGAGGCGGCGGGCTATATAATCACGTTAGCATTTGTCTTCAGACGCACAGTAGTGAAAGCAGCGAGTCAATACATTTGTCTTTAGGACCTCCCGAGCGGATTGACATCCGATTGCCCTTGTTGACCTTGGCTAGAGCCTTCAGCTCATCCGGGTGCGAGACTAGGTAGGACTGTTTGGCTTCCTTTTCTCGCTCGTGGGCACTGAGGCCCGCTTGCAGGGTCTCCAAGGCCTTGGAGACATCCTCGGTATCCTCCTTGGCCTTTGCGACCTCCAAGCTGTGACTCAGGACTCCGGCAAAATAGAGGTTCCGCTTATCGGAGGAGGACTCGTAGACCTCGGAGCGGTGAGTTTCGGGATAGGCGTAGAAGGACTCGGTTTTTCCAGCATACTGGAGGGATGGATGTTTTCCCAGACGAACTCGGGCCGATTGGCCTTTTTGCATACTGCTGATGAGTTCATCTAGGGTGTTCTGGGCGAGGGCTAGCCGCATGAACTGGGCTCGTGTGGCGGCGGGCTCCCCAACCTGACTCTCCGCCCGGAGAGTCAAACCATCCTGGGGGATTTCCAGAGCAGTCATGGTGAAGATGAGAGAATCTGGGAGGGGAGGGAGGAAAAGCGTCGAGACGGGCAGGGTCGGATGGCAGCGTGAGAGCTGCAGGTCAGGCGGCCAACTGCACGAGTCGAGGAAAGACCATACGCCATAAGGTGGTAGCAAACAAATGGGCCGAAAATGGCAGGACGCTGGAAAGAGAGTAGTATGAAGGTATGAACAGAGTAGAGGGGTGAGAGGGTGGAGGGTGAGGAGGGGAGAGAGAGAAAGTCAGATGGAGGAGTAAGAGGGAGAATCGGAAGTGGTGAGGAGGAGAATAAGGCGAAGCGGAGAGTGGGGAGAGCTGACGGGCGATTCCCTGGCAGGGGAGTCTTGCAGGTGCAGGGTGTATTGGTATTACACAGTACACGGTACACGGTACCCAGTTAATGTCCAATAGGCAATACTACTAGTCTGTAGTACTGTAAGTTACTCCGTACCCGGGTTGATCTCCGGAAGCCACAACATACGGACCCCATCGGGTATTACCATACATTTATATTACTTACGTATCTTTGTCCTTGTTGTAACTTTCAGTCTATTCTTATGACACCCCCAAAGAGTGTAACTATTCATATGGCATTCAATCCCCTCTATCAATGGTATGCTTTGTTTTGTTTTTTTTGTTTTCCATTTATTTTTGACTCTCTTATTTTGTATTCATTCTTTTTTTTCTGGTTCCCGCCGACCTGGATTCTAGACCTCCGAGCTGTAACCCTGTCCCCCTCCTCATACAAACTCACCTCCGAATCGGAGTGGGACGACAGGTCCAGAATGGGTCTTCCCGAGTCCCAGCGGAGACGGGTGTGGCCGGAGTCTTTCCTTTAATATAATACAGTGGTCTGACTACATACACAGGTATACTCGAGATTGACAGAGTATAGAATGTATTTTGTCTGTTACTCTGTCTGCTACTTTTGCATCATGCTGCTGCTACTGCTGCTGCTCGCTGCCCTGCTTTGCCTTTCGCTGCCCTGCTCTGTACATGCCGGGCTGTGACGGCCGATCACCCGAAGAATGCCAGAACCCCTCTCATGCAGGTGTACCACTGGTACGGAGTACGGAGTACCACTGACTACACTAGCAGGCGTCGATGGGATTAAATTTCCCGGCCTCCCATGGTCATTCGTCACGGCTCTGTACGACCGAGACTCCGTTGCACCGTCCCTGTTCTGTTCTGCTCTTTTCTGCTCTGTCTTGGCCAATACACCTCTCCGGTTCAGACGAGGAAAAAATTTAATTCTGGATATGAGCATGAGCATGAACATGAGCATGAGTGTGGACTCTCCATGCCCATGTCCAGCTCACTGGACTCAAACACGTTCTAATCCGATCCCATCTAGGTGGATAAGCATGCCGTGGATCCCTTGCGCCACGCCTCTCACTGCGCATAGCCTGAGACAGGGGATATTACTAACGACTTTTGCAAGATGATTGGAAAGCGGTGCCTGACTCGGCCGGGTTTCCTCCGCACTGACTAGCCCATGACTAGCCCGTGGAAAGCTTCCGGCTTTCTGGCTCAGTCACTTGAGTACTTGAGTACTTACTTACATGGATACAGTACTCCGTACTCAGTACTCCATACTCCATACTCCATCTACGGAGTAAAAAATAATCATGACATGACCCTGCAGATTTCCCATTAGTCTCCAGCAACCCCAATCCCAATCTCAATCCCATCTCATTTTCTAGCCCATTCTCAGTTCCGACGCCCACACTCAAAACCAAAGCCAATCCAGTCCAACTTTTCGGAACGGCCTCGCCAAAACCTTCCAAATAAACATACCCACGGCCCAACCGCCACAGTCGCTCCCCCGCTCTCTCCTCATCGTTCCCTAGGAAAACGTATTACATTACTCCGTTTACAGACTATGTACCCATCACCTCCTCACCCGTCACGGTTAAGG